CCAACAATGAGACGGCAAACAGTGAGACTGTTCTGTTCAATGATCCAACAAAACTCAGTGATATCATTATCTATCTTACACACTTAAATATACATGCAGTTATATTGTTTAGAGCACTTTCTTTTCCTCTCTTTTCTACAATGACAATTACACATTTTGGGTTTTGTTGCTCCCACAGTTCTTATTACTTTTTTGGAAGAGAGTAGAACCAAATGTGACATAACAGAACAGAGTCAGTCAAATCAAAAGGGTGGACATAATAGATAATGTAAAAGCATAATACAAGGTGATCAACAATGGTTACCATAATGCCTCCCGCTATCTCTAATAGAATTGCCTATATCATCAGTTACAATAAAATTGAACAAAACAGTAAAGAACAAAACTGACAAAACCAAAACATTGGAGACATTATAGGTCTTCAAAAGTAGATAATAGTCAACCAGAATGGGCGTCATAATGAATCCCACTATCTTCATAGCTGTTGCCTAAACTTTCGAACCTGGTACTATCAAGCAAAACAGAATAGAGGGACATCAGTCAAAACAAGATGGTGAGAGCAATACAGGGCTTTAAATCAAGATAATGGAAAGTCAAAGTGGGTTACTATAATATATCCTGCTATTTTTATTTATTTTTCCCTTAATTAAAAGGATAAAAATAAAAAAGTAAATAATAAAATGGAGATTGAGATAGAAGAGGCATAACAGCAAAACAGTGCAGATCAAAACATAACCATTTAAGCAAAATAGTGTTTCACCACAAGATAATCCTGACATAAAAGTAGTTACCATATTGTCTCTTTCCTTGAAATCCTTGAGTATAACTTCGTATACCATAGCAGCAAATATATCAAACCAATGTAAAACCATTTAAGAGAATGACAGTATTACAGGGTATTTAGAATCAACTAACAGAAAATGAACAATGGTTTCTGTATAATCTCCTTGTTTATAAAAGTTTTTGCTTATACTATCATACATAATAAAATCCAATAAGATACAACCTGTTTAGACCAATGGAGACAGAAGAACAAAAGCTTGATGAGACTTCAAAACAGGATGATACTAAATCAGTATTACCTATTAAGACGTCATTTTCTCCAAAATAGCTGTTCCTATCATCCAGTCTTCTCTGCCTCCTTTCTGTTGAGCTCTTTTTCTGTCATTAGTTGTCAGTTTGTCTTCTTCATTTTGTTTTCTGCTCCATTCATTGTGGCCTCTCTGCCACTATTTCTGGATTCTTCGTATTTTTCTTTTTTAGAATATCCTGCATTATTCTCTGTAGAGTTGAATTGGTGGTTGCATATTCCCCTAGTTCCTCTTTATTCTGGAAGCACCTTGTTTTTCCATCAATTTCCAGGGATAGTTGTGCAGGATATATCAATCTTGGCTGGAGGTTATTATCTTTCAAAGCTTGAATTATTTCCCTCCATGCTCTTCGTGATTTGATGGTTTGTGCCGAGAAGTCTGCTGTAATTCTGATGGTGTTCCCTTGTAAGTGATCTGTTTCTTGTCTCTGACGGCTTTTAATATTCTGTTCTTGTGGAGCTGGGGATTTAGCTCAGCGGCATAAGCACCTGCCTTACAAGCAGGCAGTCGTGAGTTCGATCCCCGGTACCAATAAAAAGGAAAAAGAAAAAAAAACATTCTGTTCTTGTATTGGATTTCTGGAATTTTAATTATTATATGCCTGGGTGTTGCTCTGTTTGGGTTGTAGGTGGCTGGGGTCCTATATGCTTCATACAACTGAGTATCTTTACCTTTTGCTAAATTAGGAAAATTCTCCTGGATTATTTCTGTGAGTAGCTTTTGTAGTTCATTTGTTTGTGTCCCTACTTCTTCTTTTATGTTCTTAATTCTTAAGTTATAGATCCTCTTATCATCTTCTAGTCTTTGTATTATTGCTGTTTGTTTTCTTGTTATTTTTAAGAAGTTTTTCATTTCATGCTCCCGTATTACAAATCTGCCCTCCAGTTCAGATAATCTGTCCTTAGTTTCTTTCAAGCTGTTATGCCAGTTTTCGATAGAGTTTTTAGTTTCCTGGTAATCTCTTCGAACCTGCTTCACGTATTCTATGCTTTCTCTATTTTCTCCATCAAACAATTCTCCCCTCTTTTTCTGTTCTTCCATTCCACCATCTGTTTTTTCTTGGTTGGTGCTTAGCATTTCTCTAACTATTCTGCTTATGTCTAGCTTCAGGTCATTAATAACTTCATTCCTGAACTTATCTATGAGGCTCTGGAGATAGCGCTTTATATCTATTGGTGCTGTGTCTGCTATTGCCTCTTTCTCAGGATTGGGGGCCGAGGACCCTTTCTTGTTGCTGCCTCTTCCCATATTCTTTGTTCCTTATATATGCAAGCGTATATAGGAGGCCCAGCTTCTTTCCCTGTCAGCCACAGTCACAGTCTGATTGAATTGTGCTGGCTAGGTATTCCCGCCCATTGCAGCGCACCAGGAAGTTGCAGACCAGGCAGCCTATGCAGGGCCCGCCCCTCCAGGGCAATATTCCTTCAGGTGCTGGGACCTGGGCTGTGCTAGCCTACTGGGTCTCAGCCAGCAGCGTCACATGGGCTAGGTACTGCTCACCAATCCTGCTTGAGAGGGAGATACGTGATTGAAGTCACTGCAGCGCCCTGTTCCCGCAAGTCTGTCCCGTCCCAGAATGTCTGTCCTCTGTTGGAGTCTCCTAAACCGTGAAAGAGTCCCAGTTTCTCTCACTCCCCGCAGGTCAATGCACAGCTCCCCGCCCGTCCTGCTTTCAACTCTGTTCACCGATTCCCGTTCTCAGAGCTTCCTCGCGTCTCTCTCCCTGCCGAGCCGATATAGACACAGCAGCGGTGGCGGGAAACCCAAATCACGGCTTCCAATGGCGTGGGCTCCAGCTTCCACACTCAGGCTCTTCTGTTCCTGTTATAGCACCAGGATTGCATTCCCAGTTGGTTTCTCTCAGCCCAGTTCGTTCTTGGGTCAGCAGAGCATATCTCCACTTGCTTATGATTCCTTACTCTGCACCATTCCTGAATTCTAAGCTAGGTCTTTCAGAGAGCCTCCGTAGCTGCTGCTATCTGTCCGCCATGTTCTCCTGGAAACCCCCAATGTCTTTCAGATGATTTTGATGCACCCTGGAGTTTGAGAACTACTCTGTTAGATAACTTGTTAACTGGTAAGACTTTTTATGTCTGTAATAAAGTGGTGTCTGGTTTACATCCTAAAATCTGCAACTCCTTCCTACTCAGGTCTAGGGATTAAGCTATTAGCCCAAAAGATTCCTCTTCATCTGAATGAGAAAAGCAAGGAACCAGCTTAGTGTGTGAGGAGGAGCAGAGACTTAGAGATTCATCGAACAAGTAGGAAAATATTTCTCTCTTTTACTTGGTGAAATTATAAAGATCAGGATTATTATCATGGGTGATGATGAACATCAGTGTTCAAGTAATCTTTGCTTCCACTTTTTGGTAGTGGCATTTGGGCAACATTGCCATTTAAAGGGTTGTCAGATTTCTGTTGTTGTTGCTATTTTGAGACAAGATCTTGCTATGTAGTCCAAACTGACCTCGAACTCTTGATCCTCCTTGCTCAACCTCCCAGAATTCTGGGGTTACTACCATACCTGGTGTGCACCACCACAGCTAGCTACCAGAGTTTTAATGCTTACATGATTAATTCTTTCAGAATTGTGGTTTGTTTATATGAGTAGTATTTTTCAGATCCAGTAATAAGAAAATACATTTAGAGAAATTTGAAATTACCTGAGTTTAGTATGTGTGCTTCTGAAGTGAACACTAAATTAGGTAAATTTAAAGATAAATTAAAAGGAATGAGTTGGGTCTAGTGCCTCTGAGAATAGAGCCAGGGGAGTTCTTCGTTCTTCAGATTAATGTTTTTTGGGTGCTGTATAGTGGAAAGAGCTTAAATTCCAGTCTACCACTTACCTGCTATGAAACCTCAGGTAAATCATTTTTTCTTTCAAAAACGTTTGGTCTTGGGTCAGGGATTTAGCTCCGTGTTTCAAGTGCTTGCCTGGTAAGCATGAGGTCATGAGCTCGATCCCAGGTACCAGAAAAAAAAGAAATATTCTGTCTTGTTTTGGACAAATGAGGATAATAATATCTACTAAGATTCTTGTACAGATTAATCGAAGTAACATATATGCAGGACTATGCATGTGGGCACTTAATAAACATTAGTTCTCTTAATCTTCACTTCTTCCAGAGAAGTTGGTAAACATTATGCAATATGATCTTTCTGTCAGATCTTCTTGTTTTTTTTGATACTGGGATCCAACATAGAGATAGTGCTTGCCGAGCCGGCACTTGCCACTAAACTAAATCCCCAGCCCCTCTCTCAGATCCTCTTGCACTTAATAAACAACCCCCCTCCTTCCCTTTCTTCTTCTATCCCTTTGAAAAATTTGCATTACTTCTTACCCCATCGCTATAGCATAAAGTCCAGTAATTTTTGTACTCACTGGGTTCACACTGAGAAGTCAGCACATAAATAGTAATGCGATTCTTTTTACTTTTGTTTGACTCTTTACTTGGCATGTAATAGGTTGTTGTGATTCTGGAAACTCTGAGATAAACTGTCCTTTATAGTCAGACCTTCTAGGAAACACACTTTTTGAAAAAAGCAAAATGGACCATTCATTGTCAAATCAGAAACTCTGTGTGTGTGTGTGTGTGTGTGTGTGTGTGTGTGTGTGTGTGTAATCCTAGCACTCCGGAAGGCCAAGGCAGAAGGATCAAAAGTTTGAACCTAGACTAGGCAACTTAGTCACCTACCTAGACTCAATAGCAAAATAAAAATTTTAAAGAGACTGGGATGTCATGCAGTGCAAAGGCCTTGGGTTCAATCCCCTGAAATGTCCCTCCTCCCCCACACTCACACGCGCACATAAAGAGAACGAGAAAGTTGCCTTAGAGCTAAAACCATGTGTGCCGTGTCTGGCTAATCCAAGGACACAGTACAGGAAAGAGGTTGCATGAGCACTTAGCACCATTAATTTTTTTTCCTTATTCTCTTAATAAATTCCCTCATTGTTTTAGTGGCTTTTTAATTTTTTTTTTCTATTGAGACTAGGTTAACTAAAATCATTTGACATGGAAAAGAAGGAGGTAAGGTTAAAAGGGACCTAATTAGCAAGTTAATTATAGCAGGCAAGAAAGTGCATTAGTTATATAAATAAGCCATTGTATGCACATGCAAGTTGGTCCTTGTCTAGGGACTTGTTTAGAGGTCAGAGGATCCATGTAATTAGGTGTTCAGTAAAAAATAATAATAAAAGCAAAACAGCTACCAAAATTAGGAATGGTTGATGAGCCACTAATGGAACTGCCTTATTAAATTAGGACTCTGCTACTGAAGGAGTTGTTGGAGCTGCTTCAGAGATTTTAAGGAAGGATAGCCCCTTTCAAAAAGGAAAAAAAAAAGGAAGGAAGGAAGGAAGAAAGGAAAGAAAGGAAGGAAGGAAGGAAGGAAGGAAGAAAGAAAGAAAGAAAGAGAAAGAAAGAAAGAAAGAAAGAAAGAAAGAAAGAAAGAAAGAAAGAAAGAAAGAAAGAAAGAAAGAAAGAAAGAAGGAGAAAAAAGCTAGCTGGAACTAGAGCCAACAGAACTGCTGATGAGGAAAGTTTAAAGGCCTGGCCACAAGGGTCCCTGGACCAAAGAGGTGGCAGTAGGGCCGGTAATGTCACTATGCTGAACAGCAAGAAGAAATACATTGTCAGTGGCAACTCTGGGATTAAAGCCCAGGTGAGGCTAAGCTCTTATTTACCAGTCTTGTTGCTGCTGTGGCTATTATTGTCCAAGGCCAACTGCTTGTGCTCTCCTTCCCCTCCTTTCCTGTTTTCATTCCTCCCTGTGGCTCATGGTGAGCTCCCCCTCTCTTAGCAGTGCCTTTCCCTCCCTTACTCTGATTCCTGTTGGAATTTAGGCAGTGCTCTCTGAGATGGAAAAGGAAGGTTACCTGAAAGGACTTTGGTTTCAGACAAGGTAGGGAAGTCAGGGATATAATCTGTCAAAGTATCACAACTGGGGTGGGCAGATACATTGTATTACAAAATGAACTCTTGAGTGAAGAATATAATGGTATTTAATTTCTCAAGAATGGAGGATACCAGGAATGATTCACTTAACTCATTTTCTGGTTATCAATGAAAGACAAGCATTTCTTGGGAAAATTGTGCAGGTTGTTATTTGTAAGTTGTTAGTCTCTCTATTGTTCTTCTGTCTTAAAGAAACTTGAATTCATTGTGTAACCAGTAAGCAAGAACCCAATGTTCTAAATGTAGAGTACTCCACAGCCTATTCTTTAATGCCAAAAGATAGCCTGCATTTGTCTTGACTGAAGGGATTACATTAAGTTGAAGAGACATAGAGGAAGGGCTTATGGCTTTGGAGACAAACCTGTGGCACGCGTGCCACAACAGACTGTATCATTAAAAGCTCTAAAAGGTTTGCCATCACTGGCTTAGGGAAACTGGTTTGAGATGGCTATGCAGGGTATCTATATGACTTGGTGTTTCTGGGGTAAATAGATGTGGACTCTAGTGCTACAAATGTGGTAAATGAAAGTGGCCCCCTCTAGTGGTATGTGTATGTGCATATGTATACATGTGTGATTTTATGCTAGTGCTTAAGGTATATTCTATATTGGAGGCAGGGTTTGTCTGGAGACTTTTTTTTTTTTTAAGGAGGCACTGCTGAAGTTAGTGACTCAGTGTGGCCTTTGGAATTTTCCTAGAATAAGCACATGTGACTGTAGCGAACAAGGTTGGTGAAATAAACTCCAGTTTTGAGCCTGTCTGCTGTGTACCCCTCTCCAGCTCTCTAGTGGAAAGCTTCTTCACTTTTCCAACTTTTCTTGCCCTTAAAAGTTAGTTTAGATTTGGTTTATGCTTGCTGTGTTTACTGAATATTAACCAAGAACAAACTTAAAATAGAATAAGCAACTTCATGTTCTTTGATTCAGCACGATTGAGTGCTGAGGATATACAAGACCTTTGTGTCTGATAATATAAAGCAAATAAGGTACCAATCCCTTGCTTTTATGGAGATTATAATGTATAGAGAATAAGACAGGTAGGCAGATGGTTATATTCTGTTGTGAATTCTGTCTTTTTTTCCTTTTTTTTTTTTAAATTGGTGCCGGGAATCGAACTCAAGACCTTGCACTTGCCAGGCAGAACCACTGAACTAAATCCTTGGCTCCTGTTATGAATTGTGTACTAGGAGAAGCAATGAAAGTTCATGAGCATCCATGAAAGGGCATAGAAAATGTTCTTTATCCTTTTGTAATAGGTTACTACTTTAGCACAGTATTCAAATTTGTCATTTTTCATTTTGCAGTGAGCTACTAATCCAATGAATTCTTCTAGTGCTGAAAATAACTTGCCAAGCACTACACAGACTTTATATATTGTTAGGACTGTGGAGATTCTGTGATTTTCCCCCTAAGAGTAAGTGAATGCTAAGCTAATATAATTTGAGATTGGTCCCCTTGTTTCAATATTCAAATGGCTCAAAAACTACCTCTGACTATAGGAAGTATAGTTATGAGTTGCTGCTCTTTCACTCTGGTGTGCTGTATCTATGTTTTGTCTGTCAAGGATCCATCTGCTTATCATTGAAAATGTTAGTTGTCAGATCTTTATCCTTTTCAAACCTTCTTTTGAACTCCTTTCAACCCAGAAAACTAAACAATTATGCATTCAATTGGGGAAAAAGAAAAAGTTATCAACTCAGTAAATGATATGACTTTGATTTATAAATTATAAAGTGTCAGCTGGGAATAATCAGCTGCAGGAGATAGAGGTAAGAGTGCAAGAAAGTCATTATGAAATATTGTCCAGATGCAGCCTACAGCATATAACCTGAGTTTTATTTAGTCCAGCCGTCTACTTTTTATTATAGATAATAAGTAAGCAAATTTGTGGCTTCTAAGTATTTTATGTTACCAAACATAAAAATAATAAATTAATGTTTATTTACTAGTCACAAAAAAGGTAGATAACACATTTTAGAAAATCTTTAATAAAATAAAGTGGCTACCTGTAAAGAGTTATAAGAACACTTCCAGTGTGGGGGTGAGAATAGGAAGTGAATTGATTGAATCTCCTCCTATGTTTTATCATTTATATGCATTTGGCATGCTCCCACTGAACCCTCTCTAAAACCTGGAAGCACTTTTATCTCTGTTGTATTTGAAGAAAATTATGCTCACTTGATCAACATCAAACAGTTATGATTGACATAACTAGGATTTCAGTGCAATTCCAGAATGTCGTCTGAATGAAAAGTCATTTTCCAAATTAATACAATAAGCCATTTCCTAAAATCTTGAAACTTGAAAAACGAGTCATTTTACTTTTTTAATACCTTGAAGTTCTCGCTTCTAAATATATAAAGGTCTTGCATGTATGCACATTCTCAAAAATTCTTTCCAACTTTAATTTTTTGTGAAGATATACAAAGGGTTTCTGAATTTTTTTTTTTTTTTTGTCTTTTTCCTTCCTTTTTACCGGTACCGGGGATCGAACTCACGGCTGCCTGTTTGCAAGGCAGGTGCTTATGCCGCTGAGCTAAATCCCCAGCCCCAAAATACTGTCATTTTTTTTTTTTTTTTGTCTTTTTCGTTTTTTATCGGTACCAGGGATCGAACTCACAACTGCCTGCTTGCAAGGCAGATGCTTATGCCGCTGAGCTAAATCCCCAGCCCCTTCTCCAAGGAGTCTTAATATTCCAAATATGAGTACATTCAGATCAACTGCATGGGAAAATAAAAGCATATAGTAATGCAGGCTTTTAGTTGGTGTCTCAAAATTGAAGTTCTTTTCCTTTACATAACTAGAGTTCTTTTTCTTAGCAGATCCAGTTTGCTGACCAGAAGCAAGAATTCAACAAACGTCCCACTAAAATTGGACGTCGCTCTCTGTCTCGTTCCATTTCTCAGTCATCTACTGACAGCTACAGCTCAGGTGAGTACTGAGCTGCCATGAACCCACCTGTGAAGGCTTAAAGGTATGATCAACAGACCCTCCCATGTGTCCAAGGCTAATTATGCTTGATTAAGCCTTTGCCTTGAAAGGCAAAATGCCTTTGAGTCAAAATTTAAACCAAAGTTCTGAGTGTTTTCTCTTGGGAATTCAACTGCAGGCCTTTTCTTCCAAGAGAGGCAGAAGGGGATGATTGAGGAAATTGAGGTAATTGATCTACTCACAAGGATAGGAGTATGTAATGCATGGATAACCTTCACTGAACAGCATGTGTAGAGACATTTTTTCCATCCTTTGAAAATGAAAAGAAAGTTCCCATTCCTCCATCTGGCACTTGCAAATTAATGGGGAAACCTCAGTTGCTCTTAGAAACAATGAAGACATTGTAGCTATTTCAAGCAAGCAGACCCTTTGCCTTCTCTGCAAAGCTGTAACATTGTATTGCTTGTCACTTCTTTTTTGGAAGTGGCATTAATTCAAATATACGCACCCTGGGACTATCATTTAATGCCACGTGAACTATTACTGTGTGGGATCCCTTGAAAGCACTGGCTATTTTTGCAGCAGTGCCCAAGTATGAGTCTGTTCTAATATGGGGCTATTTTATTTTGCTTTTGTGTTAGAATGAAGTAGGAAGCCCAGAGTTTGCCCTGGTTACCTATTCACATTATAAATAGTAATACTTATTTAAAATTTTTGTCAGGATATTACGGTAGCTATTGTTGATATCCAGTTGTCTTGTTGTGAAATGCTGTGCTGCTCGCATTGTTTTGTTCTAATTTACTTTATTCTGTTCTCTTTTGTTTTATTCTCTTCAAAATAAAAAAAAAAATTATCAGGACCTGAAATTTTATTTGTTCTTTACACAGTTATAAAAGTAGTAGTATTTGTTAAAGATTGTTTAGAGTTGGCACAGGCCTATAGTTCCCACCACTTGAGAGGCCAGGGCAAGAGGATCACAGCAAATTCAAAGCCAGCCTGGGACAGAGTTTCAAGGGCAACCTGAACTACAAACAGACCAAAAAGAACAATTACTTGGGAAGCTGTAGCTTTTAGTTTGAATAGATTGTTATTTACCCACTTTTTATTTTCTCTAATTTTCTCTGTATAATAATTGTGAGTGAAATAAGACATATGACATAAATTCCTATAGATTTTTATTTAAAGATAGGGAATTTTGTGTCCTATCCTGATGAAATAAACAAGTGTTAATATTTATGAATTGGTTACAATATCTCAGAAAGCCATAATAACTGTGAAAATGTGAATTGAACCTTTTAAATTCATGGGTTAGCATATATTATCTAAAGATTAATACTCAATAATAGTGATACTAAATTTTAACTCAAGCTCAATCTCTTCCCTACTCAACTAGATCCATGTATCCAACTGTGTTCCTGCAAAGGAAACCAACGCCTGGCATACCACCCAAGCTCCCTATGTAGGGAGAGTACTTACAAAATATCCTTGTACCTAGAAGAATGTAGTCGATACCCCTGGTTTCTAAGTGAGCACATAGTTGCCTAGATCTTTTAAACTGAACCATATAAAATTGCCATTTTTAGGTGGGTATCGTGGAACACCCCTGTAATCATCTACTCAGGAGGCTGCTGAAGCAGGAAGATCAGAAGTTCAAGGCCAGCGGAGACAATTTAATGAGACCCTGACTCAAAAAATTGCTAGGAATGTAGCCCAGTGATGGAGTCCCCACCGCCCAGAGAGGGGGAGGAAAGTAAAGAAGGAAAGCAGGAAAGGAGTGGAGGGAGGGGGACTGGAGATTTAGTTGAGCGGCATAAGCACCTGCCTTGCAAGCAGGCAGTTGTGGGTTCAATCCCTGGTACCGATAAAGAGGAAAAAGACAAAAAATAAATAAATAAATAAAATAAGTGGAGGGAGGAAGAGAAGGGACAGGAAGGTCAGCCAGCCATTTTTATGTAAGAAATTATCGACCTAATACATCCACTTAAGGATATTATTAGCAGTGGGAGTCAAAACAGCCTGGCAACAGAAGAGATCTTAAAGATACAATTTACTGGCTGCTGAAATTACCTCTGAAACATCCCTGGCAAATGTCCACCTGGTGTCTTTGGTGGCATTTTAGATGATAGAGTACTCTATGTAGTTATTTATCTTCTGATAAGATCTTATGTAATCCCTGGAATGTAAAATTTTATTTAGAAATAAAAGTCAGCATTTTCAATTGTTTGATTTTTGAGGCATCCTATTATCCTACTTTATGCTCATCTGGATGCAATCCAGATTATACATCTCTTTAAAATATCATATTTGTGTCGGTATGATCTGGCCTAATCTGTAGAAAGTGTTAGTTTCAAACTCAAGTGTTTTATTTGTTCTACTCCCCTTTTCTGACTCAGTATTTTAAAAATGAAATCTAAGATACTTACTTTTTCAGCAGCTGTATCACCCCTTCAACCTGCAACATACACACATGCGCTGTTGCATCTTTTACTGGTGCTTATTTTGTTTCATTACCTTCACATAAACAATTGAAAAGCTCTTTTAAATGAACTCTGAATGGAGATACCTACTGCCTTGCTTCTTGTACTGGGAGTTAGATGAGCCCTAGTTTCTAATGTCTGATCCCTCTATGAATGTGATCCTGGAAAGGCTTACATCCTGCACATTCATAACAAACATAATGGGAAATTACATGAAATCATACAGAAAGATGTTGTGCCTATTGATTGAAAATCCAGGAATAGCAGAATTGACTCAGCTGATATGCAAATGCATGTTAATAAGAACTTTAGGCTCATTTTCAGCATGTATTATAATTTAAATAACTGTGGAAGTTAACATTAAGGAACCCTAAAACTGAGTCATGGACCTTTTTCTTCTTTATATACTTTCCTAAGTAAAGGTTCATTCAGCTTTATAGTTTAAATGCTATGTATTAGTGTTTTAGTCTCTTATTTTTCTGCTTGGCTGTTTTCCTTGTATACTAGATTCCTATATTCAACTATCCTCTCAGTCTTAGGTGTTTTACTAGCATCTAAAACCTTCCATGTATTAGAAAGCTGATTTCCTAAGTCAACCCTTTCCTATCTTCAGGCCATTTTCAACTTCTACATCCAATTCATTCTTCTAAAATAAACCAGGTCGTCTTTTCCCTACCACCACCCAGCACCCCGATAGAACCCAGGGCCTGACACATGCTAAGCAAGTGGTCTACCACTGAGCTATGCTTCCAGCCAGAAACACCCTTAATATACCGTATACACTGTTGTTTCTAATACCCTTTTATATATAAACAGGCAAAAGGTTTATAAGTATATATGATACCTTTCAGAGTTATAGTAACCAGTTTATATGATACTTTACTGTCCACAGTACTTGTTTTACTTAACCTACTTGAAGGTTTAAATAAGCTGCCTTTTGCCATTTAGGAACTTAGGTTTCTTCACCTGAATTGCAGAACGTAATGATTTGGTAAGATGGCACATTACTAATTTCTATCTAGATATGTGGGAGGGAAATTAATTCATTGTGTACAATAGATGCTTCAAGGCTTTGGGACTTAATTCTAGGGGAATGTAGGTAGAAAATGATTGCATTAATCTGTAAAATTCTTTTACAAGAAATAAGCTCCTAAAAACATTTTCTTTAAGCAAAAAATCTCAGAGAACAAATGAACAGAAGCATCTTTGCTTAAAAGTTAGATCATTCTCAGAGATATATTTCTTTTTTTTTTTTTTTAATTTTTTGGGGACAGAGATATATTTCTGAGAAAACTATCTTTGTGGTTAAAGATGAAAAGGAAAGATAGAAGTCCCATATTCTTGTTTGGCGCTTAGAAAGTTTGAGGTATCTTCAGATTTTTTGAAACAACACAGCTTAATAAATCTGTGTTTGTGTTTTGATTGCTAACAGTTTTTCACATATATCTGAAGTGTTATTCATCAGTGACATCTGCACACTGACACATGAGTCCCTACTATGATTTCCATTACCAAATAAATAGATTAGGCCCAAGATTGGGCCTGACTTAAAGTAATTTAATACATCTAATTCAACTAGAATTCTGACTGCTCTTCTTCTTCTTGCAATAACCCAAATATCACAGTTGATGAAAGCTAAGGCTAGCTCAATCAAGTGTGAGCCATAGAACATGTGTATGCATGATTTATGCAGCAGCTTATAAACTAATATTTCACTGAGTTGTGTTTTGATTCTGGAAAATCACAAACAAGAGAATATCTCATAGTAAAGTTATATTATACTTTGCCTTTCTACCTAGAAACCAAACCATTTTTGAATATTAGCTCACTTTTTAATAAGATTTTTCTGGTGGTAGCAAGGGGGAAAGGTGAGCTTCAGGAAAGAGTAGTTCTGTTACACTCCACTTTTTCGGGGGTTGGGAGGTTTCCAAGGATCAAACTCATGACCTTGCACTTACCAGGCAGGTGCTTAAGTCACTGAACTAAATCCCCAGCCCTACACTCCATATTTTACATTTGGATAAATTGAAAAATGGTCAGTTGACCAATTAACGATAAAGCTAGATCTATTGTAGTAGTTTTTGTGATTTGTTTTGTTTTGTTTTTTGGGTATTTTGTTTTGATTTTTTGAAAGGGTGTCTTTATCTCATTCAAGCTGGGCTTGAACTCGCTTATATAGCCTATGCTGGCCTTGAATGCACAGTGGTTCTCCTGCCTCAGCCTCCCCAGTACTGAGATTACAGGTGTGTGCCACCATGCCCAGCTGTAGTAGTTTATTGATTGTTCACTTTGGGTAAAATTATGACTCTGAGCTTCAGAGTATGCTAACAATTCCAAATACTTTGGAAACCATTCAAGCATATATTACATAGGTATTGGTTTCCCTAAATTGTTATAGAAAGAACCTTAATGTTACCTCAGTTATTTTCATGACTGTGCTACTTTATTTTTAATTTTTATTTTTTGCAGTGCTGGGGATAGTACCCAAGGCCTTGTGGATGTTATGCAAGCACTCTGCTATTGAGCCATACTCCCACTGCCTGAACTTAGAACTGGACTGATTAGACCTCACTAGACACACTGAAATCAGACACAACTTGATTAACTTACTTTATTATATATGTATACATTTGTTTTTGTAGTTCTGGAGAAGGAACTCTAGGGCTTGTACATGTTAGGCAAGTGCTCTACCACTGAGCAACACCCCAGCCCTCAAATGTGCTACCTTAACTATGATGACAGAAATAGATGTGAACTCAAAAAATAAATGAATAAATGTCAGACTCTTTCAAGAGTAATCTTTCTACCATGTTTGCAAAAATAACACATTCTTTTGATCTGGTTCTGTCAGCCAGGTTACATCCCCATATTAGAGCAATCTACACAATTGCTACTTTTGGTTTCTACGTAACAAAAGCTCTTTATAAGGAACTCTTTGAAAAATCTATTTTGGCTCAAAGAAAAACATTGATTCAACTAAGAATAATAAATTGACTACCCTTAAGAAAGTAAAATACTATTTTTTTCCAGCTTTTAGAATAGAAAAGTGGTATAAATAGTTTTGTTCTTTGAAATGGAAAAAGAAAAACAGAAAGAAAAAAAAACTCAACCCAGAAATTGGAGTGCTTTTCTTCAGAGAAAGTTTTTTGTTTAATTTTTGCGCGGACACACCCCTCCCAACTTCCCAGTTCATCCTTAGACAATAAAGAGGCATAGGAGGGTAGAAGTAGAGAGCCATAAGAAAGGAGTGCTAGTCTGGTAGTTAAAATTCCAATCTCAAAAAAAACAAACAAACAACAACAACAAAAAAACCCTCCAATCTCAACCTTTTTAATCATTGCCAGCCAACCACCTGCTGCTTTGGTAGATTGCTAGGAGATGATGGAAATAGAAAAAAAAAAGAAACTGCTACGTAATTTTCTATATATGTCATTCTTTTCCCATGCAAAATCCTTTTTTTTTTTTTTATCTTTTTCCTTTTTATCGGTACCGGGGATCGAACTCACGACTGCCTGCTTTCAAGGCAGGCGCTTATGCCGCTGAGCTAAATCCCCAGCCCCTCCCATGCAAAATCCTAAAGCTGAATAATAACCCTTACAGATATTACAGCTAGTACTAAATTTACAATATACCCAAAACTGAGTAATAAAATCAGGCATTATTTATTGGATACTTAATTACTATATGACAAGCATTGTACCAACCACTTTACTTACAGTATAATTAAGTCTCCAATTTATGAACAAGTTCCATTCTGCGGAAACATTCACAAGTCAGATTCATTTGTAAGTTCAACAGAATGAGTCTTATACATTTTTGGCACAAATATACAACATACAGCATTAAAAAGCCAAACAAATACTGCACACTATTGCACAGTAGCACAACTGTGACAGTGTCTGGCAGACATGTAAGCTACTTTCAGATTTGTTCCCATCTGCCAGTGTTCATAATGCATAGTCCACTGTTGTCTGTGAAAGCATGCAAGTTGAATGTTTGGAAGTCAGGACTCACTGTATCTCAACAACTTGACTTATTAAGTTTGTTTGTTTGTTTTATTTGCTTTTTGAGGTACTGGGGATCAAACCCCAGGGCCTTGTACATGCAAGGAAAGTACTGTCCCCCTGACAAATTGGTATATAGTCCTACAACATTCTAATTTCTGCTTCATAACACACATTACAACTGTGTTAGGAAAAAACCCTCTACAGAATTAATTTTACAATGAGTTCTTTCATGTCTGGCTTACCTACTAGACCAAAAACTCTATGAAGTTAAGAATTATCAACATCTGTCCTATATTCCAAGACTCTTACCTTGTATATAGCAGAAACCTGAGTAAAATGTATTAAATGAACAGTGCAGCTGAACACATGTCTCAGTTAACAACCCTATTAAATAGGCATGCTGTCATCACTATCATAAACACAGAAACAAGACACTGAACTTCAACCAAAGTCAGCCTGAGGTCAATACAATATTTAAATGGCCAGTGGGAAATGTAAAAATCATCATGGCTCTGGAAAAAGATTTGAAATTGCAAAATATTCTAAATGTTAAACTCTTCCAAAGCACTGTGTTGCAAATTTGGCTCAGAATTGGGGAAGGCTGTGACCTTTCTTCCCTCAGGTGGAAAAGGTATAGTTCACCTAATCCTCTAACTCCTAAGCTGTATCAGAGTATTGATTAGTGAAACAGATGACTGCCCAGAAAGCTGTTGCTAGGCTCTGTTGCCAGAAGTACTTTGATCTTTCACTCACACTGAGAGGGTGAACCAGAAACTTTTTGTACAGATTAGCTCCTTTCAAGAACAAAAGTCCCTTTGGGGGTTTACTAATTCCCTCACCTCCTCTGGTGCCTGTGTTCATTCTTGTGGCCTCGTGTTAGGACTTTGCTCCAGGGCGGTTTTCCAGTTCCAGAGATCGAGAAGCCCCTGCTGCCCCAACAGTGTTTAGTGCCATGCTTGATTAACTAGACAAGGTCAGACTTGCCTTTTTACAGCACCCACGGAGACAGACCCTCTGCTAAGAAATCCCAGAAATGCTTTAATTCTCTAGAAGTAGGTAGATCAGAGCACCATAGACCCTAGGAACTCTGGCTTTTGCAGCTTTCTCCCCTTGAAAGTAATGGCAGGCCAAGCATAATGACATATAGCTATTATACCAGCACTCTGTGAAGCTGATGCAGGAGGACCCCAAGCTTGATCCAACATAGTGGCTGGGCAACTTAGTGACTCAGTGAGACCCTCTCTCAAAATAAAAAATAAAAATGTAGGCTGGGGATTTAGCTCAGCAGCTCAAGTGCTTGCCTGGTAAGCAAGAGGTCATGAGTTCAATCCCTGGTACCAAAAATAAGTACTGGGAATGCAGCACAGTGCAAAAACGCTGTTTAATCCCCAATATGGGTAGGGGTTGAAGAAAGGAATAACAGTACTTCTCATCCCATTGAGACATATTAAATGCTTTATAGATAGTGCTTTATAGTCCCCAAGTCCCCAAAACTATTAGAATTAGGAGGAACTAGCCTCTGAAAATTAAATATAAATGAAGGAAAGAAATTGCATTAAGTCATCCAAGAAGTAACTAGCAACTACAGGGGCTGGGGATTTAGCTCAGCGGCATAAGCACCTGCCTTGCAAGCAGACGGTCTTAAGTTCGATCCCCGGTACCGATTAAAAAAAAAAATCTGCCAACTAGCAACTACAGAGTTATATGAAGACTAAAACAACTTCAGCTAAATGGGTGGATAGCAGTAGCAGCAACTCCCTGTTGGGCACAACCAGAAATCTTGGACCTTTCTTTCACCCTCTAGTGCATATTGCTAAATGGATTAGTTATCAGAGCATTTTATTTTACAAGAGAGGATTTATTCTTTGCTTTGGGAATCTAAAGTGCCTAACCCAAGACCTACTGAGACCAGGAAGAAGGGAGAGTACACTGAATATTTCATTTTCAGTGTGTAATTGGATCTGCAGACATAGGTCAGCCTCATCAAGAGCCAGTCCTGAAAAAGAATGCTCTGTTATATAAGACAAATACTTTTTGTGTGGCTCTTAATTACTTTTCCATGCATTCCTTATTTTCTAGGTCTTATCTGTTCAGTTATTGTGCTAACACAAAATCACATCAGACATTTAAAAAGACAGTGGAGGGTGGCTGGGATCCCAAAAACCCATAGATTGATGACCACTGTCTTAATATTAGGAACTTTTTAACCTGTTACTACCATGATGTAACCACTTCTTAAATTTATTTATTGAATATTCAATAATTGTTCTGAAAATAAAGTTAGTCTTAGCTTCCTACTCAGTGCCTACTTTTTTCAACTTTCTTTTTCTGACCAGTAAATAGCACTTTCCATAGGAGATACTTGGAACAACTCCATGATTCCACTTAGATACTTCTCAGAGGTATAAATCCATAAAGAGCTTATGACTAGAGAATCCTCCCCATGGTTTGGAATTTTCAGAGAAGCCATTTTTTTCCTCTGAGAGTTTTTCTTCCATTTCCAGCGGCCTCATACACAGATAGCTCCGATGATGAGACATCCCCCAGGGACAAGCAGCAGAAGAATTCAAAGGGAAGCAGTGACTTCTGTGTCAAGAATATCAAGCAGGCGGAGTTCGGACGAAGAGAAATTGAAATTGCTGAGCAGGGTAAAGAAAGCAGGCATCTTTTCCTTCTCTACTTGGCTTGTCTTTTGTCCATGTTAATCCCTTTGCACAAACTGGGTCTAGTAGTTGGTGAAATTTCAGTGTGACAGTGAAGAATGCTTGTAACAGGAGAGTCTGAGCTCAGGAAACATTAAAGGAAATGAAGTCTGGTGGTTCAGAAGAAACCCCTAAGCAGGACAAGTACATAAGGCATCAGAACTCCGAAACATTTGCCTCAGAAAGCCCCTAATAAAAGGAGATTCAGGTTTTTCATCTTCATCCCTCCAGAAACCTAATCCAACAAAGAAGGATCTTAACCAAAGATAGTATTTCTGTTTATACCTTTATCTCTTATTCCTTCCTTTCTAATATTGTTGTGTTTGTATTGGACCTTTTCAGAAATGCCTGCACTGATGGCTTTGAGGAAGAGAGCTCAAGGAGAAAAGCCTTTGGCTGGAGCCAAAATTGTGGGTTGTACACACATCACTGCTCAGACTGCTGTGAGTCCTCTTCCTTTCTCCCCTTAATAACAGTAGTTAATAATTGCCACCAGATATTGAGTGCTTATGACATGCTAGCACTCAGTTAACAGCTGAAGAAGTTTTAATCCTCAAATTGCCATGTAAAGCAGATATTCTTCTTTCTGTTTTGTAAATAAGAAAGCTGAGATTCAGAGAACTTAATTTGTCCAAGGTTACACAGTCAAATCTCACAATGAAGATTTGAATACCATTATATTATTGTAAGTGAGGAGTATATCATAGTGTACATTCCTCACTTCCCCTGATCTTCCCTTCCTATGTCATTTCTTCTACAAGGCAACCTTATAATGTTCTCAGCTACAAATAAGAGAAAAATCTGATTCCACCTGACTGACTTACACATGAAGTGTATTACATTACATAACTAGAAGTCCAGCAGGAAAGCAGGTTTCAGGTGCAGTTTCTCAGAGCTCCCATTTCCCCTCTCTGTGACTTCTTGGAGCTCTCTCCTTAGTGTGCTCACTTCATCCTCAAGCTGGTAGTGAAGTAGTATAGCTACTCTGGTTATCACAAACTAGGATGAAAAGGATGTGCCATTTCTTCCTCTCTCCCAAGAGCAAGGAAACTTTTCCTATATGTCTCCAGGATGTCTCATTCAGCAGAATTGGATCACTTGCCTGTGCTCCATCAGTTCTGGCAAAAGGAATAGAATTAACTTGATTGGTTTAGACTAGCGATTCCTATCCTTAGGAGATTTACTGCCTCCTTTTTGTTTAAAAAAAAAAAGTACTTTCAGCATTCCTGAATTAATGAAATTAAGATATACCTACATATATGTAATTTTGTGTATGTGCGTGTATGTGGTGGTAATGATGGTGGTGGCAGTGGTAGTAGTGATAATGGGTTTTGGACCCAGGGCCTTTACACTGAGTTATATCCCCAGCCCTTGAGACAGCATCTCAGATTAGCCCCTAAATTGTTGTATAAACATACTGGCTCAATCTCCCAAAGTGCTAGGGCTACAGGTGTGCATCACCATGCTTGGCTACATATAATTTTTTTTAAAAAACGTAAAATCTTAACTGAAATAATTTATAAAGATTTTTCAGTATGTAAATACTTAGACACAGCTATAGTAGAACAGTGAAATTCCTATCTTTACAGCATGAATGACAATGCTGAAAAGTACTGATAGAGGAAACTGTGTTATTAGTTCCATAGCATCAGAGCAGTATTACCAAAGTACATGATTTTTCTGAAAATAGTAAATGACTCTGTAAATTTCTGAATAACAATCACAATGAAAAATAGGAGTTTTCTCTTGACTTATACAATTGTTGCCATTTCTGGAAAAACTTTAGTTTGTATTTAAAAAACTATAAAAATAATTTTGTTGCCAGGGATTTAGCTCGGCAGCATAAGTGCCTGCCTTGGAAGCGCATGCTCATGAGTTCAATCCCTGTGTAATGTGTAAGGGTAGAATTAAATGCTAAATTCAGATAATTATAAATTTTTCTATCCATGTGAACTTCCATTGAGACATTAAAAAATTACAGCAAATTGACATAGTTTTTTGTTGTAAGCAGCTATATTTTCAAAATGTCCAGATCCCTGACCTTGCCCACTAAATGCTAGTAGCAACCCCTCTCCAATCTTTATGATAATCAGAAATGTCTCCCACAATACTCCAAGTCTTTCCTCCTGCCCCCAGTATTGGGGTTGGAACCCAGGGTCTTAGCACTGAGCTACCTCACCAGTCTTTTTGAGATAGGGCCTCACTAAGTTGCTAAATTGCCTATGCTGTGCTGGAACATGTGATCCTCCTGCCTTTGCCTCCCATATTGCTGACTTTACAGATGTGCACTGCCCCCCACCAATCCCCTCTTTTGAGTCATCATCAACAATGTGATAGTGAGTTGCTTGGCATATTGAGACTGTTTTAGGGAAATGGTGTATTGAAAAATGGTCTGAAATCTTTTATGGGATTTAGAAGATCTGAGACATCTGTATGACTGGATCAGCATTCAGATGATTTTCTCTCTTGAATCACACGTTATGTGGTCACACTCCTGATTTAGGACTATAGAGATTCTGAAGACAGAGATAGCTTTTGTCATTACATTAAGATTTTTTAAAAAGTACCTGACTGCCCCAAATTAATATAATAAATTGAAGAGCTGTCTCTTTTTGGAGCTTCAAACTAATGACTCAAAGTAGAAACACTCTTGAAACTTTTTTTGGGCCTCCTCAGCCAGGCATATGAGACTTGAGTGTGGTAGCTTAAAATAGTAAGTGCTTTTCTGCTGTCTCTGTTGATGTTATATCTAGTTTGTTTTTACCCTCTAGGCTCATAGAACATTTCTACCTTTCAGGTTTCTCCCTCTATTTTTTTCCGAGTGAATTAACTATTAAGCTTAATGCTTCCACCCTACACTTTTTCCTTAAAAAAAAAAAATTAGAGAAGTGTTTTGCTTTCTTTTATTTTGAATCTCTTATTTTTTGTTTTTTGTTTACATGTTCATATCACCACTACATAACATCACCACTACATAAGATAGAAAGATACTTTCTTATAATCCCATGCTCCAGAAATAACTATGATAGTTATTGGTTCTGTCCATGTTTCTCATAAATACAAATTTATATATTTTAGATGTATTATGATGCTTCTTCTAATCTGATTCTGTTGCTGCTCCTTAAAATTGGTGATTTGAGGGGGCTGGGGATTTTAGCTCAGCAGCATAAGTGCCTACCTGGCAAGTGCCAGGTTGTGGGTTTGATCTCCGGTACCACAAAAAAAAAAAAAAAAAAAAAAAAAAAATTGGTGATTTGAAGTCAAATTAAACTAGCTTCTGATGCTGGGGATTTAGCTAAATCCCAGACCCCTAATTGCTTTTCATTGTAGTGTGTTTATATCGCTTTATAGATGTCTTCATATCATTCTTTTGTTTGACAAATTCAGGCCTCCTAGTTGTAGGAATTCAGAAATTCTTTTTTTTTTTTTTTTTTTTTTTGAGACAGGGTCTCACTGTGTAGATCAGGCTGGTCTTGAACTTGTGGTGATCCTCCTGGCTTAGCCTCCCAAATGCAAGGTTTACAGGTGTGAGCTACAACACTTGGTAAAGAATTCAAAAGTTCTTTAAAGCAAAAAACAAAACAAGAGGATAAAAACGTTTTAGATATTAAAACAAGAATGGTTCTGGTAACTATATGGCCTCAGAAAAATTAAGTCAATAAAGCTGTTTGCAAGTTTTTAAAAAAAATATAACATGTTTTAATGAGTTGGGTTGTTTTTTTCCCTGGTCTCTTTGAGACATGGTTTCGCTATGCAATTCAGGCTGGCCTTGAACTCACTTTGTTTTTGTTTTGTGGACTTTTTGAGACACTGTCTCACTATGTGATTCAGGCTGGCCTTGAGCTCCAACACTTTGTAGCCTAGGCTAGTCTCAAATTTGCAACAATTCTCCAGCCTCAGCATCCTGAGTGCTGGGATTATAGGCGTGCAATACCACCCCTGGCTTTGAACTCACTTTGTGACCTAGAATTTGCAGCAATCCTCCTGTCTCAGCCTCCCAAGTGCTAAGATTATAATATGCCTGCCACGCCCAGCTTAATGAGAATTTTAATTTAATTTTTTATTTTATTTTATTTATTTATTTTTTTGTCTTTTTTGTTTTTATCGGTACCAGGGATTGAACTCACGACTGCCTGCTTTCAAGGCAGGCGCTTATGCCGCTGAGCTAAATCCTCAGCCCCAAGAATTTTTATTTAGAACTTTTAGAATATGTAGTTTTTACTTGAGAAAACATTCCTAAAATTCATTTGAAACCAGAAGAGACCTAGAATAGCAAAAACAATTCTAGGCAACAAAGGCAAGTCAGGGGTATCACATTCCCTTTTCTGAAATTATACTATAAAACTACTGTGATAAAATTAACATGATGAGGCTGGAGGTATAGCTTAGTGGCACAAGTGCCTGCCTGGCAAGTGCAAGGTCATAAGTTTGATCCCCCGTACCAAAAAACAAAAAAAAAAAGCAAAAACAAAAAACATGATACTGGAAAAAAAAATAGACCTGAGGATCAGTGGAACAGAATAGAAGTTGTAGATGCAACTCCAAACATGCTAAGCCACCTTATCATTGACAAAAGAGCCAAACGTGTTCACTGGAAGATAGTCTGTTTAATAAATGGTGCTGGAGAAAGTGGCTTTCTACATGCCAAAGACTAATACTAGACCCATGTCTATCACCATGCACTAAACTAGATGGATCAAAGATCTAAATATTAAAACAGAAACACTAAATTACTGGAAGATAAAATACATAGAAATCTTGAAGACATAGTTATAGGTAGAGACTTCATGAACAAAACCCATAGCACACAGGAAATACTACAGAGAATCAACAAATGGGGCCAGGGATTTAGCTCAACAGCATAAGGGCCAGCCCGGCAAACATGAGGTCCTGCGTTTGACCCCATTACCCCCCCCCAAAAAAAAGAATTAACAAATGGGATCTTACTAAAAAGCTTTTGCACAACAAAAGAAACACTTCTTAGATAAAAAAATACAAACAACAAATAAATACATGAAGAAATGTTCACTGTCAATGGTCATTTGAGAGATACAAATATATATATGATATATATGATACAAATATGTATATGATATATATCATATAAGATATATATGATGGCTAAGATAGTTATGCAGTGAGTTTCTGTTCACTTAAAAGAGGTTTGTGATAATATTGTTTGGACAATATTTTATGCTTATATCTTGTACTCTGAATAACTACTATGAAGACAATAATATGCAAAGTATTATAATTGTAATTATTGTAACTACTAACCTGCTTTGAAATTCTGTTATTTTTATTTTTTCTCTTTAAAATAAAATTAAGCATTGAGGATGACAGTGTGCAATATATGTACCATTGTTGCCTCTGATTGACATATTTTGAAATTTTGTTTTAGTTCTCTTTTCTTTTTTCCTATTTGAAATAAAATGAATTTTGAAAAATAAATAAAATTTAAAAGGAGTGCAGTTTTTGTTGGTTGGGGGTACTAGGGGTTGAATGTAGAGTCTTTCTGTGCTTTGATTTTTTTTCAGTTTTTTCTTTTGCTTGCTTTCTTTCTTTCTTTCTTTTTTTTTTGAGATAAGATTTCAATAAGCCCCAGCTAGGTATTGGCCGGGATTATAGGCATGTATCACCTCACCTAGAAAATACAAATTTTTAAAAATGAATATTACCAGAATTAGACACCATCAGGAAATTTTAAGCAAGTTTTTTAACCAAAGAGAGAATCCTATCTCCATCACATATGTTGAAGTAAAACTGAGTTCAGATCAAATCAGTAGATAAAATCCCTACTATCTGCAGTAGGGGGATTGAACCCAGGGCTTCACACATGCTAAGCAAGCACTCTACCACAGCCCAGCCCCAACAGTATCTTCTTTTAATGACAAGAGTCCAGCCTGTATTCATGTGCCAGCTTTGTGTCTTCAGTTTTCCTTAGTCTACAACAGTTGCTTAGTCTTCCTTTGACTTTCATGACCATGACAGTCTTGAAGATTACAGATTATTTTGTAAAGTGTCCTCAATCCTGACTTTTCTGATGCTTCTTCATTGTTAGGTACACTTATGGTAGAGATATCAGAGAAATGATGCTGTATTTTTCCCATTGGATCTAGTTGCGGTGCTTGATTCAATTTGTCTCATAACTGGTGATATTCATCTTGATGCCCTAATTGAGGTGGTGTTTGCCAGTTTTTCCCCTGTGGAAGCTATTTTCTTCCGATTAATACTTTTTTTGGAGTACTATGAAACTATAACTGTCCTGTTAATCAAAACTTTGATTTATTCATTTATTTTTGTTTGTTTTCTATTTTTTGTAATGGGTTTAATCCATTACTAATATTATTTTGATGCTCATGTTGTCCCCACTTTGACCAAGAGGAGCCCCTTCAGTGTAGGTTTTTGTCTTTTGACATATCACTTTCTTTCTTTCCGTACTTTCTCCTCCTAGAATGAGATGATCTGAGTTTATCTTATGTGTCCTATGTGCTAGCCTTGGATTCAGCAATTTCTTTTAGTGGATCTGGACACTGATGTACTCTTTACTAGTGGGTTGTTTTTATTTCTGGATCTTCTTTTATTAATTTTGGAAAATAATAACCCATTAACTCTTAATGTATTTCTTTTGCTCTGTTCTCTCTTTGCTTCCTGGAACTCCAATTATATGTATGTTAGACCATTTGTTAAGGTCACATGTATCTTGGATGCTCTGTTCTGATTTTTTTCCCATCCTTTATTCCCCCCCGCTCCCCCCCCCCAATATTTCAGTTTGGTAATTTCTGTTGATCTCTCTTTAAAGTACGTAGGGTCCAATAATAATACAGTTGAAGGAATTCTTAAACTCTTACATTATTTTGGGTGGGGGGGGTTAAAATGTTTCTGTTTGACTTTGTTTGTTTGTTTGTGGCAGAGTCTCACTGTGTAGTTTAGTCTGGTCTTAAACTCATTATAGTTTCCATCTCTGCCTAAATTCCTTATTGATCCATGAATGTTGTCTATCTTTTTTTAATTTTTTTTTTTTTGTCTTTTTCGTTTTTATCAGTACCAGGGATCGAACTCATGACTGCCTGCTTGCAAAGCAGGTGCTTATGCCGCTGAGCTAAATCCCCAGCCCCAAATGTTGTCTATCTTTGACTATATCTTTCAACATGAACATATTAATTATAATTATTTTAAAATCCCTATCTGATCAAACATCTAGCTCATCCCGGAGTCTGGCTCTATTGATTTCTATATTTCTAGACAGAGTGGTTTTTTTCAGGTGTCTTAAAGTTCTTTGAGTGGTAGTCTCCATTATAGCCATGAAGTGGCTGGACTTATGCACCATAGGCTTCACACACCTTCAGCAATGAGCTGCTGTTGCTTGGGATTTGAGGTTACTAAAAGGCTTCTGCATTGTTTCTGTTTGACCTTAAGCTTTCAGCTGCTTTAGCATATGTGTGCCACAAGGTGGTGCTGGGGCTCCCTCTTCGAACACTGCCCTATCTGCTGCCCTAAGCTGTCCTATGTCCCTGGGCCAGCCTTAGTGAGGGTGAATAGGGTTCTTGGGACTTATGTGTTAGGTGCGGAACTAGTCATGTCTCTCTGAGGGCAAGGCTTTTTCAGCGTTTATTCCTTTTCTTTCTTTCTTTCTTTCTTTCTTTCTTTCTCTTTCTTTCTTTCTTTCTTTCTTTCTTTCTCTTTCTTTCTTTCTTTCTTTCTTTCTTTCTTAATGGTACCAGGAATTGAACTCAGGACCTTGTGCTTGTCAGGCAGGAACTTATGCCCCTGAGCTATCTCCCCAGCCTCCTCTCCTTCTGTAGCAGCCAAATTTTGTCTTTTCACTTGAGCTCAGTCTTGGGCAAAAGATATTTTCCTACCACTACAGAAAGCGAGAAAAGTAGCAGTAATAGTATTAGTAATATCAGTGAACTGTCATGGCCTCAAGAAGATTCTTTACTACTCTCCCAGGAGCAGAGTTTTTGCTTCTACCCTCTCTGGAAGCAGTGGATCTTTGCCTGTCCCTAATGGCAGGTGCAGTTCCTCATATTCTTCTTATAGCTCCATGAGAAAAGCATGCAGGGAAATACGTGGGTTTATACTGCCTCCTCCTCCACCTCCTCCTCCTCTTCTTCCTTCCCACCTTCTCCTTCTCCTCCTCCTTGTCTTTCTTGCTTTCGCTTTCTCTTTCTTGTCTTCCTTGCTTTTGCCTTCTCCTCCTCTTCTTTCTCCTCTCCTCCTCCTCCTCTTCTTCTTCTCACTCTGTCTTCCTCTCTCTCTCTCTCTCTCTCTCTCTCTCTCTCTCTCTCTCTCTCTGTTTTTAAGACACTGTCTCATTATGTACTTCAGGCTGGCCTTGAACTTACTACGGAGCCCAGGCTGGCCTTGGGATTACAGGCATGCGCCACCATGCCCAGTTTATACTAGCTGTGAGCACAATCAGTCCCCTGGTGGTTTTAGGTTTGGGTTTTGTTTTGTTTTTGGGGGGTTTTTTGGTACTGGGGATCCAACTTATGACCTCACACTTGCCAGGCAGGCACTTATACCACTAAGCTAAATCCCTGGCCCTTTTGGTTTGGTTTTTGAGACAGAGTCTTGCTTTATAGTTCAGGCTGACTTTGAACTCACAGCAATCATCCTGCCTCAGGCTTCCAAGTATTGGGATTACAGGTGTGTTCCTTTATTACCAACTAGGCCCCTGGTTTTATGAGCGATGGGGGGAAGCCTCTAGGAAAAAGCTTGCCTATGAGTATGAAATACCCTTGTGTCTGGCTGAACCTGCCAGAAATACCACATAACAGACTTTACCATACTTAAATCCTTTAATTAAATTTTTTGCTAATTTTTCTTACTCTCGTGTATGGTAACTGTGTCTTCCTCCCTTCCTTACCCTGCCAAAGGTGAAAGCAATATTCCTCCCCTCCTTAAAGGACTGACCGCTCTGGAGTTCATTTCACTTGGTGGTTTTATGACTTCAGTTCTTTGATGGGGTAAAGTAACCTTTGTAGGTTATGCAACCTTTTCTTGTTAGAGTGAAGTTGCTTTTGCTTTCTATCCTAAGAAGCAGAACTGCAAGTGTTTTTGTAAATTCAGTATTTTGGCTCTGATATCCTTTAATTAAATCTTATGGGGGCCAGATCTGCTAAATAGGTAAAAGCGTTGCACTTAGCTGGAACCTTCTCCCATGCCTCCCCCAGAAGACTGAATGCCTCCCATGCCCTCTGCTCAGAATACTGAAAAGGTTCTGTAGAGCACAGTTTGAAAATAACTGGTGTAAGTCATTCTTGATATACCTTCTCACTGTCAGATACTCAGATTTAATTTTCTGGGCTGATCATGTGGTACATGTATGTTCATTTTCTGCCTTGTCTTTTACACAGGTGCTTATGGAAACTCTGGGTGCTCTGGGGGCACAGTGTCGATGGGCAGCCTGCAATATCTACTCCACTCTCAATGAAGTAGCTGCTGCTTTAGCAGAAAGTGGTAAGATCTTTCGCTTGTTCTCTGTCTTTGGCCAAAGTACATCTCTGACAAGTTCTATTAGTTCACTAGAAGTCTTTGAGGCAGGTTCACAGTAAAAGAGCTGCCTTGGAAAAATGCATCCCTCGTTTTGACTAATTTGCTTCCTTTCTGGGCTTCTCTTGTCAAACAATAGCTGATATTCCATTTTTCATGCTCTGCTTTGACTCACTAATAGAATACTAGCAAACACTCCTATTGTCTAAAAGTATTATTGATTAGAGAATGCTTCATAGTTTTGTAGCCCCGCTGGTTTTCTAGCAAGTAGTTCACCCTGGTTTAATGTTTGGTGTTTCTGCTTCAGCAGTAAAGAGGACCTGACCTAGAAGATTAATATTTGATCACAACATCCACTGATAGGTGAAGGACAAAAGACAGGAATTTGGACTTTGCTGGCTTCCTGCCTCTCTGGCAGCAATATTTAAATCACAGTAGCAAACACTTCAAAGCTCCTGAAAAGTACTGGAGACCCATATAAAGGATACATGGCTCTCCTGCAGCTAACATTCTTGGCATTTCATTTGCTCTTTCATTTATATTTACTTATTTTATAAATGTTATCTATGTATGTATGTATGTATATGTATATGTGTATATATATATGTGTGTGTGTATATATATATATATATATATATATATATATAAACACATGCAAAAAAATTTTTTGCGGGGTAGAGATAGTCTTACTATGTAGTTCAGGTTGGTCTTGAACTCACTGTGTAGCATAGGCTGGCCTCAGACTTGCAGTGATGCTCCTGCCTCAGGCTCCTGTGTGCTATTATAGGTGTGCACCACCGCACACAGATATTAAATGTGTATGCCAATGAATTGTACATATTCATTTATTTTTCTCTCTTTTTTTTTTTCTGAGTCAGGGCCTCCCTATATAGTTTAGGTTGGCTTTGAACTCACTATGTAGTGCAGGCTGGCCTTGGACTCACAGAAACCTTCCTGCCTCGGTCTCCTTAGTATTGGGATTAAAGACATGTGTCACCATGCCTAACATACTCTTTTCAACAAATGCTTACAGACCTACTCTAAAAGAAAAAGAACAAATGAGACAATCTTTGCCCTTAGAATCTTGTATTATGGTAGAGAAGATAATATACTTACATAGTAGTGATAATAGAGACATATATGAGGAACATCATGACAGATCTTAAATCTGAATTTCATATACAAATAATAGACTAAAGTTTTCTTAGCTGAGTTACTCAGGCTTCAAAAGAAGAGGGACACTTACCTGGACTGTGACATGAAGTAATATTTTCAAGAATGTGAGTGCTTTTCCTGATGAGGAGGATGGGATAACTAAAATACAGAAACAGCCGGGCATGGTGGCTCACGCCTGTAATCCCAGCACTCGGGAGGCTGAGGTGGGAGGATCGTTGTGAGTTCAAGACCAGCCTAGGCCACAAAATGAGCTCAAGGCCAACCTGAACTGCATAGCGAGACCCTGTCTCAAAAAAGACAATAAATAAAGAAATAAAATACAGAAACAAGAAAGATCAAAGTGTGATTGGGAAATGGTGAGATTGTCAGTTTGACTGTATCAAGAAGCATTTATTTCTGGTTTCTTTTTTTCCTTTAGTCATATTTTTAGCAGCCATCATATTTTTGTTTATTTTGCTTGTCTTCTTTGGGGTAAGGAGAGCAGAATGAGCACCAGAGATAAAGAAATGGCTAAAGGTTCTAAAGGGAACGGTAGTCAGTGAAGAACGTCAGTCCAGGAATACAGCAAAATGAGAGTTTTGACTTGGGAGAAAACTAGCACCTTCTTGCTAAAACTTGAGAGGCAGCCCTTTTTACAGCCTTAATATTTTTCTTTGTTCATTTTTCATAGGATTTCCTGTCTTTGCCTGGAAAGGAGAGTCAGAAGATGACTTTTGGTGGTGCATTGATAGATGTGTGAATGTGGAAGGCTGGCAACCAAACATGGTGGGTCAGATTTCTGCTAATGGCAGTTCTGTAGGGGTAGGGGCTGAAATGGGAGGAGGCTATGCTTTGGGAGAGAATTTGTAACAAGGAAAGCAATGGCTTCCTTTCTGATGTGCTGATGTGCCTGGGTTTCTAGCAGAACTCAGTGCTTCTGCTTAAGATACTCCAGGAGTATTGAACCTTTTATAACTTCAAAGTGCTTTAATTGTTGGTGCTGATGCGGAAAGCATTTCATATTCATCAGTAAAATGAAAGTGCTGCTCAAGATTCACTCATAGCTGCTGAATAAGCAAAGGTAATGCACTTCCATTTCCTGCCACTGCTTACTACCTCCCCCCACCCCAACAACCACAAAAACACCAATCAAAACACCCCACAGCTCCTGAGGTACTCCGCCATCTCTCTAGAATCTGTGTACTGAATTTATAGTATACTTGAAGAGCTTCCAGATTCAAATGTTTTATTCATTGTTGACCTAAAAAAAATGACCAGAGTTTTACGTTTTTAAATTTTTGTTTCAGTTTTTAAAAAATCAAGTCTTTAAGGCTGATAGCATATCAGATTCACACTCAGAAAGCTACACAGAGTATGAGGCACTCTTGCTTCACAAATGTTTCAGCGTATTAGTGAGAGAAGAAAGTAAGAAATTAACTGAGAAAAGGAGCCATTGATTGCTGTGCAGAGCAGGTTTCACCTAGTACCTGGCAGAGCAGCAGCCATTTCTGAATTCTGTGATCCAGGTCCCATGGCATTAAGTGCTAGTTTGAGGAAGCTGGGTTAAAGCCTTCATATTGCAGAGGAAGAGAACAGTGGCTCTACAATGAGTCAGCTCATTCCAGCAATTTTAACAGTGACAGGAGGGAAGATGATTGACAGACACTAAAAAAGATATGCCAGAGGGGTTCTCCTGGGAATAAAACACTAATTTTATAGTCGAGTGCAGGAAAGATATGGAATTGTATTCAGAGAGCTTTTTTTTTTTCTTTTGGTGGGGATGGTTGAGACAAGGCTGACCTTGAATTTCTTATGTAGCCCACGCTGGCCTTGAACTCATAGCAATCCTCCTGCCTTAACCTCCCAAGTGCTGGGATTACAGTTGTGTGCTATCATGCCCAGTTTACCCAGAGAGTTTTTTACAAACTGTTAGAAACTTTAGTGAAGAAAATAGATAAGGATAAAAAGTTAGATCCCAGAAGGTGGGATCCACATCTCTCTGGATCTTGTCAACAGCTAATACTTTTCCTTGCTTTCGAACCTTAAGAAGATTTCCTGGTGACCAGTATTTTTTGTAGTAGCATTGAATTGGAGAACTACTTTCATTATATAAATATTAAGATAACTATCTTCCTGTGTCTCATGACTTTTTTAAAGGGAAAAGTAGACAAAAATAGTGGAACATACCATACGATTTATAATTATTTAGTTCATTGTGTCTCTAACCTTTTCTTTAGCTAGAGATTTAAGATTCAAGGGGAAACTCCATGGGATTCCATATGTGCACGAGAGAGAGAGAGAGAGAGAGAGAGAGAGAGAAATTCCAAAAATACTTTGAGATTCTTAGGGCATTAACTGTGAAGGTTTCTGCTTGTGCTATATGGATTGAGCATAGGAGTTTTAATGAGAATCTTATCTGAATTCCTGCTTTCAAAAAATTTGACTCAGAAAAAAATGCATCAGTAACAGGAACATAAGTGAAAAAGAGATTAGTTGGTAGACACAAGGTTAGGGAGCTTGTGTCCTTTGGGGTCCACAGTGGCATTTGGCCACTGGTAGCAGTTGTAATGGAACTGCAAGGTGAAGGCATGCCTGCAGAGGGCAACTCAGTCCTATGAGGACTTTCCAGGAGGATGGGCATAGCAATGTCCAAAGTTCCACTGAGTGCTTCTCATAGCACAGTGGAGGGCTGGAGGAGCACCACAGCCTAGTACCTAACAGTATTCTAAACTCATAGCACAGTGGAGGGCTGGAGAAGCACCACAGCCTAGTACCTAACAGTATTCTAAACTTCCTTTCTTTAGCTTATTTATAATTCAGAAACTTTGTCTACTGATGAAAGTTCCAGTGGGCACAGCATTGTGTTTATCTTTAATTTTAACCTGAAATAATGATGAGCTGTTCAGCAGCATGCTTACACACCTACATGCTGCACGGTTTCCTGGCTATTTTTAATATGGTTTATACAGAGTGTGAGGTTGTGCTCAGCAAAACCCCACAGAGTGCTTGATGTGTTGGGTGGGAGAATGACTGTATCTTGGGAGAAATAAAGGATTAATGAATATAGTTTTATAAACCATTTTTCTCAAGAGAGTATTTGTTCTTTTCCTTAAACTCAGCCTCTGTTGAATATGTTGAAAATCCTGTATTTAACCAACAGAGATTGACTATACCAAGTTCAGATTTTTCTGAAAATCTGTAGCATATGCAAGAACTGGTGGTCTAAATAATCACTTGTCATCAGTCCATAAGAAAATCTTCATTAAATGTAAATTTGCTATGGATGTGTCATGGGAAGGATCATTTGGTTGTGAGCTTTATATTGGCTTTTTGCCTCATTGTTTGCTTGTATGTAATGATATATATTTGGGATATTATTGCATTAACTCTGGCTTTAACCTACTTTGCATAATCATTTGGTAAATTTGAAATATCTGTAAATTAATAATTAGAATTTTGGATATAAGACCCAAAGAAGCACTGAATCCTTGAACCCTCCAGCAAAACGAATGATATTACTGGTACTTACCTTTTGCAGATCTTGGATGATGGAGGGGATCTTACTCACTGGATTTATAAAAAGTATCCAAACATGTTTAAGAAAATCAAAGGCATAGTGGAAGAGAGTGTTACTGGAGTCCACAGGTAAGATTTCACATAGGTATACCTGGTTTCATGCAGCTGAAACCATAGGCTCTTGAAATCACACACTAGTAGAACACATTGTGTTAAAAATTGGACCCTGCCATTAGCTGACCAGATCTCAAGCTGTGCACTTGCTTTTTAAATTAATAATACAAATAACAAACAAAATAGTGAGATACAGGCAGGTGGGGGAACAGGTGGGGTCCTCATGTTTTTTTGTTTTTTGTTTTTTTTTTTTTTGGTCTTTTTCTTTTTTATTGGTACCAGGGATCAAACTCACGACCACACACTTGCAAGGCAGGTGCTTATGCCACTGAGCTAAATCCCCAGCCCGGTCCTCATGGTTTCTAATCATTGTAATACAGTGACTGCTTCTTTTTGGATTAATTCATTTTCAACAAATATTTATTGAACTTCTCCCACAGTGGTGTCGAACCTATGACAACTAATGCATGCCATAGTGGGATGTTTATGTTATTAAAAGCTCTGAAAGATTTATTGTCACTGTTAAACAATAAGCCAATAATTGCTCTAGGGGTAGGGATCTAGAAATGAACAAAACTGACAAACACATGTGCCCTCGTAGAGCTTATATGCTTACATAGAGAATAAGGACATAGGCTTCTGTTTGCAAATGAGCAGTGATTCTCTAAAACTGCAGTCATTTCTGTTTGCTGTTATTTTACCCAGAAGGAAATGAAAAGTCTGAAATAAATTTTTGAGGAAATAAATTTTGAATTAGCCACTATAATTGCTTATTGCTTGAGTATATTATGATCTCTTAATATACAAAACTATGGATGATAGCATACCTTCAGACTCTTAGAAAGGGATAAATGTTGAATAAAACAAATAGTTTTGCCAGACATGGTAGTGGACTGCTATAATCCCAGCACTGAGGAGGCTATGAGTTCAAGGCCAGCCTGAACTACATAGCAGGACTCTGTTTCAAAAACAAAAATAGAACCCCAGTTTTAATTTTTAATTGACACAATTAAGAGATACACATATTTTTTGATATCTGTTTTGAGATTATAGAGACCATTTGGATGTTAAAATTCTTCTCTGGTAGTAGTTTGTTTAATTCCAAGCACCACAAAAAAATTAATAAAGTAAAAAATAAAAGCACTTGCTAAACTAGGTATTGTGGTGCAAACCTGTAATCCCAGCACTTCAGAGGCTGAAGAAGGAAGATTGCCACAAGTTTAAGGCCAGCTAAAATTGCACAGCAAAACCCTGTCTCAAAAAACAAAATGCAAGGGCCTGGGGATTTAGCTCAGTGGCATAAGTACCTGCTTTGCAAGCAGGCGGTCCTGAGTTCGATCCCCGGTACCGATAAAAATGAAAAAGACAAAAAAAAAAAAAAAAAAAAAATGCACGCCGGGGACTTAGCAGCGTAAGTGCCTGCTTGGCAAAAACGAAGTCGTGAGTTCAATCCTTGGTACAAAAAAAAAGAATGAATTCATACATACATGCACTTACTTACAGTAACAGAATTATATATGATTTTTAAAGCAATACAAAAGGCTGGGAATGTAGCTCAGCAGCATAAGCACCTGCCTGGCAAGGGCAAGGTCCTGAGTTCAAGTCCCAGTACCAAAAGAAAGCTCTTTCTTTTATAAATAAAATGAGAAATAAAATAAATCAATTTAAATTTTATATTTAAAGTCTCAAAATTAAGAGTTAAGAATTTTCCCCACATGACTTCGTTTGTTTGTTTTTTGAGGCAGTCTTGCTCCGTAGTTGCACCTTACTGAACTCATTGGATATCCCAAACTGTCCTCAAACTCACAGCAATCCTTCTGCCTCAGCATCTTGGGTGTTGAGATTATAGGTGTGTGCTACTGCATCCAGCCCCATATCACTTTTGAATGGTATCTTTATTTCTAAACTGTAGATAGTCTTTAAATACACATTACAGTACTTCTCAATATCCACCCAACAGGACAAAACTACTCATGACTCATGGAAATATTTCTAGGATTTAACATGAAACCAATAGTAGATTATAATGTCTCATGATTTTATGTTCTGTCATCCCCAGACTGTACCAACTGTCCAAAGCTGGGAAGCTCTGTGTTCCAGCCATGAATGTCAATGACTCAGTCACCAAACAGAAATTTGACAACCTTTACTGTTGCCGAGAATCGATTCTTGATGGGTAACATTTATTATCTTTGAGATGAACTTGAGTTATGAGGGTTTTTTTTCAGTTACGAGTTTTTTTTTTTTTTAATTTTATTTTGAAAGTAGTAAAAATGCAACAGCACAAGACAGAACAAAGCCGATCAAGACAATGCAGTGAAATTGGTACAGGATTTCACAGTAGTATACTGGGATAGTAGTAATAGGTACTATAGTATATCTCCTTAACTTCACAAATAGTTAGTTGTCTAGTCAATTAGGTATAACAAGATCAAACCAAAAATAGAACATTATAAAACCAATTGAGAGTACTGAATAGAGCAAAAGAAACATAACAAAACAAAACAGTGAAAACAACCTTTGCCTTCAAACAAAAGATGGAAGGAAATCCCCCATATTTGCTATAGTACATATGGTCATCTTCCCAAGAAATGCTGAGACATCTATCCCCAGTAGCTATAGTGGGGGAGGGGTGCTTGATTTTTCAGCCTGCATGGTAGGAGGCTCACAGGTAATGGTCCTCTTCCTGGCCCATGCTGCGGGTGCTTACCAAGAGGGTGAAAGAATAAGCTGCCTGAATCCCACCATGGCCGGATCTCGGGAGCTCTGGTTGTCTTCTTGGCCCACGCTGCCCATGACTGACAACTCTGCAGAGCTCCGCCTCAGGTGGGGGCGTGTGCCACACCCTCAGTTACAAGTTTTTGAGTTGAGGTTCTCTTTTTTTTATTTTTTGGTTATTTCCAGAAATGATTCATATGGCACCTCTGGATCTATCACTATGTCACACCCATTATTTTATACTCAGAGCTATACTGCCATCACTATTTTTAAGAAAATGTTTCAGTTAAGAAATGAGAGTAGCTCCTATATATTGATTAAGGCAGAATTCTTAATTTGTGACCCTACCAGGCCTATGAGTCATTAATTAAAGTTGGCATTAACAAACAAGTATCTTCTAGTTTAGAAAAAGGTTCCTACGTGTTGGGGATTTAGCTCAGCAGCATAAGTACCTGCCTTGGCAAGCGCATGGTTGTGAGTTCAATCCCTGGTATTGATAAAAAAAAAAGTAAGAAAAAGGTTACTGGTGATTTTATTCCAGGTTGTGGCTCATGCTCTAACTATACAATTCTAACTATCATATAGTTCTCTGGCCACCTGGAAACTTGTAGTGATCAGAATCAATTCACAAGGCATTTCTGGTTATTCAGATCTATAAGGCAAGTTGATAATCCACTTGGAAATATATACCAAATACTGTGTTCTAATACTTAGATTCTGTTTCCACACTTGTGTTTTGACATTCCTTTATTGTTGTTGGGAAGACTGAATGTATTAATCAGCTTTCAGTTATTGTAACAAATCTGAAATATCTTGTAAAAGTAGAAGGCTCATTTTGGTTCATAGTTTTACAGGTTTAAATAAGTTCCCGTTGAGTTGGCCTTGTTGCTTTGGAAGGCAGCACATTATGCCAGAAAATGCATAGTAGAATAAAGCTGCTCATCTCATGGCCAAGACAGGGAAGAAGAGGAAGAGGAAAGAGTTGGGGTCCCACTGTACTCTTCAAAGATATGTCCTCAGTGACAGGAAGACTTCCCACTAGGCCCCACCTCTTCAGGTTTTCATTATCTCCCAACGGCACCAAGCTGTGGACCAAGTTATTAATACCATAAGCCAGTGGTAATGACTGCCTTATAGTATTATTCATGCCACAATGGGCTGTTTGTATCATTGAAAGGGCTAAAATGTTCTTCATCACTGCCTTAACCCTTTCACCTTCAGATGTTCCAGATCCAAATTGTAGCATCACATCATAAGCCATTAAATGGAGCCATTAAGGAAACTGCGAAGTCAAATGGTTTTCATTGCTTGTAGTGTAATAGCTTTTTATTGGCATGACCTGACAAACTTAAAGGAAGAAAGATCTCTTTTGGTTCAGAGTTTCAGAGGTTTCAATCTATAGTTGGTCGGTTCCATAGCTGTGGACTTGAGTGAGGCAGAACTTTGTGACAGAAAGGTGTGGTGAAGCAACTTGCTGACCTCATGGCAGGGAAGCCTGCAGTGGAAAAGAGAGGACAGTCGGGCTAATAGAGCTTCTGTATGAAGAAGATATTGGTGATAGACCTGTGCTTGTGGCTTGGTCATACAGGATCATCATCAACGCTGAGGGAAACCCCACTGTCACTTTCCTAGAGAACACTTGTGCAATTGGGCCCTGGTCCAAATGCAGTGCAAGTACAGTCTTCTGGAGACTGAGGTTCCATTTGGCAGACAGGATAGCATTGGAGCTCCAAATGAGCCCAGGCAGGATTTCTAGATCATAATCTAGACGTTTACAGGAGTTCTTCTATTACAGGGTCCTGGGGTTAGAAGAATTAGTAAGAAGTCAGAGAATTGGCAAGGCTCTAATTCAGCAACAGACAGCTTATTACCCTAAGGCCACCCAAAATTCTTCCTTGGCTAAAATCTTTTGTATGTTTTATCCTTTCCCTTTGAGGCATATCTGAGCCCTAAGATCACAGGGCAACCTACCTAACTAGAATCCATATATGTTTGTCACCTAACAGTTGTTTGTAAAAGTAGCAGTGTTAATTATATTTCTAGGGGCTGGGGATTTAGCTCAGCGGCATAAGTACCTGCCTTGCAAGGTCGTGAGGGGGTCGTGAGTTCGATCCCCGGTACCGATAAAAAGAAAAAAATAAAATAAAATCATATTTCCATCCCACCACAGCCATTTGTAGGCGCAGAAAGAGAGTGTCTTCCTTTGGGAAGGGAAACAAAACAAATTAGAGACTCAATGTAACCTCAGGGATAAAACAAAAGATTTTTTTTCTAACTTAATGGTGTTTTTTCCTCCTAGGCTTAAAAGGACAACAGACATGATGTTTGGTGGAAAGCAAGTGGTGGTCTGTGGCTATGGTGAGGTAAAGTTTAACCTTTATTTTACCAGGTGTCTAAATGTGTTTTGCTGAAATAGTCTAGAAGAGACGGGATCTCGCTATGCAGTTCAGGCTGGCCTTGAGGTCACTTTGTAGCCCAGGCTGGTCTCGGATTTGCAAAGATACTCCCACCTCAGCCTCCTATGTGCTGGGATTACACGCCCAGCTTGAGAAGAATTACTTTTGAGGCCCTCTGGTTAAAATACAATTTTTCTTTTCCATTCTTTTTTTTTTTTTTTTTTGTCTTTTTCGTTTTTTATCGGTACCAGAGATCGAACTCACAACCGCCTGCTTGCAAGGCAGGTGCTCATGTCACTGAGCTAAATCCCCAGCCCCTCCATTCTCATTCTTGCCACTTTTTCCTAAATTGATTTTCTGACTTGTTCTATCACCACTATTTGTGATGTTCTTTTAGCTTATGTTTTGATTATAAATCATGAGTGTGGGTGTTCTTGTGCACATAAATGTACTACGTAGGGATTAGGGGTTTGTTTATGAACTACATTGTTTTTCTTATTTTTCCCAAAGCATGAAACTATTTAGTGAAATTCTTATTTTTCCCAAATCATGAATCTATTTAGCAAAATTCTTTTTGGGGGCGGAAAGAAAGATATACTTTACCAGAAGCTTTAAGAAGTGTTTTCTCACTGACTTTCCTTATTATATGCATTCTCGCTCTTCTTTAGGTGGGGAAAGGGTGCTGTGCTGCTCTGAAAGCCATGGGCTCCATTGTGTATGTAACTGAAATTGACCCCATCTGTGCCCTGCAAGCCTGGTAAGTGTGCAGAGACCTGCTCCCTCCTCTACACCGCCATTTAAGGTGCCTCCAAAGAATAGCCTGGGTAATGCCACATCTCATGTTAGAGAGGCCCAGACCCTCACAGAAGCTGCTGGGACTTAAGCTTCTGTCTTTCAAAAGTCAAAGAGCTCTGATCTGACAGAAGATAAAATTTAGAATTCCTTTGGAAATATAACAGGAGATACTTTGAATTAGAGAACAAATAGCCTCTTACTTCTTCCATATGTAATCCCTGTGCCTCACAGACCAATGATCAAAACAATGGCAGGGCTGAGTGTGGACCTCAGTGATCATAAAGCGTGTGTCTAGATCACCAAAGGTCCTGGGTTCTATCCACAGCACCAAAGAGAGAAAGGGAGAGGTGCTGGTATTCAATGCTTTTTCTTTCTTTTCTTTTTTTTTTTTTTGGTCTTTTTCTTTTTTATCAGTACCAGGGATCGAACTCACGACTGCCTGCTTGAAAGGCAGGCGCTTATGCCGCTGAGCTAAATTCCCAGCCCCATCCAATGCTTTCTTATGTGACACTTGGAAAGGAACTCTTTTGTGATATTCTTCCTCAAAATGTATGACTTAAATCCAATGAAGAAATATCCAACAAATCCACATTAAGAGTAAAATTTGCTAACTCTTGAATGAAGGGTATATGGGAATTTGTTTGTACTACTCTTACAATGTTTGTTTCAAATGACTCCAAAATGTAAAACATTTTAAAAAGAGCAGTTTCTTTCTTAGCTTTAATATGCAGATAATTATACCTATCTCATAGGATCATGAAACATAAATAAAATAGTTATATTATCATCCATTATATAATAAATAACTAATAAGGTACAGAACTGCTGTTACAAAATAGATGTTCACCAAATGATAGTTATTATTAATATTGTCTCTTGCCATCCTCAGCAGGATAAAAATGTCACTTGCAGGTCCAAGTGTCTGTAGTTTGTATACCTTATACAATTTTTACCACTAACCCTCCAGAAGGAGGTCCCCAGGGTAAATGGGCACAGCATGATGCCATTTCCCCCTACCTTACCACTCTTCATATTTCCTAGCTATAAACTCAACAGAGCAGAGTTGTTGATTTTCTGTAAGCCAAGGTTCCAGCATTTGAGGGGAACCATCACTGTTCTTGTACTCTCAGAGTTCATTATAGAAGCTTGAACGTGATACTGATTGCAGTATAGTTCAGATTATCTATCTATTGTGTACTGTGCTGTGTGCTGATAATGATTAAAGTATAGATGAGTGAGATAAGGCCTTACATTTAGAAGAACACAGATAAATAATCACCGTGCAGTGTAGTAAGTACTGTGATGAAAGTAGATGGCACTTGCTTGTATAGGAACATAAAGGAAAAACTTTTTTTTTTTTTTTTTTTTTGTCTTTTTCCTTTTTATCAGTACCGGGGATCGAACTCATGACTGCCTGCTTGCAAGGCAGGCACTTATGCCGCTGAGCTAAACCTCCAGCCCCCAAAGGAAAAACTTCTAAAAGAAGGAACAGGGCAGGTAGACAGAGAGATGTCTGTAAAGCTGTCTTGGTGGACAGGGTGGAGGGTCTTAAGGAGTTGGAAGCAGAAAGACTGCCTCAACTTCTGGGCCAGCCTGGAAAGAAAGGCCCTGCCTCAGCACACACACATGTATGCACACACACACACACACATATACCACAGAGAGGGAGAGCCAAAGAGAGAGGAAGGCCAAGAGAGAGAACTAAGAACTGAGAAACTTGTATTTTCTTAGTTTGAAAGTCTATGCTGGGTGCAGAGAACAAGTGCATAGTATCCAAAGAAGATAGCACAGCATATTTAAGAAGCTGTAAGTTTAGCTAGCATCTATATCCATATTAGTATTCAGATCTTATCCTGAAGAAAGACAGTATCATTGAAGTATTTTAAGGAAATAACATGTTCTTTTTTGTGGGGGAGGGGTTTGAGACAGGGTCTTAATATGTAGTTCTGGCTGGGTTTGAACTCACTATGTAGCCCAGGCTGTTGGTGATCCTGTTGCCTCAGCCTCCTGAGTGCTGGGATTACAGGCATGCATCACCATGCCTGGCTAGGAAATGACATGTTTTAATTGCATTTAAGGAAATCACCCTGCAACATGTTTTTAAGAGACACTTAGAAGCAATGAGATTTGACCAGAGGTCACTGCTGTAATTCTAGACAAAAAGTCATAAGGCTTGAGTTAAGCAAGCACAGCAGGTATAGAGAATGAGAGGATACATTCAGGAGTTTTAAGAAATTAAGAAAATAGATTTGGTGACAATTTCAATTACAGAGAGCAGCAAGTTTGTAATATTCTAGTTTATTTGGTTCCAACAGTTGGGTTAACAATGATATACTGATGAAGATAAAAAAAATAAAGAAAAAAAAGATGGGGATGGAGTGCACAGAAAAGATTATGAGTTTATTTTCTACTGCAGTAAGTTAAGATCTTTCTCAGACATTTGTGAGGAGCTATTCAGTAGATAATTTGATCCTTGTTGTGAAGCTTCAGATAGATTGAAATTAAAGGTTCAAATGTGCAAATCACATAGCTATAAGTGCTCATTTGCAGTGAAGGGCAAGATATGAATGAGTACTTAAAAAAATACAGGAATCCAGAGTGGAACCCTGCAGAGTTACTAACGTTTAAAGATTGGCTGAGATTGAGGAGAGATAATTAGAAATTAAAAGAAAAACCAGGAGACAAAGATATAGAATCCAAGAAGTATAACAGTATTTAATGTTGGACCAGGGATATAGCAGGCAAAAGTGTCTGCCTGCCAAACATAAGGCCCTGAGTTCAATTCCCAGTAGCAATAATAATAATAATAATAATAATAATAATAATAATATTTAATGTGGCAGAAGAAATTAAGTGGAATAAAAGGGTAAGAGATACTTTTGTGCATTGGCATCGAAGAGATCATGGATGATTTTGGGATGGCAGTTTCATTGGGATTGTAGATTCAGTGGCTAAGTGGCACTTTCTAGAAATTTAGTTGGGAATCTCAGGATAATCCCTGGTTCCCTATTGTAGTAAGAAATGAATTACAGTGATATGAAGGAACCTTTTATTTCTCTTCTGAGTGAGCTAAGGAAATGATTTGGATTTTTCACTAACAGAAACAGTCCAGCTATCTCAGGTGATACTATAGGAACCAAAGGAAGTTGGTGTATTTGAGATTGTGTGCCAAAAAGGCTCCCTAGATGCTGATTAAGGTTCATTGCTAATGCTTTATTTCTACAGTATGGATGGATTTCGACTGGTGAAATTAAATGAGGTCATCCGACAAGTGGACATTGTTATTACCTGTACAGGTATGGTTTTACCATATTGAGTGGCATGGCATTTGGGAGTGCTTCACATTGTTATTACCTGTACAGGTATAGTTTTACTATATTGAGTGACATGGCATTTGGGAGTGCCTCCAGAGTACCTGAAAGATAACTGGAAATGTTCTGAACAAGGCTGCACTCTAAAAGCCAGAAGGCCAGAAGGCCAGAAGGCCAAGAGTGGTCCACAAAACCATCGGCCTCTGTTGCGTTACTGCTACCTCTTTAGAGGTCTGACCAAAGATATACCATTAGAGGTATACTGTAATAAAGGTATACAATGGTTAGAGATGATAGGATTCATTTGTAGAGATTTATTAGTGAAACCAGGTCTTAAATTTGTATGCTTGGTTTTCTTTTCTTTCTTTCTTTTTTTTTGTGCTGATGATTGTACCTAGGGTCTCAAGCTTGCTAAACACACACCCTACAACTGAGCTATACCTCCAGGCCCCTTGATTCTTTATTTTACCTACAAAAGCGAAGTATATTTCTCTGTAATCCCTGGAATTAAGGCAAGGCTAAAGCAAAATTCTTCACAGTTAGAGAAAATAGAAGATCTTAAAAAAAAAGAAAGAAAGAAAATAGAAGATCTTGAATTTTAGAGAAGAATATAGGTGGCTAATTTTATTTTATAATTCTATTTTAGAGGAGGAACATCAGAATATTTTAAGAATAAAAAATATACTTGTAGCCTCAGGGAGAGCAGAGAGCAGGGAAGAGGAAGGACCTTAAGATGTTGTTAGGCAGGGCACAGTGGTCCATGCTTGGGAGTCTGAGGCAGCAGGATCATAAGTTTGAGCTTAGCCTAGGCACTTTAACAGGACCCAATCTCAAAATAAAAAATGGAGCTATAACTCCAGCATTCTGGGAGGATGAGGTAGAATGATCACAAATTCAGTCTCACCCTGGTCAATCCCTCCCTGTCTCAGAATAAAAAATAAAAAGGACTGGAGATGTAGCTCAGCATGAAGGTCCTGGGTTCAATCCCTGGAGCTTAAAACAGCCTAAAGAAGCTGTCTTGTTTCACATTAATCTATCAATCCCCTGGATCTTTTTCTTTTAACAGATTAATTGAGATATAATTTCTCTACCACATATTTTACCCAATTAAAAGTGTACAATTTGGGCTGGGATATAGCTTACAAGATTATGGGTCAGTCTCTTGCATCAAAATAAGTAAAGTGTATAATTCTGTGTTTTCTAGTAAATTAATAGGATTGTATAGTCATCACCATAGCCTATTTTTTATTGATATAATGCATATAAAGTTAAAGCATATAATTCAATAGTTTTTAGTAAAGTTGTGCAGCATCCCTTTATCTAATTCCAGATGTCATTTTCATTACCCCAGAAGATAAACTTCATACCATAAATAGTCACTCTTATTCTATCCCTTTATCCTCCTCTAGCCCTAGGTTAGCATTTTGCCTATTCTGGGTTTGTTTTTGTTTTTGTTTTTTGTCTTTTTGAGACAGGGTCTCCTGGCCTTGAGTTCACTTTGTAGTCCAGGCTGGTTTCAACTCTCAAAGATACTCCTGCCTCAGCCTCAGTGCTGAGATCATAGGCATGCACCACCACACCCAGTTTGTTTCTGTTTTGAGACAGGGTCTCAGTAGATAGAGTACAGGGTGGCCTTGAGTTCATCATGTAGCCTATTCTGGCTCTGAACTCACAGTGATCCTCTTGCCTCAGCCTTCTGCGTACTGGGATTACAGGTATGTGTCATGATGCCTGGCAAGTTTTGCCCATACTGGACATTTCATGTAAATGAAATCATATAACACACAGTCTTGTGATTGGCTTCTTATATTTGGCATGATTTTTCAAGCTCATCTATATGATAACATGTATCAGTACTTCATTCATGTTTATTGCTAAATAATATTCCATGGCACGGATCTACCACATTTTATATCTCCATTAAGCATTTGTTGGACCTTTGAATTTTACTTTTGGTCTGTCATGAATGATGTTACTATGGGGTTGAGGATGTAGCTCAGTGGTAGAGTATTTGCCTAACATGCACAAGGCTCTGTGTTCAATCTCTAGCACTACCAAAAACAAACATGAAACAAAAATATATATAAATAATGCTACCATGAATATTGTATACAAGGTTTTATGTGGACATATATTTTACTGGATATATCCCAAAAATAGAATTGCTGGGTTATAAAGTAATTCTACTTTAAAATTTTGAAAAATTGCCAAACTATTTTTCAATGCTGGTGAGCAGTAGGCTAACATATATCACAGCCATATCACCTTCACATCCACCAAACTTTTTCAGAATGACACCACTGTACAATGCCCTCAACAGTGCACAAGGGTTCTAATTTCTCTGTATCCTTACCAACACTTGTTATTGTCTGTCTCTTTATTTTTGCCATCACAGTGAGTATTAAGTGGTTTTTCACTGTGATTTTGATTTGCACTTCTCTGGTGACTAATGATGTTCAGGAGCTTGTTAGTCATTTGTGTATCTTTCAGGAAAATATCTATTTAGATATTCTATTAATTTTTTACATTGAATTATTTGTCTTTAGGAACCATAAGAATTCCTTATATATTCTAAATACAAATTCATTTTCTGTTATATGGTTTGCAAATCGTGAGTCCCATTCTTATGGGTTGTCTTTTCACTCTGTTAGTGGTAACATTTGCAATACAAAAGTTTTAAATTTTTTGGCTAAGCATGGTGATTTTACAACATAATCCCAGTTATTTGAGTGGCTGAGGCAGGAGGTTCATAATTTTAAGCTACCCTGGCAACCTAGCAAGATCCTGCCTCAGAATAAAATTTCTAAAAGGGTTAGAGGTATAGCTTAGGAGTAGAGTTCTTGCCTAGTGTTTGCAAGGGCCTTTTAGCCCCCAGTACTGGGGAAAAAAAAGATTTGAATTTTGATGTAACCTAGTGTATATATATTTTTTCTTTTGGCTGCTTATGTCTAAGGTGTTATATCTAAGTAAACCATTGCCCAAACTCAGTTTCAAAAATTTACTTCTATGGTCTTCTAAAAATTTTATGGTTTTAGCTCTTACATCTAATGTGATCCATATGATCCATGGATCTATGATCCATGTGGAGTTAATTTTTATACACCGTATGAGTTGGAAAGTGTACCTTCATTCTTTTTCTTGTGGGTATCTCTTTTGTATTTAAGGTAACAAGAATGTGGTAACCAGAGAGCACTTGGACCGTATGAAGAATAGCTGCATTGTATGCAACATGGGGCATTCCAATACGGAGATTGATGTGGTAAGACCAAGTGGTTCCTTACTGGTGTGTGACCTCTCTGTCTGTTTCTGCCTACGCCCTCAAAATCAAACTCAAACCCGGAAGAGGAAGGAGCAGGATCATCATCAGCCACCCTAAGTATAACTGTCCTAGCAGAGTTGTCCATATCCATTCATATACTAGCCCTATGCTAGTGGATACTTTAGTGGATACTTTAAAGCTTCCTTGTCTCAATCATTTAAAATGATTTCTTTCATCTAAGTCTGATATACCTACTTATACTTTAAGCCATTTTCTCTTTATCTTTAGGATTGAGGATTGGGTAAACTCAAAACTATAAGATACAATGAATGTTAAGTAGAATGATAGTATTTTGGAGATGTTGGATTTTACCATAAAGATGAGATCAGTAGGTTGGTCAATGAAAAAAAGTCAAGGAAGAAAAATGACTATGTCTGTTAAAATTGACTATGTCTGTCAAACACTACAGTTTCTCCTTTTCTCTGCCTCTTCTACTGGACTATGTCTCCCCTTAACATATTTTCTGGACTGTTGTAACTGGGTCTATAGAAGTCACAATCAATCCCAGCACAATTGTTTGCCTTCCCTGCACCTGGAAAAGCTTTCATCACTTTAGTTCTCTAATTTGATTATATTGATCCTAAAATTTTCCAATCCAAGATTTTACTTGGAATAGTAAATTCCCCAAGTAATAGTTAATAGAAGTATAATTTCTCTTTAGACCTACAAAGTATCTCTCAATATGACTTTTACTCTGACTTTAAATTTCTATGGCACGATTCTTTCTCTCTGGGGTAACTGGCTCAACCATAGCATGCCTTCATCTCCACCGAGGGCTGCTGTGATTGAGCTTCAGCATTGCCAGGTAAGGATGAGTTAACTCACTGAGGTGCTGTTGAATAATACCTATTTTATATGAATTTTTCTTTTGAATCCTGTGGTGTACTCTTCTGTTATTAAGGGGCCAGGGGCTTTCAGGTGGCTCAGTGGTGAAGATTTGCCTACCATGTGAAAAGCCCTGGGCTCAATTCCCAGCAACACTAAAAAAAAAGAAAAAAACCCACCAAGACCTGTTTCTATTCTGGGGTGTCTCAATGGGATGGCTTAGTTACTCTGTCCTGCCATGCTAGTTTGCTCACAGTTAATACTTTAGCTAATATAGTAGTTGGTTCCTTTTTCTTTTTAAGTTGCAGTTATGTGCCTTGCTGCCCCTTTCTTAAATGGTTAAAGGGAAAGGAGGAAGAAATTTTCTGTTCTAAAAATTCAGGAAGCTTTGAAATAAAGATAGCTCCAAATACAATCATGGATGATTAGTATTTTTACTTTATGTTATTTCATCCCCTAGCTACTTCATAGGATGTTATTTTTTTAACTTGCAAGGGATGCAAAGAAGTTAAGCACATTGACAACTGTATAATTGATTCAAAATGAAACTGGGGCACAAAATCCATTGTTTTGACTCCAAGATGAGTTTTGCTTCCAATATGCTGTATTACTATCACATCCTGACCAGCTAAAATTCTAATTTTAAAGTGATAATTGCTCAATTTAAAATTTCAAATGAATTTATATAAATATTTAAAGTAAAAAAGTACAAGATTGGCATTGTGTTATAATGTTCTGCAACTTTTTCCACTTAACAGTAATTTTCATGGCAACATATATAAATTTTGTTTTGTTTTATTTTGTTTTGTTTTTGGCAGTGGTGGGGGATTGAACCCAGGTCTCATGCATGCTAGGCAAGCTTTGTATTACTGAGCTACATCCCTAGCCTCTTCTTCTTCTTCTTCTTCTTCTTCTTCTTCTTCTTCTTCTCTTCTTCCTCCCCCCTCCCCTCCCCCTCCCCTCCTCCTTTCTTCTTCTTCTTTCTTCTTCTATTTGCAAAGTAGTCCAATCTATGGAGCTATCATGATTTACACAACACCTGGGAGGCTGAGGCAGGAGGATTGCTGCAAGTTCAAGACCAGCATAGTGAAACCCTGTCTCAAAAAAAAGAGAGAAAACATTTATATAACCATCCCCTTGTTGATTTAGTTATTATAAATAATGCTAGACTGAACATTCTTTGATGCTTATATTTCTGAACTTGATGAAGTGTATATGGAAGTCCTAAAAGTGAAACTAAAATTAGATACATATAAAATTTTCCTAGCTATTGCCAAATTGCTCTATGAACTGCTTTATGAAACTTTAATGTCTCAAGAAATTAAAAAAAATTTTTTTTGATGTTTCTTTTCTTCCTGATGAAAGATTGATACAAGCTGGGTATGATGGCACACACCTATAATCCTAGCATTTAGGAGGTTGAGGCAGGAGAGAGATCCCTATGTGTTCAAGGCCAATTTGGATACATAGTGTGTTCAGAACAACCCTGAACTACAAAGTGAAACCCTGTCTCAAAAAAAAAAAAAAAAGATCCAAACCATGAGTATGGTTCAGAATACACTGAAACATAACAGTATATCTATCTTTCCTACTGTTTTGGTACTTGACCATGAACATCTAAACATTAGTTAAGCATTCCATTGTATATTTAGATAGAACTTAAGGGTAGAAAAGTGAAAGAAAATACTGTCCCTATACTATTCCTCGCTATAAGTTGTTCCCACTCTAGTAAAGGAATCTGTAGTCTTACCTATACTTGTGTCCTTTACTACAATGCTTAGAATATGGTATATACCTAGTAAATGATTATTATATAAATAAAAGTATTTTTCTTGTTTTAAAACTAGTATTTGACAGAAATTTTGAGTTTTTCAAACGAGCCAATGGGTACTTTTAGAATATGAGCTCTCTTTCTATTTTAGGCACTTCTTTTGGAAGAAGAGAATAGTTGTCTTACATCTACACCCTATGACTGTTACTTGGTTGCTGTTGTTAATAAACTTAACATTTTTTTCTCTTGTTTTCTAAATATACAATATACAGAAATGGAAGGAGGGTGAGCCATTGGGAGCTTTACTGTACCATTAAGCATTTTTTTAAAAGGCTACCTCACATTTGCACTTAGGTCACAAAGCTCCTGTAACGTTAGGGTGGACTGCCATCACTGTGAAGGTGGACCCTGGGACAGTCTGACAGCGGGCAGAACCTTGGGCCCAGCATGCTGTGTTTAGGGCATTCAGCCTTCCCCAGCTAATCCCACGCAGCTCTGATCTTCCTTCTTTGTCTCTTCAGCACTTACGTTATTTAGTTTGCACTGTATTAATTTGCACTTGTTTGCATGTTGCTTTGTATTTTCCTATCACATATGTATTGTTTTGTGTCCCCAACTAAAGTGCGGGCTTTTTGAAGGCAGAAACCATGCCTTTGGCTTCTTTTGTATTTCCCATAGCACCTTTCACTGTGCTCAGCAGAGAGTGGGCGTACAGTGTATGTTGTGGAATGACATCCTGAGTGATCCCTCCCTGGCTGGGCCTAAGATTAAATTCCCTGAAATGGAACAGTCCTAATCAACCCAGGACAGGTATTCTCCATGTGGCATGTTGGTTGCTCCTTGACATGGCACCCTTCACCATCTTTCTGTCACTAGCATGGGACTTGCCATGGCTAATGATGTTTGTAACTGTCTGTTCCAGGCAAGTCTACGGACACCAGAGCTGACTTGGGAGCGAGTGAGATCCCAAGTTGACCATGTGATATGGCCTGACGGCAAGAGAATAATCCTACTGGCTGAGGTAAGACTTGAGACCAGCAAGAGAAGTGCCCCCTGAAGGGCAAACTGCAGTGCCCAGCGCTCCTCTGCCTCGCATGCCCTCATTCTCTTACTGCTCTGCCGTAAGCACAAGTTTAACTGCTTAGCAATGGATTGTACTTCTAATTGTGAAAAGTCTTTTCAGTTAGCAATTAAGAAACTATTTTGGTCTCCATTTTTCACCAATTATCCTGTCTCTCCATGTCACTCTCCAGGCTGAGTCAGATAATGACTTTTAACTGTGGAAGGAATTAACAGATAGAACCAGTGCCACTTTGAGTGATGCTTACAAAGGGATAATGTCATTTGTGGGATGGTTTAATCAGGAAGCACAAAGTAGGAATTCCTGACTGTAACTTAAGACTATCTTAGGCAAGCTCTGGGAAAGTCACGTCTTGGCCGAGAGAGTCCCTGTGTTTGTGTGTCTGTTTCCTTGAATTGAGCCAGATGCATATCAACTATATATATGGTTGGTTGATTGGTATTTCCCACCCTGCTCCTTCTAGCCCACACTTACTCTGTTTTATTAATATTATTTTATTATTGTTGTTGTTTTGTAGTTCTGGGGATTGAACTCAGTACCTTCAACCCACGAGGCAAATGCTCTGCCACTGAGCTCCACCTCTAGCCCTTACATTTATTTTTGACTTTCATTCTCAATACTTTTCTGTATCAGTGTTTAAACTGCTTTTCCTTTATTGAAGGCTACTTTTCCACAGTCCTGTCTTCCTGGCTACTATAATTCCCCATATTCTTCCTATAAAACCTTCTCTTCAGGGAAAGATAGCAAAGTAGCAAGAAGGATAATAATATTTTGAGGGTTTCAATTTTTAGTCAGTTTTATTTACTATTTTAACATTATTTTTCTAATCTTTTTTAGTGATGTAGTTTATTTTTATTTTTTGTCTTTTTGAGACAGGGTCTCACTATGCAGTTCAGGCTGGCCTTGCACTTATTTTGTAGCTCAGGCTGGTCTCAAACTCACAATCCTCCTGTCTCAGCCTCCCAGGTGCTAGGATTATAGGTGTGCGCCACCACACCTGGCTTAGTTTTATTCTTTTATACTAAAGAATCAATATGAAAAATATAAATAATATTCTGTCTTTAAGGGTCCATAAAGTTAAATTTGAGTACCCTTATTGTTTCCTTCACTGTTTCTGTATCTCACCTCAAATATTTTAGGACATCTGAAAAGGAACTGAATTATTTCTTCACATAGAGTAAGGGAGGGAAGTTTATTAAATGAGTATTAGTACTTTTGATGTCAGCTGGCTATCCAGTGACTTATTTAGGTGGCCTGGGAAGTCTGGGAAGTAACTTTGATGAGAAAGCAAACATCATCAGTGTTTTTTGCCTATATAGTTTTAACAAAAACAGTAGTCAGGCTTCCTAGGAAACAAAATAGGAGAGGATAGTGTACGGGAGAGTTTCTAGTTCTTCAGTCTGAATCATCCACTCAAAATTCAAGGCTGTCTTTGCATTCAAGAGAATAAAACCATGGCAAAACACAAAAATTGTCACAGCTTCCTAAACTCATAGATATCTATCCTTACAACCTGGAGATTTCCCCTGGTCTTGACTAGACATTGTCTAAGACAGACTTTCAAAGGAACGTCAATCCTCAGAAGAAGGATATTCTGCGACTGAAAATGAAAAAGTAATTTGAAGTAAATTATGCCCTTCCCTGGCATAAGCCTTAGCATCACCCAACTATCTATATTCCTTTTTACATAATTCCAGAAATTGTTTACCTAATATCTTTACCAAATTTTCCAGAATTTTCAGTGGTTTCATTTAAGTAGCAGAAAGAAAACATAAATGACCAACAAGTACATGAGAAATATGGTTACCATGAATCATCAGAAAATGTAAATTGGGGCTGGGAATTTAGCTCAGCGGCATAAGCACCTGCCTTGCAAGCAGGCGGTCGTGAGTTCGATCCCCGGTACCGATAAAAAAAAATGAAAAAAAAAAAAAAAGACAGAAAATGTAAATTAACACTTCAGTGCGATAAGAATGGTCATTATGAAAAGGCAAAAGATAGCAAATGCTGGCAGATACATGGAGAAAAGAAACACTTACACTCTAATATAAATTAGTACAGCCATTATGGAAAACAATTTTTTTTCCTTTTTTTTATTGGTAAGAGGGATCGAACTCATGACTACGGGCTTGCAAGGCAGGTGCTTATGCCGCTGAGCTAAATCCCCAGCCCCATGGAAAACAATTTGCAAGTTCCTAAAAAAAATTAAAAATAGAACCGCCACATATTCCAGCAGTCCCACTACTGAGTATATAACCAAAGGAAGTGAAATCAGCAAAGACACATCCATACTCCCCTTTTTATTGTAGTACTGTTCACCGCATCCAAAAAATGCAGACAACTTAAGTGTCCCTCAGTGATGAAAGGATAATGAAAAGATGAGTATATATACACAGTGGAATATTATTCAGTCCTAAAAAGGATATGATCCTGTCATTTGCAACAACATAGATCATTGTACTAAGTGAAGTAAGTCAGAAAAAGAAAAATAAGTACTATAATATGATTTTACTCATATGGAATCTAAAAAAATTGATCTAGGCCAGGTACAGTGGTACACACTTGTAGTCCCAGCACTTGGGAGACTGCAGTGGGAGGATCACCAGTTCAAAGCAAACCTGAGCTACACAGTGAGACCTTGTCCCAAAAACAAAACAAAACAAACAAAAAAAACTTGATCTCTTGGAAGCTGAGAGTATAATGGACATCACCAGAGGCTGGGAATAGTAGTAGCAGAAAAGGAGGGATAAGAGGAAGCAGATCAGTGCATACTAAGTCATAGATAGAAGTGAGATGTTTAAGGTGTGTTATTGATAGTAGGGTAACTACGGTGAAGTGAGATATATATATATTAAAAAGCAAAAAAAAGATTTTGAATATCAAAATGAAAAAATGACAAATGTTAGAGACAGATGTGCTCACCTGATTTAAATATTATATATGTGTGAATTGAAACATCACATGGTACCCTATAAATATGTTCAATTTTTGTTTTTATGTATTGGTTTAAAAATAAATTTTATTTATTTTTTTCTTTTTGAGACAGGGTTCTATAGTGCAGTTCAGGTTGGCCTTGAACTCACTTTGTAGTACAAGCTGACCTTGAACTCATAGCAATCCTCCTGCCTCAGCCTCTGAAGTGTTAAACGTAAGTTTAAAATAAAACATTTTTTTAAGCACTTCAAAAAACAAAACAAAGGTGGATATGGTGGTGCATGCGTATAATCCCAGCACTTGGGAGGCTGAGGTAGGAGGATTGCTGTGAATTTAAGGCCAGCCTGATCTACGTAAGCAAGTTTAAGGTCAGCCTGAACTACATGGCAAAACCCTGTCTCAAAAAAAAAAAAAGTTACCAGGCATGGTCATACATGCCTATAATCCCAGCACTGGAGAGACTGAGGCAGGAAATTGCTATGAGTTTGAGGCCCATCTGGACTATATAGTGATTTCAGTCCCAGCCTGAACTACATAGCAAGACTGCCTCAAAAAGTTATCCATTCCTAGCATTGAACATCTGCTTTTTATCCAGGAATGTTTGTTGGAAGGGTTTGGAGAACAGCAGTCCTGCTCTTCTTTTATTTCTCAAAGGCCAGCAGCCCCCATAACCCCTCTGTGTCTTCACCTTTCATCACTAGGGCCGTTTGCTGAACCTAAGCTGCTCCACAGTGCCTACATTTGTGCTCTCAATCACTGCAACTACTCAGGTAAGGCCTCTGAAGTGAACAGCAGTGGCAGGAGAGGGGCTCAGACTAGCAGTGTTTCACTAGACACAGGGTAGCCTGCTGTGAACACTCTGTCAGTATCCACCTGTCTGCTTTTCTAGGCTCTCGCCTTGATAGAGCTTTACAATGCTCCTGAGGGTCGATACAAGCAGGATGTGTACCTGTTACCCAAGAAAATGGGTAAGCATGTACTCTTTCTTCCCTATTCTTACCAGAGTAGTTCAGAATCAGAATCTAAAGGAAGCTTGGGGGTAAAAAAAATAAAGGTATCTTTATTTTATACAATAGGAGCTAGGATTCTTAGGTTTTGTTCACATTTAATTTATCCCATTTTCCACATGGGTTGCCACAGTGAATTTCTTACATTTTGCTGTGATTTAGCTTACCTGTCCCTGAAGTTTGAGGATTTCCTGTCGTAAAGTATATTGTATGCAAGAATATCAAAGGAGGAAACCAAAAAAGATTTCCCTATCATCTCTTACCTTTTGGCATCTGATTTATTCCAGTTCTAAACTGTTAAAATAGCCCTGACTTTCAAAATACACCTTCCAATGAATGTTAGAACCATTGCTACTACCAAAGGGTCTAGAAGTACTTCTATCAAAAGTTTTAGTTTTGTGGGTGTTGATATAAAAGAAACATTAAAATTTTAAAGTGTCTGAATGTTGGGGGCAGGGGATTTAGCTCAGCGGCATAAACACCTGCCTTGCAAGCAGGCAGTTGTAAGTTCGATCCCCGGTACTGATAAAAAGAAAAAAGACCAAAAAAAAAAAAGTATCTGAATGTTACAGTATGATATAAACCCCTCAGACAAAGATCAGGAATAAATCAGCTCTTAGTTTTATTTCAGCAACTGTTAGAAGTTATATTTTCTCGGCACTGGGGATTTAGCTCAGCGGCATAAGTGCCTGCCTTGCAAGAAGGCAGTCATGAGTTCGATCCCCGGTACCAATAAAAAGGAAAAAGACCAAAAATAAAATAAAATAAAATAAAATAAAATAAAATAAAATAAAAAGAGAAGTTGTATTTTCTCTTTACAGACAATTTAAAAGGATATAAAATATATAGTCCATATTCTGATTATATAATGAAGTTGGGAAAACCAAACAAATATATAAGAATACTCTGAATATTTTGAGTAACAAAGCACATTGAGATAATAGACTATAAACAGAAACTCCTAAGGAGTACTAGCCCGGTGTAGTGGCACACACCAATAATCCCAGCACTCTGGAGGCAGGAGGATTGCTGAGTTTGAGGGCAGCCTGGGCTACAAAGTGAGTTCAAGACCAGGCTGGAATACATAGAAGAAGTAAGAGTATGAAAAGCAGAGCCAGGTGAGGCAACTCACACCTGTAATCCCAGCACTTGGGAGGGTGGGACAGGAGGCTTGCCATAAATTTGAGGCCAGCCTGGCTTCCATAGTGAGTTGAAGACAAGCTGAGACTACACAATGAAACTGTGTCTCAAAAAAAGACCAGGTGCACATGCCTGTAATCCCAGCACTCAGGAGGCTAAAGCAAGAGGACTGCTATGAGTTTGAGTCCACTCTGGGCTACAAAGTGAGTTCAAGGCCAACCTGAACTACATAGTGAAACACCGTGTCAAAGAAAGAGACAGGCTGGGGATTTAGCTGTGGTACAAACACCTGCTCACAAGTGCAAGGTTGTGAATTTGATCTCTGGTACCAAAAAAAAAAAATACTAAAACGGGCTGGGGATTTAGCTCAGTGGCATAAGTGCCTGCCTTGCAAGCAGGCGGTCGTGAGTTCGATCCCTGGTACCGATAAAAAGGAAAAAGACAAAAAAAAAAAAAAAAAAAAAAAAAAAAACTAAAACAAAACAAAAAAAAAAAACCCTGCATAGTATTCATTTCAGTCAAAACTTTCTAATTTTCTCAAGGTGTTAGCTTTTCTGATTGACCTGAAGTATAGAGTCCAGGGCAAAATTAAGGTTGGAGCTTCCCATTTCTTAGTCTGCTCACTATCTCATTCTTCCTTTTAAACCCCATGCTTTCACCTTTCTTGAGGAGAAGGAAAGGTTCAAGGCTGAAAGAGATGGTAAAGAAGAGCCGTTATGGCTTTAAAAGGCACTGGGATTAAAGCTGAAGGCAACCATTCCTTAGGATTGAAAGCCAATAAGCAACAGTTAAGCATGTTTTACTCTGCTCCAGGAATCTGAAAGTGTTTTCCAAATGTTTAAGTCCTTATCTGAGGAGTGAAGAATAGCGAGATAGGAGAGATGAATGCTTATACCAGGACTTCTGTGGTCTATTCCAGATGAGTATGTGGCAAGTCTACACCTGCCTACCTTCGATGCCCACCTGACAGAGCTGACAGATGAACAGGCCAAGTATCTGGGACTCAACAAGAATGGGCCCTTCAAGCCTAATTACTACAGGTGTCTTGGGCTCCCCAAAAATCAGGGAGGCCTAGGTGGTGAAAGCTTCCTATACTAGAATTGACATTTGTGTCTCCCATCACATACATTTACATGAACTCAGAAAATAAACTGGCTCCCCTTCAGCTCACTTGCAAAGAACACTTTGAGACCTTCCTCAAACATTAAGTAATATTCCCCTTCCCAAGATGTACTGACCCCTATTCACAAAGGTAAAAAGGAACCACAATTATCTATAGTCCAAAAAGGCTTCTGGTTCTTTATTACACCTTTGGACAGGCTCTTCATGTTCCCGTGTCTTCCACTAGCTGATAACATCACCCTCTCTTCTTTCTTTTTCCCTCCAGGTATTAAGTTCCTGTAACTCAAGCCAGAAGTTTTAAGGAATAGAGTTCCAAGCCTTTTCTCCATTACTATCCAAGAAGAACCCAGCAAGCTGCTTCTCTGATCAGAGCTGCCCGCCGTGCTCACCCTGTGTGTTAGGTTATTTATTTATTAAAATCTAGATTCCTGTGCCTGTAGCCTTGGCCCAGAGTGTGGTTACTGCTCCAAGGGCCATGAGAGCCACAGAGGACAGACTGAGGAAAGAAAAACAATGGGGTAACCTTTCCTAATACATCCTTCACATCACCCCCCACCCCACTGAATCCTCAGCAGTGGCCATTTTTCTCTTGTGCTGGCTCAGGATTTAGCCCAGGGATTCCAGACTCCTCCTTCTCTGGGGTTTTCTGGAATAAATTTTCAGCAGCTGCCTTTCTCAGCTTTTGCCATTCCCCAGATGAGGCCTTTTGGAAGCCACCAAATTCACATGGCTAGTTTCCCAGCCTTGACCATCACTATCACTGCTTTTTTTTTTTTTTTTTTTTTTTTTTTAAATAAAAAAGGCTTGTAAGGAAGGAGTGCTAAGGCGTTGGCAAGCTGCACCAGAAACTCAGCTAAGCCTGTGCGTGTGCCTGCTGAGGTCTCCTCCTTCACCCCCAACGCTATCTTCTTGGATATTTTCATGCTTTCTGGTTCTGAGACAGATGTTCCTTCATGATTGCCTCAACAGCTCTGGTGTCTGTCAGCCATATGGTTTGCCATCTTTCTAACCCCACCAAATCCTGCTCAGGAAGTGGGAACCAGCTCCACTGGAACCCAGTTTTGCTTCCCTGTCATTTAATGGAGTTTCCCAGGAAGCCCCCTCTGTCCCCTCCAGATTGATGCTGTCTCAGAAAAGGAGGGCTTGTTGTAGAATACTGCTTCCTGAAATTTCCTGTTACTGCCTAAAACTATTTCTCAAACTGAAAGGGAAAGGCATACTTTCCCAAGGACTTGGAAATGGGACAGCCCTTTCAGGCCGACAGCTTGACACTCTAAAGAAGCAGATATGTTTTTCTCTGGAAAGACTTTGCAGCTTGACTGGCTGACAGATAAAGAGATGACACTATAAGCTCTGCAGATGATCAAAGCTAGTTTGGCTAGTTTGAACCTCTCAGACATTCACCCTTCTGACCATTGTCATTGATGGCAAGCTGATCTGTTTTCTCTGCAGGTATCTTTATGATCTGACCTCTTATTTCAGGTTTTGGTTTCAGAGATAGTTTCTTGAGTAATTACAGAATTATAAAAAAATTTTAATAATATGAGCAGCCTGAGATTTTATATTCCATGTAAGAGTTGAATTCCTTTCAGAGACTCAGTTGCTGAGGGAACCAGAAAGTTTAGGTTGACTATAGGAATCTTGAAATGAGTCTCTCTTCCTGCAGCCAACTATATTTAACACTCTCATGTTAGTTTGCCCTTTTTTTTTTCTTATGCTGGTCTGCTTCAAAGTCTCAGGACTAAAGTGATTCATGGAAACACCATACCACCCAGAATCACTATAACCTTCCTATCCTGATCCTTCTCCCCTACCTCTGTCCTCACCAACTTCTTGGGTCTTAACATTCACCCTTGGAGTAGTCTGGAAGTGCCCTTACTTTTGAAGATAGGGAGGTAGAGCTTGGGTAAATGGCTGTTTATCTCATGAAATAGTATACAAGCTCACCCATAGTTCTTCAGAGGTCTCAGCAGTACCACATACATAGCTACATTCTTTTTTATAAGGAAGACAATAAATGCTAACAATTCCACTAGTCTTCTCAATTCTATTGCCTCTCCAGTTCTGAGTTTTATATTAATTGAATCTCTTTAGCAAGATTCAGGTCTCTGCACCTTATCTCATGTTCAACGCTGATTCCATTAGGCAAGTATCTGGATTCTAGCCTATTATGTTCTTAGACCAAAAATCAATCTGCTGTTTCTCAGCAAAGCCTTGGTCTCTAAAGAACTTACTATATTTTGCCTCACTATTATGAAGAAACTCACTTCAAATAGTAAAAGAACCACAAGGGCTTCTAAGTTAGCTGCCAGTGTTGCTGCCCATGGTGAAGTATTTGCCTCTGAGCTTCAGATGATCTCTCTCTCCCTGTCCCTCCTTCCTCTTTCCCTTTCCTCCTCCCTTTCTCCCTCTGTCATCAACCATTAAGAAGGAAAAACCCTAGGCCTCCTGTCTGGGTTAATCTTAGTGTTGGATCTGATTATTATTCTCACTGCCTTTGGAATCAGAGCAAATATGTCTTTTTTTCCTCCAGCCGCTCACCTTAGATGCATCTTAGCTAATAGGGGGCACGAGGAAGAAGGCTGTGTGTGGTCCTGGCCTGTGGGAATACATACCATTTTATTTACAATGAATTTGTGCTAGTTTCAAGGTCTTTTTGCCTTCTTAATGGGAATATTCAGTTTCCTTTTTCTCATTTAGAAAAAAAGACTTCTACCTTTCCTGTGCCCTTCTCCCTCCCAACCTACTTCCAATCTGAGCACGGCTCCCCATGGCCAAAACTCCTGCAAAGCTTTTTTGCTGCTTGGCTTTTCTTTGAACAGATCTAAAATTGCTGCTCCTGTGGTTTTCTCAAAATTAACTTAGTCATGGTTTAAAAAATAAATTAAATAAAAATGCATTGTTGCATTAAGCTTTTTTAATAAAGAAAAATTATGAAAATAAAATAGGCAACACCAGCAAATTATATGTGGAGTCCTAAGCTATATATACTTATATATAAATATATATAAAACTAATCATCTAGTTCTCATTGTCATCTTACTGAAAGGAAAGAAACCTCTAAGGATCGCTATTTCTGAGCTCTTGGACATCTTTGTCTAAATGATTGTATTTGATCAGCAATAATGACTATGTAATCTCAAAAGACAAATAAAATATTCTTAAAATGAGTTCTTATTTTGGATTCTTGCTTCTGTAAACTAGGAATCCAGAGCTAAGGCTGGACAAGCTTGAGGGAGCCTGCTGTAAGGGTAAGAATGTTAAAGCTGAAACAGTTTCCAGTAGACAGTTTGAGTGATCATTCCTGAAGATCCTTGTTCCATTCTGGGTCACTCCACTAATAAATATCTGGCCCCTCCTACCACTTTATCCCAGCATGACATATGCCCTAACTCCTGCGTGTAAAGAACTACTACCTTGGGGAGTTGAGGATTAGAGGTTGTAGGCTGAGATATGGAAGTATGGTTCTACACCCCTCAAGCTCTCTGTATGCTGCCCTTAACTAGAGAGTGCAGGAAGTCAGCATCCCCACAACTTGGGATCAAAAGACCCAGACACTGAGGACCCAGTTATATCCAGGCAAGGGAAGAAATAAATAGGCAGAGGTTTGTCCCTAAATTAGGTAACCTGACTAAATAGAAAATGAATCCTGTTGCCTCTTTTTTCTCATTAGCAATAGGATAGCTTTCTTATTCCTTCCCCCCTTCCCCCCCGTAGCTTTCTTCTTCAGTTAAAAACCTAAACTAGTTCTACATCTTGTGGGCAAGAGGTGTTCTTCCCTATCAGAATCTTCTGCCATTTTGACTGCTATTTATTTAAATGAGAACCGTAGGACTAGAATAGTCTGGGCAGTTGGTAGTGTCTCAAGCTGGTGCCATTCCAGTTAAGAGAATGCAGCTGCTAGCAATGAAGGCCATGAGTCAGCAGGTTGGATTTGTTCCCCTCCAGCAGAGTTTGATTCCTCTTTTGTGAAGAATGGAACAAGTGTGTTGGTTTTAGTTCTAGACTCACAAGGTCAGCCCAGGCTGCCCACTGTTAGGCATGTTTCCCTACCTCATAGAATTATAGAAAGACCTTGGGCCTTGAATCAGGCTAATTTGAAATTTTTTTGTTGTTGTTTTTAAAACAGGGTCTCGCTATATAGTTCAGGCTGGTTTTTAACTCACTATGTAGCCCAGGCTGACCTTGAACTTGTCACAATCCTGCCACAGCTTCCCAAATGCTGAGATTACAGGCATGGCCCACTATGCCTGGCTGCTAAATTTGGATTTGAGTCCCAGCTCTGCCAAGTTGTATAATTTGCCCAAATTCTATAACCAATAAAAGCCTCAGTTTTCTTGCCTGTAAAATGGTCAATGCATACCTTACAGGGTAGAGATTTAATATTTTATTGTATGACAACAGCTTAAGGAATCTCACACACCCTGTTTATTACTATTTTTTTTTTTTTTTGTCTTTTTCCTTTTTATTGGTACCAGGGATCGAACTCACGACTGCCTGCTTGCAAGGCAGGCACTTATGCCGCTGAGCTAAATCCCCAGCCCCTCACACACCCTGTTTATTAACATTACTTTCTTGTCTCGGTTTGGGGGTCCTACAGCCTCCATCAAGTCATTACATCCACACTTGCCTTTTACAGGGGAAGGAGAATGTTATATCCTTTTCCTCCTTACCCGAACTGCCTCATATCCTCAAAAACAAGGTACTTTAAGACTTCCTGTGTTATATTCTCAAGCATCGTCATGTTAGGTGCTTCTATTTAATCAAATATTTGACCTCAAATGACAAAAGGAGTACGTTTGATCCTTGTAACTGTACCTATTTATACTTTCAACTCTCTGCCAGCAGCCTGAGTTTTGGGATGAAACCTAAGATACAGGACAAGGGAAATACTGGTAGTGTAGGTTTTTAAATAAATTTAAAATAACCCAGCCCTAGAGGTGTCTCTGCAAAATAAGAAGACTTGTTTGTAGATCAACCTACCCTCACTAGCAAATAAGCTAAAAGAAATTTAATGTGTGCTAATTTCATGGTTTCAAAGTTTTCAGTTAATCTGTGGTTTCTCATCACTTTCATTTTTTTTCTCAGATATCTTCCTTTTATTTTATTTTATTTTATTTTATTGTTTTTTTTTGAGACAGGGCTTTGCTGTGCAGTTCAGGCTATCCTTGGGTTCACTTTGTAGCCTAGGCTGGTCTCAAACTCCTGCCTCAGCCTCCCGAGTACTGGGATTACAGGCGTGAGCCACCACACCCGGCTTACTCCTCAAATATCTTCTAAATCCTGAGCATCAGTACCTATATTGAGCAGATAGATAGCTGATCTTTACTCTCTTCCATACTGCTGGACTGTTGAAAAGATCATGATTTCTTTGCATTCTCCATAGCACCAGTTTTTCAAATCTGTTCTTTGAAAGTAAGCCCTATAAACCTCTAGGCTCAGAAATTGACTTTAGATAGATACTAGAGGGGGTCTAAATGCTGTCCTCTATCCTTCCAATAAATCATGTCCCCTTACCTCAAGGGACAAAAAAAGCAACAAGGCCTCAAAACTGGCCATGTGGGGATTTCTACTACTGTTGGAGATACTACTGACTGATGAAGTTCAAAAGAATATGCTGGGGATTTAGCTCAGTGGCATAAGCGCCGGCCTTGCAAGCGCATGGTTGTGAGTCCGATCCCCGGTACCAATAAAAAAAAAAAAAAAAAATGGCAACTTCAAAAAATATGAAGTTCTGGGCTTGTTAATCCTAGAGCTCTGACTACTTAGAAGGGGAAGTGTTGAAAAAAATAAAATACATGATTATTTTTAGTGAAAAACCCAGTGGCCTAGGGGCTGGGGATTTAGCTCAGTGACATACGCGCCTGCCTTGTAAGCAGACAGCAGTGAGTTCAATCCCCAGTACCAATTTAAAAAAAAAAGAAAGAAAAACCCAATGGCCTGTATGTACTATGGCAGTTTTATCACACCAAAGTGATGATGAGGTAGATACGGATTGTGAATTTTAATTCAGAGTGTAAGTTTTTAAGAATTTAACAAACTTTACTCTGGAAAATTCCAAAATCAAATAGTTTAGGCCTTGAGCCAAGAACTTTCTTGGAACTACAATACACATCAGTTCAGTTCTGTGAACCAGGGGATTTCGACAGAGGTTTTGCTCCCCAGGAGACATTTTGTAATATCTAGAAATATTTTTTGATTGTCACAACCAAGAAGTGGGTACTACTGACATCTCCGAGGAAAGGCCTGATCCTATAACGAATAGGACAGTGACCCCCCACCATAATTTTTCAACCCAAAATCTCAATAGTAGAGGTTGTGAAACTTGGCTATACTCCCATCCATGCTATTTTGTAAGTAGGAATAAGATTCAGAGAGGAAAGGGAAAATGGAGGAGCTGAGGAGTAAGATGTTGGGAACTCAAGACAAAAAGAAACCCAGAAATTTCCAAGGAGTGCTGTCTCTCAAGCCTGCTTTGATTCATCATCTACCAACTAGCAGAGGGAAGAGTGAGGGAGACATGATTAGAAAGGAATGTACTCATCCCTACCATATGGAAAGGGTAAATAATTTTGGGCTCCTTGTTTTTGAAAAATGGTGGGAAATGCTGATTTGAATTCCAGCAAAGTTGATTTGACACTAACACATACTGAAAGGGGTAAGGATGACTAAAAAAAAAAAAATTTTTTTTTCTAGAGTAGGAGGAGGGTGTGATAACTAGAATCTGTAAGGAAGGAGTCAAGCAAGAACAAAAGTTTCCTTCAAAGAACAACACCCTCTGAACACTGAGACAAGGTACAAGATATTCGCAGTTGCAAGGCATCGTAAGAACGAGCAGTATTCTATGAGTCCTAGTTTTCTCATCAGTGATAATGAATTCGTAAAAATAACCTATCAGAAGAGATATGATATCTAGAAAGCTTCTAGTGCAACGCCTGGCACAGAGCACGTTCAATCCCGCTTCTCCCCTTTCTAAAGCAACCTGGCCTTGGATAGGAGATTTGGTCTCACCCATTCCCTTCCACCTGCTTTTCTGGGACTTCCATTAGTCAGCCAGAACTAACTGCCAAATATTTACTACAAGCTGCTCTTGTTAGATAAAGTCTAGAGACAGACCACCGACAGACTGCACAGCCTCCACTGCCCTGGTAATATCTAGAAACATTTTTGGAAAGGATCTTAGACAGGGAAAGAGAGGAAGACAAAGGGTGGGGATGGGTGAGCCTGAGGGTTACTGTCTGTTCCCAACATTAAGAAGCTGTCCGTACAGCAGAGAAAGGCAGATAACCACTAGCAGCCCTCAAAGGCATCCGCAATTTCAGAGAAGTAAAAAACACCCCCATCATACCCCTCACCGCCAGTCTCCTAGCCAGCCCTCTCTCCAGGCTGGATTCATTTTCTTTAGAAAGCTCTCAAAAATACCAAGTCTTTCGTTTCTTGCAGTGATCCTGGCCTTCCTTGCTTCCAAGTAGGTTGTGGACGGGTCCTCCGGCTGCGATTTGGGGGGTCTGGGTCTGCTGCAGTGGAGCAGGGGGCGGAGTGTAGAGCTCCCAGAAAAGGTAGCTTTCTGGGAGGGGTGGGTGCTAAGGTACCTTGCGAGAAACAAAGAGCTAACCTGCCCGCATTCAAAGCCCAGTGTTCGAAAGGCAGGGCGGGAAGCCACCCAGGACTCTCTGGTTACCGACGACACTGCAGAAATAAGGAGGATAAAAGGAGTGGGATATTCCTTGAAAGAGCCCCCACATCCTCCAAGTCCCGCTCCGAGTCGTCGCGCAGCCAATCGCGCTGCGGGGCGGGGCCGAATCGAGCAGCCACAGCCAATAAGGACGGGGAGGGTGGGGTTTGGCTCTGGGCGCGCGGCAGCGGGGTCGCCCGGGCCACAGAGCGCCGGGTGGCAGAAGAGAGCCGCGGACCAGCCACATGGAGGACCTAGCGGCCCCCGGGGCAGGGAGTCTGCCTGCCAATGGCAATGGCAATGACAACGGCAAAGGGAAGTCTGCGGCGCCCAAGGGTCGGGAAGCGTTCCGCAACCAGCGTCGGGAGTCAGAGGTGAGGAACCAAGAGGTTCGGTTGGGGCCGGGAGAAGCCCGCGGGCGCGAAGCGCGACTGAAGTGATAGGGGCTCGGCCCAGAACGCCGGGTCCCGGCGGCTGCAGGATCCGCAGCACCTAGACGCAGCCGTGTAGCCGCCACTTGTCCCCAGCGCCTCCGGGAGAGAGTAGAGATGCCCCTCTCTTTTCTGGGAGCCGAGAAAGCGCGGTAGCGAGCGTCCCACCGATGTCCAGGTACTTATCTCACTGGGTCTCTGCAGCCCCTTGAAGCAAGAATTGGGATCCCGACCGAGGGAAAGCACCAGTGTGGAGGGGTCCTGGGACTGCTCGGGCGGGCAGAGGCGGCGCCCGGCTGGGGGTCCAGATGGGCTGGGGCTCCGGGTTGACCGCGAGACTGACCCTTCGCATCCCTCCCGCAGACTTTGACCCCTACTTGTAAGGTTAAAAGAGATCCAGGCACAGGCAGTACCTGAGTGAGTGTTTGGACGGACTGACCTAGGATACAGGCAGGACTGTAAATATTTAGGTCTCTTCCTCTTCTAAAAAAGGGATGCTAACTAGGACAATGAAAGGTCTGGATTATTATCACTCCCCCACACCTTCACCCAGCCTATTTCCATCCACTGGCCAAGTTTTGGAATTGGATTAGAGTGGGAATCAGAAGAGACCAGCAAATATCAAGTGTGGAAGAACCTGGAGATGTTCTGGTCTAGTCCTTTCATTTTACAGAGTAAAGGGGACCAAACTAACTTGCCTAAATCCAGACATCTGAATTAGTGAATGACCAAGAGCACCATGTTTCTGGATCTGTCAGACCAGGTGTTGAATCCCAGTTTTACCTTGTACTCTCTGGCTTTTATCAAGTTATCAAACCTTCATGAGCTGTCCACCTGTGAAATAGGGTTAACATCACCTACCTTAGAAGGTTGTGATAAAATCAAAATGAGATAACTGAGTGCAAAATGCATAGTATAGCTCATGAAATTAATAGGTCCGTACATAGTGGGTCTTGTGCTGTATTACTATCATGTTTTTTGGCATCCCAGTTCACAATTCAATCATTTGAATAGCATTTCAGTTTCCCAAGTGATTTCATGTGTGCTTCCATTTTGATACAAGCAAAGTAGGAATCATCCACTTTCTTGCCCTTTTTCTCTCCCTTTTCCCTTTCTTTTTATTTGTTTTTTGTTTTGTGCTTTTGGTTTGTTTGTTTGGTGCATCAAGCCCACACATAGCCTGGTAAATTCTAAGCATGTGCTTAATCACAGAGCTTACATCCTGAGCTCCTACTTTTTATGTTTGTTTGAGACAGTCTTGCTGTGTGCTCATGCTTCACTGTCCTCCTGCCTCAGTCTCCTGAGTGCTAGGTTTAGAAGCCTGCCTCACTTGTGCTCTCTCTCTCTCCCCCCCTTTCCTTCTTCCTTCCCTCCCTCTCTCGCTCACCTCTCTCCCTTCCCTTCTCCTCTCCTTCTCGTCTCCTTTCTCTCCCTTTCTCCTTTCTCCAACTCCACTTTTTTTTAGTTTTCGAAGACAGGACCATAGTATAATCCAAGCTGTACTTGAACTCAATAGGTAACCCAAGCTGGCCTCAAACTCACAGTCCTCCTGTCTCTCTGCCTCCCAAGTACTGGGATCCTAGCTTCTGTTTCTTTTAAAATACAGAAATAGAAGAAGTGAAAAGACTGGCAGAACTTAACTGTACCCCTCCTGGATCTTATCCACCACATTGTCTCTCTTGCTAAGGATCGGGTCTTTTAGGGTCTCTGGTACCTCCTTCACTCACAGAGAACTCATCTTGGAGGATGAATTATTTTTAACTCATCACTTAGTTATTGAAATCTTTCTATATGTCAGGCACTGTCTTAGAGGTTAGAGATGCATCAGTTAACAAAAGGTCTTTGCCTTTGTAGTGCTAACATTCCAGTAGGGGTAGAAAGACAGATAATATGCAAATAGGTAAATAAAATAGCTTCAGAGTGATGTGTTCTATGAAAGTATTAAAAATAGCCCCTGCTCCTATCTCTTTTCCGAAGTGGGAAGCATGTCCCCCACCTATCAATATCAAGTCTTCCTTCAGGAAAAGGCTCAAATAGTTGCTTTGCTAATGAGCTCAGTGTCCAGAGACTCAAGAGTATTCCACTTGCACCACAGTTTACCTGATGATTGCCTGCAGCTGCACTCTTCATGCTTGGTAATGAACAACTGCAGTGATCATGTCTGTCTGGCTCACTACCTGCCAAAAGCCTGGCTGGAAAGATTAGCTTTCTTCCACCTTTCCGTGCTGCAGGAGACACCTGTTAGTATTATCCCCTTGTCACCACAGTCTCCAGGTGCGGGATCTGCTTTTCCTTCTCTCTCCCTCTTTTTGCTGTCCTGTAGGAGACAGTCCTTAGGGAAATGATGTTCATTCTTCCCTAGGGCTTCTAGAAAATTGCTAGAAAAGAATTGCTATGGATAAGAGAGCCTCATTGGATATCATGTACTTATAGGAAAACTGTTGACTCACCCTCTTCCAAAGGTCTAGTTTATAAACATCCTATACACTAAAAAAGGAAACCAGAGGATAATGTTTAATAAAACAATTTATAGCAAGGGCCAGAGATTTAGCTCAACGGCACTGCCACTGCCTGGCAAGCACAAGGTCATGAGTTTGGTCCCTGGAACCAAAAAAAAAAAAAAAAAAGGATTTGTAACAAAAAGATTCATTCCAACACCAGAGGAAAAAAAGAATTCACTTCCTTATACTTCTAGCTAGATCTCTGGGTTCTCCTTTATTGGTTCTCAGTGTTCTTACAGGCTTTAATTGGTCTATGCCAGAATGAAAAAAATTCAGGGCATTGATGTGAGTTATTCTAAAATGAGCTCAATATATTAAATTTAAAACAGTGATTTTGAAACTATATGAGACCACCTGTGAATGACACCTTTTTTTCCCCAAGGGAAATGGAATGATAGAAAATAATGCAGTTGGGCAAGTTGGTGAAAGCCTATAATTCCAGCTAATCAGGAGGTTGGGGCAAAAGAACTGCAAGTTCAAGCCCATCCTAGGTAACTTAGCAGACTCTTGGGTCAAACAAATGTATAATACAAAACAAAACACCAGAGAGAGAGAAAATCAATGGATCATATATAGTAAGGGTAAATATTTTGTTAAATTTTAGTTCTCCTATGTGTGTGGTTTATGAGTATGTGTACGTTGGGACAGGATATAAAAGGTATTTATCATTTTTCTATAATTTATTAATCCCCCTCCTTCGTACTGGGGATTGAACCCAGGACCTGGAACACACTGGGCAAATGAACTACATCCGCAGTCCTTTTTGTTTTTTATTTTAGGTTACCCAGCCTGGGCTGAAACTTGTGATCCTCTTACCTCATCCTCCAGAATAGCTGAAATCACAATAATGCCACCATGCCTAGTGGAAAATACTGTTTTTTGTTTGTTTGTTTTGTCTTTTTCATTTTTATCTGTACCAGGGATCGAACTCACAACCGCCTGCTAGCAAGGCAGGTGCTTATGCCGCTGAGCTAAATCCCCAGCCCCGGAAAATACTGTTTTTAATAATTGTTCTTTATTCTTAGTTGAGTTCTTCCCATCTTTAGTATTAGACTGCTCTCTCTCTCTTTATCTATCTATCTATATATATTTAACTCAAGTTGCTATTTACCAAAATGAAACATTAGTACCCTCTAGAATTTCCTACCCTCTATCCCTCCCTCCCCCCATTGATCCCTATAATCCAAAGGCAAAGTTTTGTTTGTAAATCTTTGCTGTAGTAGATTTAAACATGGTTTGCTTTGTTGGCAATGTAAATTAGTACAGTGGCTTTGGGAAATAACTTATGTACAAAGAGCCATAAAATATTAATAAGATTTAATGCATTAATTCTCTTTATAAAAATCTATCTTGTCAGGCATAGTGGCACATGCTTGTAATACCAGAATTTGGGAGTCTGAAGCAAGAAGTCCAAAGTAAGTTCGAGGCCAATTTGGGCTCCATAGTGAATTCAAGACCAGCCTACACTTCACAAAAAAATAGAGTAAAATAAAAACATTTTTAAATCTATCTTTAGAAAAGATCCAAAATATGAAAAAATTATAAGCATTACATATTTATTTATTTATTTATTGGTACTGGGAATCAAACTCATGACCTTTGCTTGCCAGGCAGGTGCTTATGCCACTGGTGTAAATCCCCAGCCCAAAATTTATGTATACAATAAAAATTTAAAATATCTTAAAGGTTCAACAGAGAATTGGTTAAGTTTGCCAATAGATATCCATCCAGTTATATAATCATTTAAAGTGAAATTCATAATCTTATGAAAAAAATGCCCTTATAAAAAATTTTAAAATTGTGGGGCTGGGGATTTAGCTCAGCGGCATATGTGTCTGCCTTGCAAGCAGGCAGTCGTGAGTTTGATCCCCGGTACCGATAAAAAGGAAAAAATTTTAAAATTGTAAGTAACCATTCACATACTGCTACCAAGTGCTAGGTTAAAATAAAAGTATATTAAATTCCTTTCTCATTCTTCCTTTAGTCCTTATAATGACCCTATAAAATATGTTCTTAGGTTTATTTTAAAGATGAGAAACTGAAAATGTCATGTTGTAACAATTTTCTGGCACCAACTGGGTATCTTACAATTCAACACAATGCTGACACTAATCACCCAGAGTTAGCCCACAAAGTACCCTCCATAAATTAAGTGCTCAGTCTCACAAGGCTACCTCCACATTAGATACAAACTACAAATGGAGTCTCCAGGTTATGCACACTTGTACCTAGTCAATTATAAATTCAGAAGTTACCATGACTTCTCCTCTTTCAGGATTGATAATTTGCTAGAATGACCTACAGAACTCAGGAATGCGTAAGATATAGTTCAAAAATAGCCAAATGGAAAAGATGCAGGGGACCAAGGTAGGGAGCTGAGATGGCACCATCATTTTCATCAACCCCAAAGCTGCCCAGGTACTTGTTCCAGGCTTTTTGTATGATATTGCCTATCTAGATGTGATTAAGCCATTGATCGTGTGACTTAACTCAATCTGTAGTTCTCTCTTCCTTGTCCAGGTAGGGATGGTACCAATTTATACCCTCAGAATACAAGTTTGATTATTTTTTATTTTTTTTCTGTTAGCTGGTTCTAAATACTCTACAATGCTTTCATCCACTTGAATGGTGTTACACAGTCTTGATATATTTGATGCTATAGCATATGAAGTTATATTCAAATATTTCAAAGAAAAAGACTCTATGGTAACTACTATTAAGTCGGGTTATTTGGTGGTGAAGCACTAGGTTGCTGAAAGTGTTATACTTTAACCTGTATTGTTATGTTGTTATGCCCCCTTTTATCTCATCCTCTCCCTTATTCATTAAAAAATCATTTAATTTTTAAAAAAAAAATATATCAACCAATAAAAAATGCTCCTGGTTCTGTAGGCAAAAAGAAACCCTTTACAACTGTTGGTTAGAGAGTAGATTAGTATAAACACTGTGGAAATCAGTGTGGAGATTCCTCAAAAAATTAGGATTAGAGGTCCCATTCAACCCAGGTATTCCCCTTCTGTGTATCTTCCCAGAATGATTGAAAAACATCACACCACAGTGACATATGTGAAACCATAAGGTTCAAAATATACAATAGTCACTGTGAAATGGAAGGAAACTGTTTAATAAAAAGAAGAAACTAAGATAGGAGAAAAGAGAAAGGATAGAAGGGAAAAGAAAAAAAGTGCAAGTTAGTTATACCATCAGTGTCACTTAGTTCACTGAATAGGAAAGGTTGTGCTAATATTGATTGAAGTAATTTTTATGCCCCTATTTTGTACTTGAGTGACTAAAATAATGTTGTGTAATTTATTAACAATTGTTACTTTTTCATTATTTTGTTGTGAAAATTTGTTTTACCTTTTCTTCTTAATATTAATAAATAAAGTAATAAAAAAATTTATACCCTCAGAATACAAGTTTGGTTTTTCTGGCTTTGCCATTCCCTCCCTTGAAACTATCAAAAGACCCACCATGAGTTACTCATTAGCATAAATTCTGCTGTGATTGACAGGGGCTCGTTGTGAATAACATATAGTCCTATCAGGAAGTTCTAAGAGTTTTAGGAGCTCTGTGCCAGGAATCAAGGACAAAGAGAAAATATTTTTTATACTACACTGAAGTACAAAGAGGTAAGCTTGTCCATGGTCACCTAGTGTATGACAAAGCCAAGATTCAGAATGTTTTGAAAGGTGTGTGTGTGTGTGATGGTACTAGGGATTGAGCCTAGGGCCTTCCCTCTGAGTATACTCTATACTCCCTCTCAGCCTTTTAAAAATAAGTTTATTTTGAGATGGATTTCACTAAGCTATTAAGTTACTCAGGCAGGGCTCAAAATTGTGATTGTCTTGTCTTAGACAATCACAGGGTGCTCCCAAAGTGCTGGGATTATAGGCATACATGACCATGCCTCAATTTAAAGTTCTTATATACTAGAAGGAAATAGGGAACCAAATCATGTTAAAATATTTTAATAGGGTTATATAAAGAACATCATAGAAAAAAATCTAACCTTTAATACAACCTGGAATGGAAATGCTATCTTATTTGATAATCCTCAAGTTAAAAAATATGACAACTGGAGAATCTCTTTTTGTAAAAAGGAACCATGATTCACAACATAAGACATGCATCAAATCATAATATGTTAATGATAGATTGAGGCTAAAATTCAGTTCTCTGCCAGTTTTCTTTTGTTTTTGTCCATCTCATTTTTCTAGAGATCAGCTAGGTGCTCCTCTGGTCTGTGTGTATGTAGATTAGATGCAAAGACAGATTATAGCTATCGGTCTGCTCACAATCCTGTTCTTCACCCAGACTTTCTGATTCTATATGGAAATCCTTAGCCCCTCCTTGTCGATGCAAAAGCCAAATGGGTCTTTGTAGCAGCCTCCCTGATCTAAGCTTGGTCTCCAAGAGAAGATGAGAAAAGGTGTCCTTTTCCTTGGGTAACCCCTTTTCAAAGTTACCTCTGTTACCAAAATTTCTCTTATCACAGGGCTCTGTGGACTGCCCAACTCTGGAATTCGAATATGGAGATGCAGATGGGCATGCAGCAGAGTTGTCAGGTATGAAGAAGATGGACTGGAGACAAATGGAAGAATACCCAGGAAGGGAGGGCCTGTGCCTCTTCTGGGGTCTTCTCTGTGGTCTGCATGTGGCTGTGGAACCAAGGCTGTGCTCTGCAGTCCTTTTGTGCTCTATCTTCCAATGGTCAATATCTCTTTGTTGTCATATTTCCTTCTATAAATTGTTCCTTGGCCATAGTAGTCTTTATTCTGTCATTCTGTTGCTCTTTCCTGCTGACCCTTTATTTTATTTTAGTGTGTTCTCAGGTCAATTTTCTTCCCATTACTCTCCCCTCTCTTCCTCCTGTCACCCATGTCTTTGCACCCATTATTTCTGCCGTCCTCTCTTTATTCCATTCTATCCTCTTCTCCTGACAATTTCCTTTATTAAAATCTCAGTGATGTCTGAGGAAAACTATATAACAAGTAGGCAGCTAAACAAGGCTGGACACGTCCCCTGTATCCATCATAGTGGATGTTATGAGTCAGGGATAGCTCATCTCATTCATCTCTCTGTTCTCGGCTATGTGCTGTCTTGATTTTTAGCTTAGGGTAGTTGTGATTCAAGGCCTCCATGTTACATGTGCTATGACTGTTTGTTATTAATAAACTAGCTTTGGGTGGAGATGGTGTGCAAGTTAAATGTTCTGTCACATGAAAGTGACACTTTGAGACATGCTTTTTTTGAGAAGAAAGGCAAACATTTTAAAAATATTCTTGTGAATAAGCACAGAATAAATTTTGTGATGAGTGATTGAGAAACCGAAAGCTAAGCTAAATTATGAACAAAGGATTAGAATCCAGAATGAGAATATATGAGTGTGTATTTATATATACCATGTACATATATATGGATCTGAGGCATAGCTTAGTAGTAAAGTACTTGTGTAATCTGCATGAGGACCTTTCAGTTCTCAGCACCACATACATATGTGATACAGTGCATACATACGTACATATATTCATACATATATACATACATAAAAGATAATCAACTTGATTAATACATGGGGAAAAGCAAATTAAAAATGAGATATTATTTCACAGTCATCAGATTGCAAATTTTAAGACTGTGGCTGGTGAGAGTACAGAGAAATGAGCACTTTTCTACACTTCTATGTATAGCAATATGGGGGAGCAGACTATAAAATTGAAAAGCATTAGGTCATATGTAATAACATGGAAAATGTGTACATATTATGACCCAGTAATTCTCTTCCTTAATATATACTGTGGAGAACCTTACACTTCATCACAAGGAAGTATACAAAGGTGTTTTATTATGGCCTTGTTTGAAATTGTGAAAAATTAAAAACAACCTAAAATGCCCTGCACAGGGTTAGGAATATAGCTGTGTGGCACAAGTGCCTTCCTGTCAAGGGCAAGGATCTGAGTTCAATCCCTGGTACCAAAATAAGTAAATAAACAAACAAATAAATAAATAAAAGTAAAGGTAACATAGAATAAAATAAAATACCCTACAAAGGGGAATGGGTAAATTGTAGTGTGTCAGTATAGTAGGCTAGAGTATAGCGATTAATATAATTGATCTTTATCAACATGCTTCTATATCAGTAATGCCAAAAATAAAATCAGTAATAAAACAATTTATAAATATGATACTGTTTATTTTGTTTCTGAGGTTGTATATAGTATAGGCTGACCTCAAACTCATGTGATCCACCTGCTTCAGCCTCCTGAATGCTGGGATTACAGACATGCACCACCATACCCAGCTATGATACCGTTTAGATAAAAACTTTTATAACAAATAATATTATATGCTATTTATAGGTATATACATACATAGTAAAAGTATAAAAATGGGGATATGAAGGATACACACCAATTTCATTATAGTGGTTGATTCTAGAGAAGAGAGGTATTGTCTAAAACAAATATGACTGATACTGTTAACATTTCTTTACTCTGGGTAGAAGATACACATATGTCTTAAAATGTTTACTTCACTGTATATGAAATTTCATTATCTAAAATCAAAAAATAAGAACAAAATTAAAGTTCAGTACCTAAGAGCCTTGCTCCCTTTTTCTCTCCTCTAAGTACTGTCCAGGTCTAACCCTGCTTAGTTTCAAAGATGATACAGGATCTGTTATGGTCAGTGTGGTATGGCCATAGACAGGGTTTGCAGCTGGACTTCTGATAGGGTCCTCTCCCCTCCTCTCTTCTCCTCTCTCCTTCCCCTCTCTCCTCCCTTTTCCTCTCTCTTTTTCTCTTCTCCCTCTTTTTCTCCTTTCTTTCCTCTCATTGAGCAACTACTGGAAATTGAACCCAGTGCTTTTGGTATGCTAGACAAGCACTCAACCACTGAGGTACATCTTTATCCCTTCCTTTTGTTTTGAGACAAGATCTTTCTGAGTTACACAGGCTGAGCTCTATCTCTATCTATCTAACTTGCTACCTGCCTGCCTTGACCTCCCTGGTAACTGGGATTACAGGCATGTGTCATGCACACTTAGCTAATGGTACTCTATTCTTAAAAATATATATCCAAGGTTGAGGGTGTAGCTCAACAATAGAGTGATAGAGTGCTTAACTAATATACATGAGGCCCTTAGTTCCATCCCCAGTACCACTTTTAAAAAAAAAAAAAAAAAGAGATCTTTGCCAGGTGCTATGACACATGCCTATAGTCCCAGATACCTGAGAGGTTAAAACAAGAGGAAACCCAGGAATTCAAAACTAGCTTGAGCAACGTGTGAGACTCTGGCTCAAAAAACAAATATTTAAACTATATATATCACATTCATCACTATGACTAAACTGAGTATTTAAAATTCAGAGATGGGATTTGCTTCTGGTTGCTCTCAGATTCCGGAACTGGGCTCAAAAGCACTGGCTCCCAGAAAAGGCGTTTTTAAGTCACTAGACAGCTGGCTAGAATAGAAATTAATTTCTCTTCCTTTGTAAATTATCTTCAACTAGGAGGAATAGATTTTAAGGAAATCTGTTTTAACACCTATTAACTTTTCAATTTCAGTTCATCTTCTGTAAGATAATGCTACAGATAGAATATTCTGGAGTGTATGTGTGTGCGTGTGTGCGTGCATGTGTGTGTGCGTGTGCATGTGTGTGTGTATGGGAAAGGACATTTTTATTTTCAAACACGCATTTTGTATTTAGAGTCTATTGTCAATAAAGTTAGAGTTTTCAGGGCACTAACAGCCCTTTGGCATCATAGCTGCTTTCCGTATCATTTGATGCTGCTTCTGCCCAGGTAGCTGTGGGCGGGAACATAAACTTCTATACCCTTCGAGGAAACTCAACAGGGAAAGAGTAAACTACTGCCTCCGATGCTGAAGTGTGTATTTTTCCAGTGTTTGCCCTGGATTCTTGGATAGCATGTGTGTCTTGCCTCTAAATTTCAGAAATTGTGTTTCCCTTTCTCTTTTCTAGAGACAGGACAGAACATTAAGGCGTGATAACATTAAGCCCTCTGTCCTCCAGCTTTCCTGCTGGCCCTCACCAAATGTCGAGGGCTGCCTTCTCTACTGCGGCAGCCAGCTGGCATGAGGAGGACAGGTTTGATGGTTTAATCACCCAGGGACACAAGTGGCTATTTTTAAGTACTCTGAAAGGGAGGAAGCTGGCTCTGGATTGAATTGGACACAGGAATGTGTTGGAAGCTTCAGCTCTTATATGCAACCCTTTCTACCCCAGGCTACTACTAGAGGTCTCCTGAATGACTCTGTTCTTTCTTGTCACAGAACTGTACAGCTACACTGAGAACCTGGAATTCACTGCTAATAGGAGGTGCTTTGAAGAAGATTTCAAGACTCAAGGTGATCTCAGATCCTTATACATAGAGACATATTTTCTTCCTCCATAATGTCCCAATCTGATCCAGTAAAAGGCTAAAACCAAATATGCTCCTCCATTGCAATATACCCTTCCCTTCTTTTGTGTCGGTTATGGGGTCCTCTGATTTTAGTGGAGAGGCCTAGGTGCAGTAGCAGAGAGACCTGAACTGAGCCTCTTTCCCTATACAAAGGGCCAAAAGGCAGAGAAATGGTCAGGCTAAGTCGGACTGGGACCTGCTGCCTCCAGGAGCCCAGTGCTTGGCCAAACCCTTGTAATTACATGTATCCCCAGCCCCTTAACTCTGGCCCACACTCCGTACCAATTTTATGTGCTCACACTGTGATACCCTCAGATTTCCATTTCCTTTTTTGGTCAGTGGCAATTCACTACTCAATTTGACAAATGTGTAGTGAGTATGTGTTGTGTCAGAGGTATAAGAAGCAGGAATGAAGGTAAAGTTGTAGCTTCTACAAAGAGGTTACAGGTTGGTAGCAGTGGGGAGATGTGTACATCAAATAGCTAAGTAAAGCCAAGAGGAAAATGTGAAAGGTCATAGAAAAGTAAAGAAAGTATCTTGGGAGCAGAGCTTTTAGCTGGGGCATTAGTGTGAAAGGTCATTTCATACTGGGCCTTCCAGGTGACTAGGATTGGTTGTGAACAGATATGAGAACTCTGAAGAAAGGCAGCAAAAGGGCAGACTAAGTTGGGATGGAGGGTAGAAGGAGTGTTGAATATGAACCTACAAAGTAGCTTCAGGACAAAATATTTTGGGTCTTTTTCCCATCCCGTATTCCTTCTCAGTTTAATAAGGAAAGCTTTGGGTTGAAGGTCCTCAGTTTGATCCTCAGCACTATAATTTTTTTTTAATCTTTTTTTATTTTTGTGCTAAGGATTGAATCTAGGACCTTCCCATTAAGCTATACCCAGCCGTTTATATTTTTAAATTTTGAAATAAGATCTCATAAAGTTGCCCAAACCAAGCTTAAACTTGTGATCCTCCTACCACAGCCTCCCAGAATTCCAGGATTATAGGCATGTGCCACCATGCTTGGCTAGGAAATCTTTTAGGAGAAAGTATTTGTTGAAACTGAGATGAGGTGGTTCCGCTGTCAGGAGCCTTCCCAGGCAGGAATGGCTACATAGCCAACACTGGATATACACGGCCTTCTATCCCTAGTGCAAAGCAAGGAATGGCTGGAATTAGAAGAAGATGCCCAAAAGACCTATGTGATGGGACTTCTGGACCGGTTGGAGGTGGTTAGCAGGGAGCGGCGCCTGAAGGTGGCCCGAGCTGTTCTCTACCTGGCCCAAGGTGAGTTCCTCCACTTGCCAGCTTGAGAAGGGTATAGACTGAGGAGGGAAGCGAGAGCAGACAGGCTGTTCTGGACAGCAAGGTTCCTTGCCTCCCAAGGACACATGTACTAGAATTAATCTGTGCTTATGAGGACGATAAAGAGATAGGGTGAGATACTGTTCTGAATCCCTTGGAACTCTCGTTTATCTTAGGCATGCCAGAATTTCTTATGGGGTTCTTTTTCCTTTTTTTTTTTTTTCCTTTTTTCTGGTGCCAGGGATCGAACTCACAACCTCATGCTTGCCAGGCAGGCGTTCATGCTACTGAGCTAAATCCCCAACCCCTGGGTGCTTTTTTCTTTGACCTAGGCTACAAGGGTATAAGTGAAATTAGTAAGAAAGTCAGTGTGGCTAGAGCTGGTGCTGTACAGTCAGCTGAGTATGAAGACTTCTTTTGTCTACAAGGACCTGGTCTCACTGAAGGAGATAGGGATGTGTCATAGACTCTCATAAGGCTCCTCTGCATGGCTTTTCATTGGTGTTTTGAAGGGTAAGCCAGGACAGCAGGAGGAGGCATGCTGTGGATAATTCAGAGAAGATCAGAACTAAATGAGATTAGTTGAAGAAGGCTTCCCAGAAGAGACCTGCTAGCCAGGTGTTGAAAGTAAAATGAGGGGCTGGGGATTTAGCTCAGTGGCATAAGCGCCTGCCTTGTAAGCAGGCAGTTGTAAGTTCGATCCCCGGTACCGATAAAAAGGAAAAAGACAAAAAAAAGAAAGAAAGTAAAATGAGATGGGCTAGCAGAAGAAGTGAAAATATATCCTGACATCATAAACAGGAGAACTGCTGGCAAACCCAGCAGCTGGGAGCTAAAAAATTGTAAAAGAAAAAAATAAATGGAGAGGAAAGAGAGTAGAGATACTGGGTGAAGAGAAGACTCTTAACAAATAAGATGGTACCACCCCTACTCTTGGAGCTGGCTCTGGTTAAATTCCAGCTGCCAGAGGCTTTCTGTGCAGCCCAAAGGATAAGCAGGAAGGATAGGGAATTAATATATTCCGAGTCCAACAGTCCTCAAAAAATGACTGGCAGGAGTGAACTGATAAATAGCCTGAGTGTCTCACCCCTGTGGGTAGAGGAACTGTTTGTTTTGTATCACTTGTAGAGCTTCCCCTTGAGGCTGAACTTTTGATTGCCATTTCTTCCTTATCTTTCTTTACTACTTCTCCATTGATGATTCCTAGGATGAATTCCCAAATAAGCTAGTTATACTTGAATTCTTACTTATTTTAGAATCTACTTTTGGGGGAACCCAAACTGAAGGTGGGCCACTAATGGGAACATTGGACCTGACCCTAGTGACCACCCTCTTTTCTCCCCATCTCCTTGAAGAAAGTGCTGAAAGGTACTGCCCTACACAGTTCTCCCAGCTGAACTGTGAGGCAGGGTGTTAGAAGAAAGTTTTAAGACCGTAGGGCAGGGTGGAAAGACTGGAATTCCTGCCCTTCCTCAACCCCTCTGGCAACTGTCTGGTCTTTTAGGCACTTTTGGGGAATGTGATTCAGAGGTCGATGTGCTACACTGGTCCAGGTACAACTGCTTCCTGCTCTATCAGATGGGGACCTTCTCGGCCTTCCTGGAGCTACTCCACATGGAAATCGAGTGAGAAGCCTTAAGGGAGGGCTGACCTCCTAGACAACCCTCGCGCTTGAAGGGCCTCGTGTTCTATGCTGGTTTCCTCCATAGGGACCCCTGGGGGAGTGGGACTATGCACACCTCAGCTTAGTGACAGTTCCCCTCCCTCCAGCCACATCTCCTCATACTCTGTCCTCCTTCCTGAGGTTGGGTTCAGCAGCAACTTCTGTCCTAATTATAGCTTTAGTCCTAGGCATCAGAGGCCTATATGTTTGGGTTCTGTTTTTTAATCCAAGTACCCTAGTAGCATAGCCTAACTCTGGAATCCATGTTACAGTGACCCCTCATTTTGTCTCATTCCTTTCACTCAGGAGTTTTAGATGGGATGAAATCTGTTACTGTTCATCGGGTATTGCTTTGCATCTGTTTTATGTTTCACACAGTGTTAGGCATAGTGGGGACCACAAGAGGAATGGATATCACAGACCCTGTCCTTGCCTGTCTTCCCACCAGTGAGAGTTAGCTGAGGTGGCAAGGGAATTCTCTGTGGGCTCTTTTACCAGTAGCAGTTTCATTAGTGGCTACATAGCCAGGGAGTGGCAGATATTCTTGTTTGTGGGTATGTTAGGTGAGAGCAAAGAGGCTCTGAGAGTTCCTGTTCTTCCTCTCCATGGCAGCAACAGTCAGGCTTGTAGCAGTGCCCTTCGAAAACCAGCTGTCTCCATTGCTGATAGCACAGAGCTCCGGTGAGTAGAGCTGACTAAGGGCTCAGGAGGGGGTTGATTAGCACTTGGTTACCCTTTCCCAAATCCCAGACCACTGGGGCGCTGCCTTCTATCTACTCTCATTGGTTTGGGCTCCCACTGAGATCATCCCTGAGGTCTCTGACTGCTAGCTGGACTGGAAACTGTCTCAGGAAACTTGTGACCCTTTTGTAACTCAGGGTGCTGCTGAGTGTCATGTACCTAATGGTGGAAAATATCCGCTTGGAGCGCGAGACAGACCCCTGTGGGTGGAGGACAGCCCGGGAGACCTTCCGCACTGAACTGAGTAAGAAGTGGCACTTAAGGGTGGGGATGACGTGCTAATGGAAGCACAACATCTGCCAAGAAGAGAAAGAAGGGAGGCACAAGGGCTGGGCTTGATTGCTCCCCTGTCACTATGAGCTGGAGGCAGCCATAGCACTTTTCTGTGTTTGGTTTCCTTGGTTACAAATGGGGATAGCCATCCCGCTTTCATTCCATCACAAACCTCACATCAAAAAATTAGTTAAATCACCTTGAAAATTGAGTTCTGTTCACATGTAAGTTGATGTAGTCATTTAACAGGAATAGTGTGTGATGGCCTATGGGATTTTAAAAATACATTTATTGGGATGGCAAAGTGAATTGTGGTCCACAAAATACCTTGAATGACTCAACCAAAAAGCACCATCTTCATTCCTGTTACTTCTAGTTTGGCATCCATACCCAAGGCATCACAGAGACTCACTAGTCTCCTTTTTTGCCTTTGAGGGCTTTGCTCTAGGGGCTCACTAAGCCTCCTTTTTCAGGACCAGCTCCTCTAGATTTCTTCAGGATAGGTGAGTGACTGCTTCAGAGCGTGCAGACTCAGGGATACAGGCACAGGGTTTCACTGCTTCATCCTCACTTTCTCACTTGTCTCTTTTTTCACCCCCAGGCTTCTCCATGCATAATGAGGAGCCTTTTGCCCTTTTGCTCTTCTCTATGGTCACCAAGTTCTGCAGTGGTCTGGCCCCCCACTTTCCCATAAAGAAGGTCCTGCTTCTGCTCTGGAAGGTGGTCATGGTGAGTGGCTGACCTCCTATTCCTATCTCATCAGATCAACAGCGCCCCTCAGTTCCTTTGGTTCCAAATCCAAGACTGATGACCATCCCAAAGATGTCAGATGTGCTGTGTCAGAGCAGGTTTCTGTCACTTTGACCAGTGGAAGATGCTATCCTATGAGTGGAGGTGTTACTGAGACCCTCCCCTGATTGAGCCTATGATCATGGAAAGAACTCTGGCTGACATTCGGGAGCTCTTCTGCTGATGCTAAGGAACCTTGGGCAACTCTGCCTCCATTTCTCTAGCTATGAAATGTTAGGTTTAGTGCTTGCCCTCCCTCCAGGTAAATAGTGGATTTGTGAGTTTTTTTTAAATTTGGTCCTGGGTTGGGGATTTAGCTCAGCGGCATAAGCACCTGCCTGGCAAGTGCAAGATCGCAAGTTCGATTTCTGGTACCAAAAAGAAAAATTTAGTACTTAGCTAGAAGTGGTGGTGCATGCCTACAATCCCAGCACTCGAGAGGCTGAAGCAGGAGGATAACTATAAGATTTAAGCCAGCCAACACTACCTAGTGAGACGATATTTTTAAAAAACCAAAAATACATGTATACATACCTACAGACACCTTATAAGTATATGGTTGCAGTTTCATTACTTATTCAAACAGCTCCACCATCTCTCATTGAATTACAAACCCTTCAGGCCAGCCCCTCAGAGGGAACTGTCTTCATTGCAGAGGAAACGAGTGACTGTGGGAGCTCATAGGATCTGGATGTGCCCCTTACAAAGGGAAATCATTCCCTGTTGTGTTCAGTGGGGGCCCCACAAGTCCCTTTTCTAACTTCTAGTGATGGTTCCAGCGCTAGGTCAATAAATAAAAAATAGTTTATTTTGACCCTCACTCTCCTCAGCCTGAGGTGGTATCCACACTTACCCCGTCCTGTTTTTTTGCTTCTTTATTCAGGGAGGGAATCTGAGCAGCCTGGAGGCTGGAGTTCTTCCTTCCTAGCTATGTTTCTCTGGCCTGGTTTGTCTGACATTTCTTCCTTCCTCACTCTTCTCTGCCCCTTTCCTTTTCACTTTTAGTTTACCCTCGGTGGATTTGAGCATCTACAGACTCTCAAAATACAGAAGCGGGCAGAACTGGGCCTGCCCCCACTGGCAGAGGACAGTATCCAGGTGGTGAAGAGCATGCGCGCTGCCTCCCCGCCCTCTTACACTCTTGACTTGGGGGAGTCTCAGCTGGCGCCACCACCCTCCAAGCTACGAGGCCGCCGTGGTTCTCGAAGGGTATGGACTAAAGGAGACCTGTATGACACTGGCTGGCCAAAAATCAAGATTTTAAGCTATTCTGAATATCATAGGAAAGGGCAGTAACAACTTGGCTCATTCCAACCCAGGGTGGTCCAGTGATGAGCCTGAAATCTTTGAGCAGTAGTCTATCAACCTGTCAGGCTCCTGGGCTATCCTGTGGGGACACTATGATATCACATCATATAGCCATGTCTCCTTTGGGGTCATTGGTCTGGACTGAGAGTCTGGGCATCCTGAACATCAGGTAGAATCCTGGAAATGGAGCTCCCAGCAAATCCATGTCCCTATGTATCTCATTTTACTATTTATTTTTTCTTTCTTTCTTCCTTTCTATCATTTTCTTTTTAACTTTACCTTTTTTTTTTTTTTTTTTTTTTTTTTTGTCAGCAAGGTTTACTGTGAGCTAGCTACACTCTCATATGGCCCTGAAACCACAAGTTTGCATTAAGAGATAATCATGTGGGGTTCTGGGTGTAAGTTGAAGTTCCTTTTAACTTTTTGGCCTATTTCTGTCCAATCTGTTTTTCTTTCTGAAATAAGATTTAAAATTCCAAACTCACTTGCCTTTGCCTAGCAGCAGATTTCCACCCTCTTCTTCCTCAGTTAACAGCTGGTATATGCTCACAGAAGGCAAACTAATAGAATGCTCACCTAAGCAGATCATAACTAAGAAGGAAAGTGCTGACCCAAAAAAAGGCACCAGTGCCTTGGGGATTATCTATGGTCTGTCCCCTGGCTATTGGCATGGTTGCCAGGTATCTGCTTTTTCTAGGATTGGGACTACTATGAGCTATAAGGTTGGGATGGGTACCAGGACAGTCTCGGGAGCTGGTTTCAGACCCCATGTACCCTGAAGTCTGGAAGCTGGTAGGAGGGCATGGTTCAGACAAGATTGCCCAAGATGAGTCTCTGCATACTTTCTCCCCCCCGTCCCCAGCAACTCCTCACTAAACAGGACAGCCTGGATATCTATAATGAGAGGGATCTCTTCAAGACTGAGGAGCCAGCCACAGAGGAAGAAGAAGAGTCTCCTAGCGATGGAGAACGTAGCCTGGATGGAGAGTTAGACCTGTTAGAGCAAGACCCTTTGGTGCCACCTCCACCCTCACAGGCACCCCTCTCTGCTGAACGAGTGACCTTTCCCAAAGGCTTACCTTGGGCCCCAAAAGTCAGGTAGGTTTAATAACAACTGAACCCCTCAGAATGATATGGTCTTTGTCTTTGATGCTCATTAAGCTGGGCTGGCAGTCAGAAGTCCTGGGTTCCACGTTCCCTGTCAACTGCTATCTTCCCTCATTGCTTCAGCCCCCTAGTTAGAGGAGCAGAAAAGTTCTGTCTTTTATGGTTTGCTTTTCTTCCCTTCTGTACGGTATCTCCATCATCCTCTCAGACAGAAGGACATTGAGCATTTCCTGGAGATGAGCAGAAACAAGTTCATCGGATTCACCCTGGGGCAGTAAGTGATCAGAGGGTCAAAATTGGCTGTGAAATAGTTCCCAGGAGCCTAAGGAACAAGTGGCTTGCAATGAGGGGTATTGTCAAGTAGTCATACTATAGCCTAGAGCCACAGGGCCACAGTGACTACTCTGGGTTCTTTCCATGGAATTTTTTCCTTGAGTTCCTTCCAGTGTCCTCAAAAAATCTTTGTTTTTGAGCCAAATATAGGATCTTGTGCAATAAGTTACTTCCTTATTGGGTTTCAATTTCCTCATAAAAATGTTAAATTACATAAAGAAGGGACATGATCAGAACAGCTCTAGCCGGGGATGTAGCTCAGCGGCACAGTGCCTGCCTGGCAAGTGCAAAGTCCTGAGTGCAATTCCCAATACTAGAAACAAAAAAGAGAACAGATGCAGTCTTCTCGCATTCTCTACCCTCATGAATTCTTCCTCCTGGCCCTTATAAAACCTGGAAGGCTTTGTTATTTGGTTTTCACTGTCAGAAACTTTGTTGGGACTAGGCATAGTGGTACACATTTGTAATTCCAACTGCTTGGGAGGATTGTGGGTTTCAAGCCAGCCTGGGCAATTTAAAAAAAATAAAAAACAAAAACAACATTCGACTACATACTCTTCAATAGGATCTTGTCACTCGCAGACCAGTAATCTCCAAAGAGATTACAAATCTAATTTTCTGTAAAAACTCCAGTGTACCATCATTATTTTTGTGTCTCGAAGGAAGATGGGGGACCTATAGGTTTGCAGAAGAAGGGTACCAGTGCTCAGATGCTCAAAGTGGTGTGATCCCTGTGACTGCAGGGTGCATGGGTAATTTTCCACTCTTTTGAAACTCACGATGCATGTTTCTGCCTTTCTCAGGGACACAGATACCTTGGTGGGATTGCCCAGACCCATCCATGAGAGCGTGAAGACCCTAAAGCAGGTGACCAGGGTGCTGCAGGAATAGGGAGACATCAGGGCATGTCAGGTTATGAGGATCATAGACACTGAGTGGAGCTCTTCTGCCAGACACACTGAAGACCTTCTGCACTTCTCCTGCAGGCCTGGCTTTTGGCCAAATAGGAAAAATCAAGTCTCTTTCTACTTACCTAGTTTCCTACATTCAGATAACTGAAAAAATTTTTCTTTGTTGCTCTCATCCTTTTTCCCTCTTTCCATCCTTCTCTCTCTCACTTCCCACTTCTTGCTTTTGCTTTTACTTCTTTTTGCCTATAGGTCCACTAATATCCAAAGGCCCAGGATTGAGTGGGAGTCTGCTCAAATCCATTGTGAGCACAGAGTAGGGAGACATCGCTCTGTGCATATGTGCACACACATCACGACTCTCAGAGCAGCAGTCAGGGAAAGGCTTGCCCTAGGCTTCCCCTTGTATTTTGAAAGTAAATGCTTAGATATTTGCTGCTGTTCAACAAATATGGAAACATGTACTGCACAGCAGCACTGTTGAAGAAGCACTTTGCTTGATGTTGATGATGTGGAGGTGAATAAGACTCCTGCCTTTAAAGAGTTCATATCTATGTGGGGTGAAAGACCCATAGCAGAACCCTGCCTCATTGGTGAGGAAGTTGAGAAACTGGTTACACATGTGATTAACACTCTTCGCCCTGCTGATGTCTTTTTATCTTTGCCAGCACAAGTATATCTCCATCGCAGATGTGCAGATCAAGAATGAAGAGGAGCTGGAGAAATGCCCCATGTCTTTGGTGAGCCAGAAGGAGGGATCTGTATGCAGTGCCATTGCAGCCATGTGCGCATGCGTTGATTCAGTGTGCTGGGCTCTCATCAAGTGTTGGGCAAGACCAAGTGCTTGATTTCGTGCTGTTTTAAAGTTGAGGAGGAAAGTAAAGGAGGCTATCAGAGGGTGGTAGATACAGTGCAGAAATTTTATTTATTTTTTTAAGCAGTTACAAAGTTGGGTTTTTTGTTTTTGGTTTGTTTTTTGTCTTTTGAGACAGGATCTCGTTATGCAGTTCAGGCTGGCCTTGAGCTCACGTTATAGCCCAGGCTGGTCTCGAACTCAGGAGCCTCGTACCTCAGCCTCCCAAGTACTGGGATTACAGGCGTGCACCCCCATGCCCAGCTGTGACAAAGTTTATTTGATGGCTGTTTTTAAAAACCACTAGTTTTTAGCTAAAGATTGGACCAGAAAAGTGTAGAAGCACTAATCAATCTTTAAATCATCAAGGTGACCTGGACTAAAATAGTAATTGAGAAAACAAGGACAAGTAGGTGATTTCGGGTTATATTTTGGAACTGACAAGACTTGCAGTTCAGCGGGGTTTGGGGAAACAGGCAAAAAGGAATCAAGGCTAAGTACCATCTGCCAGAGTGGGGAGAAGTATGAAAACAGAGCTGTCAGGCAATTAGATATATAGGTTTAAAGTCCCCAGGAGAAGGCTGGCTTTGAGATAATTGGGAGTTACTGATCTACAGACAGTGTTAAAAGTCACAGAAGTGGCTGAGAGAACCCAGGGGGAGTAAGGCAGAGGCAGATGGAACATAGGACAAAGTCCTCGGCACATCAGGTACATTGAGGATGGGATGTGTCAGGAAAGGAGCCAGAAAAGAATAAGAAAAGCAGTCAGTGAAGTCAGAGGAAATCCAGGAGACTGACACCATAAAAGCTAAGAAAGTCTTTCAGAAACCAGGTGTGGTGGCTCACACCTGTACTCCCAGCATTTGGGAGGCTAAGGCAGGAAGATCATTGTGAGTTCAAGACCAGCCTGAGCTACAAAGTGAGCCCAAGGCCAGCCTGAACTGCATAGTGAGATCCTGTCTCAAAAAAAAAAAGTCTTTCAAGAAGAAGAGAGTGCTCTTCTGGGTCAGATGCTGCTAACGGAGGGCATACAACAGCCACGGATTAGATTTGGCAACATGAAGATAAGTTATGACCTTGGTAAGAGCAACAGCAAGTGAAGTGGGAAGGCTGAAGGCCTAGTTGGAGTGTGTGGGAAAGGAATGTCAAGAAGGGAGTTGGAAGAGGAAGAGAAATGAATGGGATGATGACTGAAGGAGGGAATGTGGGATCAGGGAGGAGTGTCTGTAACAGAGTACCAGAGTATTTTTATGTCCTAAAAGAAATGACTGAGAAGTGGGGCTACTTACAGGACTAATGGCATCCACAGAGTGAAAGGGTGTGGGATCCAGAGGCCAAGTGGAGTGCAGGCCTCAAGGCATAGGGAGATCATCCTTGTCGGGAGGCATGCAGAAACTGGTAGGGAGAGAGAAGGATACCTGTCTGCTTCTGTTTTCCCCATAAAATGTGTGAGTCAGGGTCAGCAACTATTGAGGGACTGACTGTGGGGCAAGGGAGTTGGTTTGGAGGTGAAGGACTTGGAGAATAGACCTACATCACCAGGCTCTGTCGAATGCCCATTTAAGACTCGCATCCACGTAAGCAACTGCTGACCGGTGCTGAATAGAAGGAGCCCAGTGACTCCTCCCTGCCTCAGGGTCTCATGGTAGTGACCCTCACCCTGTAATAGAGGCTTGTGGAGAGAAAAGGGACTGCATTGCCCAAAGGTGACAGGTCTCAGCTGCTTGAACACCCTGTCCCCTGCTTGGCTGGGGCTCACTGAGAGGACAGAGACAGCCAGGTGTGGCGGCCCATGCCTGTAATCCCAGCAACATTCTGAGAGGCTAAGGCAGTAGGATGGCAAGTTTGAGCCCAGCCTTAACAATTTAGCATGCCCCTGTCTCAAAATAAAAAGTAAGGAGATATGGATGTAGCTCAGTGCAAAGGCCCAGGTTTAATCTCCTGGTCAGAAAGGAGAAAATGATGTTACCAGTGTTAATGGAGATGAAAAGAAAATAGTTTCTATTGACCTAAAAGCTTCCTTATTAATTCTCTCTGGCCATAGGTTACCTCGCCATAGTTTATCTCTGGCCATACCTTACTGACCCTACTGAGCTACCTACCTCCCCTGCATGGCTTTCGGAGCATTCTAGAGCTTTCTTTTGTCCTCTGATTAACACCATAGGAAGTGTCTCTTTGTGAGGTGACTGTTCCAGTGTCCCAGGTGCACCTATAGGCTGAGTTAAACACATGTGTATACCCAGGGTGTCCTGTGCATGTGTCCAACAAACAGTGGCCTGAACTAACTTCTAACTAATGGGAAAACTAGAAGCGTAGATTATTGGGAGTGGAAGAGGCCTCAGAAATCACTTGGCCCGACCCTCTGATCCCCCTGAAGAGGAAATGAGGACTCCGAGAAGGAAGGTTGCCTATCTAAGGGCATATGCCAAGTCACTAACAGAGCTAGAATAGCAACCTAAATCTGACTCCTAGCGTAGTGTCTTTTCATACCATCCCTTACAACAGAAAATGAAGCCTTTGGTCACCTAAAAAGTGGACTGGACAAATTGTGTGTTTCCTGCCACAGGGAGAAGAGTCAGTGCCAGAAACGCCGTGTGAAATCCTCTACCAGGGCATGCTGCTTAGCCTCCCCCAGTACATGGTAAGGAAATGACCAGGCAGGAGCTGCCTTTCTTTGCTGTGAGCCACAGATCACTAAGAGCCACTTCAGACTCTGCTGTCAGATGTTTGACCTTGTTTCCTGAGCTGTGGCTATTTGGGCAAAGCATTAGAATTCTGAATTTTCCTTAGGGTTCCTCTGAAGATACTCTTCTCCCTAGTCCTTTGGGAGGGATAGGGAATAAGCAGGTTCTATATAGGATGCATTAGGGGCCCTTCTAGGTAAGTACTAGAGTTCTTTGAGACTCACTGTTGTCTGTCATGTCCTCCACAGCACTGGTCTGGGATTAGTAACTGTGCTGATGCTTTGCCCCTTCCACTCTGTGCCTTCCATCCTCCCCTTGGAAAAGAGCAGTCTTGAAGCAAAACAGCCTTTGAGCTCCCTTGCAGCTTCCTCCTTAGCCTCACAGGACTGGGTACCTTCTGAACTCTGAGAGATTTTAGTCACTGAAGAAAGAACTCAGAGAAAGGCTTTCAAATACTCTTCACTGAGCTGATGCCATGTGGGAGAATCTCTACCTTGCTAAGTGAGATGGATGGATAGATTTAATCCTTTTCTATTTCTCAGATCGCTCTGCTTAAGATTCTCCTGGCTGCAGCTCCCACCTCCAAGGCTAAGACAGACTCTATCAATATCCTGGCAGATGTCCTGCCTGAAGAGATGCCGTGAGTGCTTCCACTGCGGCGCTGCTGGATGCCAGTGTGTTGTCTGCAGGGCCTCTTTGTCCCACCAGCCCTTGTTAACACTTTTGGGGACTGTCTTCAACAAAATCTCTCCTTTCTTACCTTTACTCCTTTTCCCTGCAGAGGTCTCCACTGTGATCTGTGTAGCTCAGGCCTGAGGGTCCGGATAGTGACCCCCTCAGTATGTGGGTGGGCATTGCCATAGGACAAATTTGCCAAAAAGATCAGTGGAGTTTTTGTCTAGGCAGGTTTGTAAGTGGAAACTGGAGGTTGCCCTAGCACAGTTTAGATTTCCTAAGTTCTGACTTGTATACTTACCTCTGACCCAAATACTTGGGTCCTTCCCGCAAGGCCGCCCTCTGCACTGACAACTCCTCTCTCCATTTTAGCATCACTGTTCTCCAGAGCATGAAGCTGGGCATTGATGTGAACAGGCACAAGGAAATCATCGTAAAGAGTATCTCTGCTCTGCTTCTGCTACTCCTCAAACACTTCAAACTCAACCACATCTACCAGGTGAGACTCCAGGAGCATTCCTCCAAAGGCCTTGAGTGATCTCCAGGCCCTACAGGGGATGCAAGGAGCCTGGTAATCTCACTGTGCATGTTCCAGCCTTCCTTTGTCCTCAGAGGATCCAGCGACTTGTTCTGTAAGCCTGGGGTGGCAATATGAAGTAGGATGTGGAGAACTGTCATAGAAAGGTGCGGGTATCTGTGTGCTTGGTAAGTTTGCCTAGATCATGAGTAGGAGTTCTTAGAAATATGCACAGTCAGGGGGCTGGGGGTTTAGCTCAGCGGCAAAAGCGCCTGCCTTGCAAGCAGGCAGTCGTGAGTTGGATCCCTGATACCGATAAAAAGGAAAAAAACCAAAAAAAAAAAAAAAGAAATATGCCCAGTCAGTTTTGAAACAATGTCAAGTCAGAATTCAGACTTTCTCACAAGCTGGGTGTGATGGCATGTGTCCATAATCTGAGCACTCTGGGAGGCTGAGGCAGGAGGGTAGAATATTTGAACCCAACAACCCAACTGGTGATTTATCACCCAAGTGAGATCCTGTCTCAAAAAAAAAAAAATTAAAATTAAAAAGGAGCCGGGGATATAGCTCAGTGTGAAGGTCCTGGGTTCAATCTCCCAATACTTCAAAAACAACAAAATTCCACCCAAAAAGTAGGATATGTTGAGCAAAGTTTTTATATGAAGCACTCTTCAGACATTTTAAGTATAATTCTGGTAAAACACAGTCTGGCTCTTAATACCTCTAAAGTCTTACAAAGGTCACAGATATATAAATAGTCAATTGTGGAGTGATAAGTGCTATGGTTCAGGTAAGCACTGGCTGCTATGGAAACACCTAATCCAACTTGAGGTGGAGAAGAAATGACTTCTAGATGAGCCCTAAAGAAACAGATGTTAGCCAGGATGTGAGAGTTGAGGTCGGGAGGACAGGAAGCAGTTCAAGCAGAAAAGCTAATATGTGACAGTCCAGAGGAGAGAGAGCAGAGTACTTTTGGAAACTGTGATTAAGTGTTGCTAGAGTTGTGCCTGGAGTTGGGGGGAAGGAGAAAGCCTGCTGCTGATGCGTGAACTGCAGGAGTGAGCGGGAGCCCATCTTAATACGTGATAGCACATAGTTACGGAGCACGTGTGGGGCTTCATTGAACTCTCTTGTCCCTATAAGATAGTTGTTAGGTTACTCCTGTTCTATGGATGAGGAAGCTAAGATTAAGAAAAGTTGAGTCTCTGCTTTGCTTTCCCAGTGTCGTTTGCCTTGTTAAGGACCTTGGACTTGGGCCTGCAGACACTACTGAAATACAGTGACAGGGTGGGGAGAGCCAATGGATGCTTCCTGTCTGCGGGGAGACGTGGGGAGGAGAGGAAGCCTACTCATTACTGTCCAGAGGCTGTGCCCTTTTCCTTCTGTATCCTATGGGCCTGTTACTACTTCAGAGAAGTGTCTGTTCATTTCAGTTGTCCATTTTTGATTTGGTCTTTTATTTGAGGGAGTGGAACTTTTCTTAAAGTTCTTTATATACTCTAAATGTTAGTCTTCTGTGTGAGGAAAGCCAGCAAAAATTTTCTCCCATTCTGCAGGATATCTCCACTCTGTTGGCTGTTTCCTTTGCTGGCAGAAGCTCTCTAATTTGATATGACTTATTTGTTGGTTGTCAGTATTACTTCTTGTGCCAGACCATTTTCCTCCTGAGGAGTCAGAATCAAGTTTAGAAGTACAGGTCCTCAGAGTGCAGGGAGGCTCCTGTGACCACGGTCCTGTGTATCCAGAGTCTCTCCATCTTTGTACATTCAGCTAACCATTGCTGTGGAAGATGTCCTGGTGCTCACACTTCTGCTGATGTTTGCTGAGCAGCCACAGAGCTGGGAGTGGTAGGAATGATTAGGAGGCTGTGTGCCCACTGAACCGTGGGTGTATGACCATGCTTGCTTCTCTCAGTGGGCAGTGTGTGACTTGATGGGCCTTGCCACTGAATGTCAATGTGGGTGAATCCAGGGCCCGTCACTGCCCAAACTGAAGTTTCTCATTTGATAACAAGTATGTTTGGTTCCTCTGGCTGGAGCTTTGGAGAAAACCCTGGTCTGGTTTCCAGAGGTAAAACTATTGGACAGAAGAGAGAAGTGGAATGGCACAAGCGGACTCCCATCTCTAACCACATATGCACAGAAGGAAACATAGCTTGCTGCCATAGCCACGCTTGCTGGTCATGCAGGGCTATGGGATTTTAACTCTAAATTCTTTTTAAAGCCTGTGTCTGTACTGGGTCAGCTTTCTAGCTTCTTAATCTGAAGATCCAGTGTTTCTCAGTATGTTATGGGCAAGATCCAAGCTAACTCCATGACACTGCTCTTATGAACACTTACCGTACTAGGGGTACAAATACAAACCCCATCTTCACTCAAGAGAGTCAGTGGAGTCCCATGCTGTGGTATTTGTCCTGACAGACATCTTGGACTTCTCAGTACAGTGTCTGTTGGTTGAAGAGCACTTGTTCATTCGTTTATTGAAATGCTGATATTCTAAGTTCTAAGATAATATGGTACACCAGACAGACAAGCTGGAGCCCACATTCTGGTGGTTCATTTGCTTACTGTGTGCTGCCTCCATCCTGCCTGAGTGATGCCAGCAGTTGACTGGAGGGAGCTGCACCTGTTCCTGCTATATCAATCACAGTTGAAACATTATGAGCCAGAGGTTTGGTATGGAAAGCAGATCTCTCAGGGAGCCTTCCTTTCCTGTTGAGCTTAGGAACAAATCTCACAGCTCTTCCTTCTATTTCTTTCAGTTTTTTGGTTGTTTGTTTGCATGTTTAGCTAGTCTTGCTATGTAGTTCAGGATGGCTTTGAACTCGTGACAATCCTCCTGTCTCAACTTCCTAAGCACTGGGATTACAGACATCTGCCACCACACCCGGCTCCTTCTATTTATTTAGATTTTCTGCTTTGTTTTCTTTCAGGAGCATACAAGATACAATCTAAATATTATTTCCCTCCTTGTAGAATAGGCTGGCTGAACATGAATGTCCCATTTCAGAGACAGGAAGACTAATAACACTAGTGGGTAGTGGATATTCTTGTGCATGAATATTAGATTTGTGCTTCTGTTTCTCTTCATATATACCTTCTATTTTCCCTCAAATAAGCATTCTTTTTTGCTTTGATCTTTTAATTCAGTTTGAATATATCTCACAACATTTGGTATTTGCCAACTGCATCCCGTTGATCCTAAAGTTCTTCAATCAAAATATCTTGTCCTACATTACTGCAAAAAACAGGTATGGAGTCTAGATGGATTTATTTCAATGGGCTACTTTTTGGTGATTGAGAAAATTACATGGCTCTGTATCTGATGTCCCTCCTGTCTTAAGAGCTGCTCCCCTGTTAAATCTAATTTCCTTGAAGCGTTTGCTGATGGGAGTATATGGTTTGTTTCTTTGCAGAGGTACTTGCATTTTAGTAGTTTTAGATTTTTTTTCCAGTATTGAAGGTTGAACCCAGCACTCTTACACTGAGCTACTTCCCAGTCCTTTTTTATTTTTGAAACAGAATCTCACTAAATCACTAAATTGCCTCCAAACAGAGCCCTTGAACATGAGATTTTCTTGGCTCAGTCTCCCAAGGTGCTGAGATTACAGGCATACAATAATATACCCAAGTACTTTTAATAACTTTGAAGCTGAAAAATGCTATTACTTATAGAAATGAAGCTGCAGTGATGAAAGTTCTGTGATGAAAGTCCTCTTGCAGAAGGACCCAGAAGATTTTGTTGTTATGAAGCAACCTGCTTGTCTGGCCAGTGCTATTCTAAGTATGAATTATAAATTGGAATACTTGCAGTTACATTGCTTTGTAAACTATAAAATATCATACATAATCTGGCTAAAAGTAAACAGCTTTACTTGGATAGATCAGGTTGATTTGTAGTTTGTTTGTTTGTTTGCTTGTTTTGTCTTTTTCATTTTTATCAGTACCAAGGATTGAACTCATGACCGCCTCCTTGCAAGGCAGGTGCTTATGCCGCTGAGCTAAATCCCCAGCCCAAAAATATTTTTTTAACTACAAATCAACCTAGGGGCAGGGGCTGGGGATTTAGCTCAGCGGCATAAGCGCCTGCCTTGCAAGCGCGTGGTCGTGAATTCAATCCCTGGTACCAATTTAAAAAAAGAAAAAATATTTTCACATTTATTGTTTCATTTCATCTTAGCAGTGCTGAGAGATAAGTTTTATCTCACTATTGTCTCCTCACAATTTGAGGAGACAAATCTAGAGAGATTATATGACTTGTGCAAGATTGACATGCAAATAAGGCCTCTTAAGTGTGCATCAGAAGCAGGATAAGAAGACAGGCTTTTGTGTAAGTTTCCCAGCTGGGACTGGGATATTGCTGAGTAGATCCTTGTTCCTTAGTTTGCTATTTCCTCCAGGACTAGAAGCATGTTATTTGGTAGAGTTTCCCAAAATTCCTTTATCAGAGGCTAAGTTACTAAAGTAAAAGTAAAGAAGTTGGTGTCATACTCAGGGTGACTGGAGAGGGAGGGCTAGGAGATGTCTCCCCACTTTGTCAGTATGGCCTGAATTCTACTGCAGAGTGGCAGCCTTGAATGTGGTTTAAAACATATACCCTGCTTGGAGCCTGAAGCCACGAGACCTAGATTCCTGACCTGGATCTGCCACTTGCTAACTATAAGTGTCTAATATCTGAGCACAGTATTTGCATCTTTAAAATGACAATACTGCCTGTAAGTGTGTCATAGAGCTTTTATTTATTTCTGGTGCTAGGGACTCACACGTGCTACTCAAGTGTGCTACCACTGGGCTATATCCCCAGTGGCACAGAGCTTTCATAAACATTAGTTAAGATTAGTGCAAGAGATGGGCTGGGAATGTGGCTCAGTGGCAGAGTGAAGCTGGCATGTGTAGGGCTCTGAGCTCCACCCCCCACAACCCCCCCCAAAAAAAAATAGTATGAGAGTGCTTTAAATATTTTACTTTGAGGAACCAGGGAAGCATTGAAGAAAGGGTTTTTTCCTAGCTACATGGAAAAATGGGTATTGCTTCTCCTAAAAGTGATGTTTAAGATGTTTGTTGGATTGCTAGGGAGAATGAAAGTGTAGGCTAGGCATGATGCTGCATACCTGTTAATTTTAGCTACTTGAGGGCAGAAAGGATTACAAATTTGCGGCCAACCTGGGCCACATAGGGAGCAATTACCATCTAATAAATAAGTAAATAAATAAATATTTTAAAAGTAGGTCAGAATGTATCAGGGCCACAACTGCATGCAGGCACCTGTGTGTATCAGTCAACACTCTTGGTTGTGTTACCCAATTATCTTAGTCACTTTCTTCATTGCTGAGACAAACAACAGTGACACCTACAATTTAAAGGAGAAGTGTATTTTAGCTCACAGTTTCAGGAGTTTCAATTCATTTCACAGCTTTAAACACAAAAATGGCATAGTGCAAGGAAGCAGAGAGGAGTGCAGAGGGAGAGAGATCCGCCTCCTGGTCATGCCAGCGGCCCACCTCTTCCAACCAGTCCCCACTTTCAAACAAGATCAGTGACACCACCCTCATGAATCAGTCAACTTCCGAAATCCCAACCTATGAGAGCATGAGGCCTTTGAGAGACATTCTTGATCTACCATAACACTAATGTAATTCCCTTTGGGCTCCTGGGTCAAAAGTTGGTCTGTAGTGTGGAGAGCCCAAGATGCTGTTCATCTCCCCCTATGGATACTTCACTCAGATTTCCTTTTTCCCTGACAAATTTGTCTGGGGGAGTAGAGCACAAGAACTAAATGCTATGTCTTCTTTGTGTCATGTACTTGAAAGAGGAGGAGGAAACAGTCTAGTAGGTGTCTGTCTATTTGGTTTTGGAATTAGAAGTGTAGTGGCAGGTGTCAGCTGTTACTAGAGTTGACCTGGACAAAATTGTGCCACCTGTGTGCTGCCTGTAAGTTTTACTTTTTTTTTTTTTTTGTCTTTTTCATTTTTATCAGTACCAGGGATCGAACTCACAACCGCCTGCTTGCAAGGCAGGCGCTTATGCCGCTGAGCTAAATCCCCAGCCCCTAAGTTTTACTTTTGAATGATCCCTCAGAGCTTGGAGCACCAGAGCTTATCACTGCACAGTTTCCTCATGACTTGTACCATCCAGATATTCTAGATACTTGTAAGTTTCTTTGATGTCCCCTTAGGCTAGAATTTAGCTTGTTGAGAGACAGGAACAAGTTTTATCTTTAATTTCCCACAAGCTAGTCAGCTAGTCACCAGCACCTACTTTGGCATGGAGCCTTGTCAGTGGGAGGTGGATAGATAATGTGGTTGAGTCAGCCAGGAATGTTTATCCGATGGGGCAGTACTGAGCTGGCAACCTGGGCGATCCAGAGTGATACATGGAGACAATAGGTGCATTACGGGTAGCCTCACTGTTCTTTCCCAAGCTGACAGCTCTCCTCCACTGTCCTAGGTTATCTTGGCTTGTGTTTCTTGAACAGAGATAAATATGTCTAGCCAAGCAAATTGTTTTCTTTTGCTTATATAGAAGTTTCAACTTGCAAATGCAGAGGTTCAAGCACCCCCATACTCATTGCTATATGTAGCTCCAGCTTTGCCAAAATCCTTTACCCATTTCAAACTGCACTAATTCAGATTGATATCTAACAGCTCATTAAATATCAGATTGAGTATCAGAGCCAGAGGAACATTAGAGGTTAACTAGCCAAAATTCTGCACTGTACCGTGAAGGAGAAAGAAAAGGAAAGAAACTGTCATTTGTCGAGTGACTTGTGTCCCTGTCACATGTGGTATCTTATTTCCCTGCTGGACTCATGCCTGCTTCCCTGGGCTCACCACAGAGCATGTAGCTTTTTTGTGGTCTCCTATTGTTAGTTTTGGGGCCAGACACTATCATCATTCTGGAGCTACTGGGTTGGTCTTGCTCAGAAGTTGCCCCTATCTCAACCTTGCTATAAGCGTAGCTTCTGCAATCATTCTTCACAGTTCCTGGCTTTCAGAAAGATCTGCTGAGAGACACAGGAAGGTTCATTCCATCCTCATCACCACCTCAAATTGTTATTTAGTGGAGTGGATGGGTCTGGGCAGCATCTCCAGGAATACGACTCATATATACACTTAAGTGCAAAAACAAAAATGCACTCAAGTTTTTGTATTCCTTAAAAGAAGCAAAGAGAGCCAAGTAGAAAGGAGGTTCTCTTTCTGCACTTAGCTCTTTTTGCATCTGCTAAATGGGGTTTCCCTCATGACCAAGGAGAGGGAACTGGAGCTAGGGCTGCCCAGCATCAGTGCCTTCAGTTTCAGCTGAGGTCACTAAGCAATTTAGGCAACGGATGGATCCTGCCAGAGAAAAACAACCCTGCCCTTTTAGATGCAGCCATTTCCTGCTGTTGCCATTTACCTAAAGCCTGTCCTTATCTCTGCATCTTGCAGCATCTCGGTCCTGGATTACCCTGGCTGTACCATTCAGGATTTGCCGGAACTTACTACTGAGAGTCTGGTAAGCAGATGGGGATTTAGCAGCCTTGAAACTGCCAGGTGGAAGAAGCTGGCATTTGCTTTTTCATTTCTTCTCCAGCCCCATAATGCCCTGGTTGGGAGTCTCAGATCAATGAAGGCATAATAGTAAGAGCACAGAGGCAGTAGGAGCTTAGCGCTGCTAACCTAGCTGAGCAAAATTCAGAACAGCTGACCTTAGCATTTTGTAGAGAAGAGGAAAAAACCAGTGAAAAAACACCAAGGAGGAGAGGAAATTTTTAAAAATGAGGGGACTGAAATGCAGTGAACATTCATGTTAAATGGCAGGAGAATTTCTTCTGATGTAACACAAACAATTACCTTTCTGCTCTGCTCCATTTTCCTGCTGGAGTTATACAACCCAGGAGTATGTACTTCAGAAAACACCTTGTCTCTAAGGCAAAGGTCAGCATAGCCATAGGAGGATAACTCAGGAAGTTCTTCACCCTGAAAACACTTCTAAGAAAATCAAAAAAGTTCTCTAGAGTTATGAATTCTCTGAAACTGACTAAAAGCATATTGAAGATAAGGTCTACCTTGTGTATTTGGATATACTCCAGCCTACATCCTGTTTCATTGTAATTATTTGTGACTTCCTCAGTTTGGCCATAAATTTTTGACAGAAGAGACATTATCAACTTCCTTTGATTTTTGAGACAGGGTGTCACTATGTAGTTCAGGCTGGCCTTGAATTTACTACGTAGCCCATACAGACCTTAAACTCACAACAGTCCTCCTGCCTCAGCCTCCAAAGTGCTGGGATTACAAGTGTAGGCTACCCTGCCCTATCATTTTCATTATGTATCTGGCTCTGTATCCGATACATTGAAGGCTTCAATAAGTGCTGAATGATGGGGTGATGATATCCACTGGTGCTATGATATTTTGTCCCCTATCTTTCATAACTGCAAAATGTTGAATCAGAAAAGTATATTATTCCGAAACACACTTCTGTTTTGATAGATGCATAGGCATCTTGCCTGGAGGGGACTTACGAATCATTTGATCTAACGCCCTATATTTTAGAGATTAGTATCCGGTGAATGAATTGACTTGTTATAGTTCACTCCTCATAGGTGACAGACCCCCAAATGAGGCAAGAATCAAATGTCCTGAGACACCAAATTCAGCAAACTTTTTGTCATTGAAACAACTTTCCTGGCTTATTTAGATGTAGTCTCTGCAGCCAAAGACTCTAGAAGCTTTACTTCTACAGAGAGATTTTTTAAAATGTCCAACTCTTTATTTACATGGTATTCAGTCTCTTTAAAATGATTTTATAGATGGAGAAGTGCAAGTCAAGGCAGAATCGTGCCCATCCCTGCCTTCAGGGCTGGAGTGAAGAACACATTTCACACAGAAACAGTGGCATACAGCACCATTAATATGGTGCTATTTAGGGGCTGGGGATTTAGCTCAGGGACACAAGCGCCTGCCTTGCAAATGCAAGGTCATGAGTTCTATCCCCAGTACCCCCCTCAAAAAGTGCTATTTGTACAATATTTAAAAATAGAAAGTCTGTTTTCATGGCCTGAATCTATTCCTTGATATAATGTAGTGTGTTCTCTATTCCAGCCCTGTTAATTTACATATAGGAGTTGATGGGAACTATACTTTTGCATCTCTTCCAACTCACTGTTGATATGAGCTAAAATTATTGTACTGGAGTGATTATTATGCCTTCTGAGAAGACTGTATTATCCCAAAACGAAAGTGTGAATGCTTAATAGTAATGCTTGTGATTGTATTCCTTCCTGTAAAGCAATAGTGGCACCTGGTGGTTTTGTTTAGTAACCACACCCCCCACACACCCTTAGGGTTTACAGTGTTTCACCTGAGTCATCACAGGCTTCAGTAAGTAGGTTACCCCCATAGGTCCTTAATGTAATGATTTGGTGATCTCAGTTGGTGATTTCTATACCCCCCAGGCTCCGTGAATTGTAAACAGAGAAAATGTACTGGCTGTTGAAATGTGTAGGATTTACTTTAAATAACATTATTTAACTGAATAAAGACTGTACATATTTGTGTTTCCATGGGACATGATACAATTTAAAGATGAACCTTTTGAGGGTTTTGGTTGGGTTTTGGGGGTACTTCCTGAGTAGGTGCTAAACAGGCGCTCTACCTCTGCATCGTCGTTAAACATTGCTGAAAGCCTCATTAGAAGTCACCCATGACACTGCACTACTGAATCTTTAAAAAGGACAGTCTTTTACTGAACATTCATCTCACTCTTCCTGCAGAACTCCAAAATAAATACCCTTTGACGTCATCTTTAATTATTTCCTTACTATGGATTCCTGGAAATAGAGTTAATGGACTGAGATAGTCTTGGTTCACATTCTTCTGTTTTCTGAATTTGAACTGAATTCATTTGTTTCCTTTGGCACTCCAGTTGCACAGCATGGTGGACATGAAATAAAGGCAGAGTTAATGGCGTATTAATTTCTGAATCCTGCCTATTTTTGTCAAAATGGTGAAATGATTAACTTTAGAATAAGCGATTTTTACCCATGTACTGAGCATTTTTCTCTCCATCTGGTATGGGAAAGCTTAACATTTCTGGATCTTCAGTGTCTGTGTTCAGATCTAACTAAGCAAGGGCAAAACTAAAATTAAATTCCAAACCGAAATGAAGGATAGTGAACACAGATTGTGTGGAAGGTGAGTATGGTCTTTGGAGAAGGTCGCTGGAGAAAGTGATTAACTGCAGCCCCAGCATGTTAAACTCTTAGCATGTGGGTGGCTTTTTAGAGCAATAGCATGAAATGTAGGCATGTTTGATCTTTTACATAGATTAATAGCTATTTATGTATACATTGTAGCAACATTATTACAACAGATCATTTGTAATTTATAAATGAGCATACATGTGTTTGGGAACACACAAAAATAATTTTATGATAGATTTGGGAAATAAAAATGTCTACAAACTACTGTTTTAGAGTATAGTGAAATGAAGACAAGGATATAGATTTGCTTCCTCGGTGGGCCTGTTAGTCCTAAAGAGAAATCATGCGGATTATACTCATCTTTCTTTCCTCCTCTTTTTTACAAAGATTTGGGCAAAGAAAATATGGGAATTCTGTGTAAATGTATCATCACTGCCACAAAACTAACCCAAAGTTCCAAACTGTCCCAAAATTCTCTTATTTTCACCACCTCATCGCAGAATGTGATTTAATAACAACAACAGCCAGGCGTGGTGGTGCACATCTGTAAACCCTGCACCTTGAAGACTGAGGCAGGAGGATCACCACAAGTTCCAGGCCAGGCTGGGCTGCAGAGTGGGTTTAAGGTCAGCCTGAACTACATAATGAGATGCTGTCTCAAATAAATAAGCAAATAGCATCACACACTAGGAGACAATATTTGAAACAGTATGGGAATTCACATGTAGTTAGAAATGAAGTATAGAAGGTAATGTTTATGGAATCATACAGTACACAGAGCTCAAAGTGTTTTGATCCATATCTTGCCCAGTGCTACCCTTTATTGAAGAGGAAACAGTGGTAAAGTCACTTCTGAAGCACTATAAAGAGCTAGGACGAGTGGGTCAGGGTTTGCATGACCAGCCAATTGCAAAGAAATGTTTGGCATTTCCTTATAGATCAAGGCAATGAAATTAAGTTAATTTTTAAAAGGTAGGTTATTGGCTATGCATAGTAAAACAGGAAGATCTGAGGCAGGAGGGTAACAAGTTCAAGGCCAGCCTGATGGAAAACATAGTGAAACCCTGAAAGAGATCAATACAAAATTGCTTAAATTTGGGTTTGAGCCAGAGATTATAATATGTGCCTATGGTCCAAGTACCCAGGAGGCTGAGGCAGGAGCATCACTGGGCGTTCAAGCCCAGTCTGAACTACACAGTAAGACGTTTTATTGGTACCAGGGATCGAATTCACAACCTCGCACTTGCCAGGCAGGTGCTTATGCCACTGAGCTAAATCCCCAGCCTCACAGTAAGACTTTATCTCAAAAAGAAAAGGAGGAAGAAGTTCAATTCTATTCAGAAAGACTTACAAAATATTTATGTCATTTTATATATCATATCTTTTAATCAGCCTTATTTAGTTTTTTTATAACTTTCAAATTCAAATAAAGTCTGAGGGGTGTGGTGGCACACACCTATAATCCCAGCACTGGGGAGGCTGAGGCAGGAGGATCATCAGGAGTTTGAGAACTGTGCTACATAGTGCAATGAAGGCCAACTTGAACTATGTAATGAGACCTTGTCTCAAAAAATCAAATAAAATCTCTGTTCTAATATTCACAATCACTATTTAAAATTAGTGATGCCTTTAGCAGTATTACTCCTCGACTGAACATGCCACAAGGTATATATCCATTTTCCATGAAGTGTTTATACAGAGGAAAGACACTCAGTACTTTTTTTCCTTGCATTTTATCAACTTACTTGTAGTCACTTTTGCTATGATTATAGCAAATGATTAAGGGCTGGGTTCAGTCCCTAATGTATCTTTGAAAAAAAAAATTTTTTTTTTTTGTACCAGGGATCAAACTCATGACCTCACACTTACAAGCAATTGCTTGAGCCACTGAACTAAATCCCCAGCACGCCCCCCCCCCCCCAGTTCTTTTTCTTTTGAGGCAGGCTCTCACTGTATAGTTTAGGCTAGCCTCAAATTTGGTCATCCCCCTCCCTCAGGCTCCCAAGTGCTGGGATTAAAGGCTTGCACCACCACACCTGATTGAGATTTTCTTATTTCTTACTCATTCTACTAAAAAATCATTATTCTCCTAATTCTTAGATCTAGGTCCTTAGTCTAGTAGCAATTTATCAGAAACCCATATGAGATTTTGTTTGTCTTTTTAAGACAGGGTCTCACTGCTGGTCTTGAACTTGCTTTGTAGCCCAGATTGGTCTCAAACTCGAAGCAATCTTCCTGCCTCAGCCTCCAAAATGCTGGGATTTACAGGTGTGCACTACCATACCCTGCAAGAGCTAGAAAGAATCTTGCAGGTTTCCCATAGCCTGTAAGAATTTCATTTATAAAGGAATAGAACTTGGGTCATTAGATAAGCACACTTGACTCTGCCCCAGAAAAAATATTTTAAAAGAGCTGGAGTTGTAGTTCAGTGCAAAGGCACTGAATTCAGTCCCTAAAACCACACACACAAATAAGAGGCTGCTCTGCATAGGTCTCCATGAATCTTAGCCAATAGAATAAGCAAATTTTCTTTCAGGAACCAAATAATTCTGATTGTGGCTAGGACTCCAGAATACAGCTAGAAGGTGAACAGTAAACAATCATCAAATTCAGTGGAGGCTGGACACTTACAAGTGACTGCAGTCCCCTCTCCCTCTCTGGTCCTCAGTTTTTGCTTCTATGGGTGATGGAGTTGACTAGAACAGCTAAGTCTCTTCTAGTGCTCAGATTCTAACCAAACTGATTTTCTCAGTCAAGAGAAAGAAACACTCTGTTCTTCCCTTAGTCATCTTGCTTAATTTTCCACATAATTGGTGTAGCCTGGGTTTTTATTTGGCTTGGCTCACTTCGTTGGGAACTTTGAGAACAGTCTTTTGGTGCCTTGGACATGCTCTGAAATGGTAGGATGTGGTCCCTACACTTACTCTTTAGTAGTGTACTATGAACAAATATTTATTTGCGAGTGTGAAACATGGGCAAATGTTTTGTTTGTTTGTTCCAGTGCTGGAGATTGAGCCCAGGGCCTTGGAGGTGCTAGGCAAACTCCCTGCTGAGAGCTGCATCCCCAGCCCCCTGCTTTAGCTTTAGTTTTAGCTGGTAAGGAGTGAAGATCTCACTTTGTCTAGTGTGAAGCACTAGGAGCCAGAGAACATAGCTATGTGCTCCCGTTCACAAAATATATTTCCGCATCATACTTAAAACAGACAAAAGGTGACCTGCCTTAAAAGAACAGAAGCATAATGAAAGCACCCTCAAGTCTGGCAAATCTGAACAAGCATCCTTGAAGCTAAAGACTGCCTATCCATTGGATAGGCAGGGACTGGAGCAGCGCATCACAAAGCTCCTGACACTGCAAGCAGTGGAGTCAGAAGCAGGCTCAGCGCGCTGACCCGCGCACCGGGGGTACAAGTGCGGCTTCTGCAGTTAGTTTTGTCAGGAGGCCTTGGGCAGCCGAGACTGTCTCAGGAGGGTACTGAGGCCCTTTCCTGGAAGGAGCCCTTCAAACAGCTCTCAGGAGAAGGCAGCCACAATCAGCTTACCCCGAGTCAAAACTTCACTTTTAAAACTAAAACTTTACTGGGAGCAACACATATCAAATTCTCTATGATGAATGCTGTCATTATGTATGTCTAAAATGTGTTGGTAAAAAATGTAAAATGCAAACACAAAAAAGACTAGAACTTCACGTGGTTATTCAATTGGTCCTTGTTTTTTCAGCCTGAGGGCAGCTCTAGCAGGAAAGTTAACAATGTTGCTTTTGTTTTTTCTTTTTCAGCACTGGGGCTTGGACTCTGGGCTTTCACACTGAGCTGCATACCCAACTCTTTTGTTGTTTAATTTTTAAATTTTGAGATAGGTCTTACCTAAGTTACTAAACTGCCCAGGCTGGCCTTGAATGTAAAATCCTCCTGCCTCAGCCTCCCAGGCAATGTTATTTCATTTATAATCACACACCCCAAATGATGCAAATCCAAGATTATTCATTGCGGCATTGCTTGTAATAAAGAAAGATTGGAAACAATCTAAATCCTCATTAATACAGAACCCCCTGGTTAGATAAATCCTCATAATAGAATATGCAGCCATGAAACACGATAGAATAATTCTGCTGGAGTAAGTTCAAATCATGGAATTATAAAATAGAGTTAAAGGTATTTTTGTTTCATTCTTTGTCTTGCATGGTGTTGGGGTTCGAATCCAAGGCCTCGTGCTTGCTAGGTAAGCACTGTACCACTGAGCTCTACAACCAGCCCCATGAAGAGTTCTTTTTTTGTTTTTTTTTAATCCATTTTATTTCAAGAATAAAAAATAAAAACAGAAGAAGAAAAGAGAAAAACTACAACAAATTTTCAAAACATGTCATTTGTGGGCAACAATGATTTGTCATCCCCAACAGCAATTTGTCATCCCCAAATCATTCACCTGGAGCATAAGACATCTGCCTTCCATTGTCACAACAATACCTGCAAAAATCTCCCCATGAAGAATTCTTAAAGATTATCAAACTCTTACAGGAAACAAAGGAAATGACTTGTCTAAGATTGTCTAAGGACCGAGGCATAGGTGTCCTGGTGCCTACTCCTTGTGGCTGCTTCCCAAGGCCGTGCTTCTGCTTATCGACCTGTTAAACTCGGAGATGCCAAGGGATGTAAGGTGCTCATAGCTCCACCAATGGAGACTGTGGTAAAGGCAGCCCACTGTGTTTTGCGTTTCCCTTGCTGCTTTTTTGTGCCTGGATAATAGGCATGCACCACCATGCCCAGCTCCCTTGCTTCTTAAAAATGTAAAAGTCTGTTTCTGTTCACCACACAAGGTATAAACACTGATTGGTTTTGGCCAAATAACTAATACAATAGCGTAGAAACTCACGGAAGTTTCCCTCAGAAACAGACTATGGTTTCCCTAGAACTTATTCTAAGTACAATATTGAACATTTACATTGGGAAGAGAATGTTTATTTGTAGATAATATTTCTAAAGTTTTTCTGAAACTTTTTGACCTTCATTCTCTCAAAACTCTTAGATGTCCATTATGCACTACAGGTATGCCTGTCTTGCTTGCTTCAGGTTAACTTGGGGGAGGCCAGGCATGATGGCACATGCCAGTAAATCCCAGCACTCATGAGCCTGAGGCAGGAAGATCACTGCAAGCTTGAGGCCAGCCTGAGCTACACAGTGAGTTCAAGATGAGCCTGAACTAAAAGACAAGACCCTATCTCTGGGCTGGGGATTTAGCTCAGGCGGCATAAGTGCCTGCCTTGCAAGCGTGTGGTCGTGAGTTTGATCCCCAGTATCAATAAAAAAATAAATAAATTTTTAAAAAGACAAGACCCGATCTCCAAAAATTAAGCGGGGGAGAAGAGGTAATTTTCTGTTCCAGCCAACAGCCCCCTTCTATATGTCTCCTGCTCCTGCATTCTCCCATCACACTGTAGACATGAGGAATTTCTAAATTTTTTTTTTTTTTTTTTTGTCTTTTTCCTTTTTATCGGTACTGGGGATCAAACTCACGACTGTCTGCTTGCAAGGCAGGCGCTTATGCCACTGAACTAAAACCCCAGCCCCCTAAAATGTTATTTTTGCTGTTAAACACGCTCACTGATTTATGTAACTTCTGACACCATTATGTATGTAAGGCCTCCAAATCACATAAGAACTTTTATTTTTGCTTCTAAAAAATGTTTTGTTTCTAAAAAATGTAGATAACTGTTTCTACTCCACAATCCACCTGTTGTTATAAATACCAAGAAACATATAGGGAAAACACCTGCCTAAAAATGAACCATCTGCCATTTTTCCTTCCATGCTGGGAATTAAGCATCTGGCTGCAATATGGTTTCATAAAGGAGGGTAGGAGTTGATTTTAAAAACATTAACTATAATGAAGATCAGAACAATCCAGGACAGTTTAAAAATCTACCAGAATGTGTCTAAATTCCAAGCAATTACAAATGTTAGCCTACATAAATGCAAAATAAACGGGGTTATGATTCTATCATCTGTTTTCTGATCCTAAACAGTAAGCTAGACAAAAAGGCTTGCTTGAATCAAGTTCCTATGTTCATGTATTGTTAGCCAGTGCTTGCTGTATTCTGGGTAGAGAATCTTCCAAGATTGCCAGCTGAGCAGGTGGTGGTTGTCAGTTTTTGCTGTTTAAACGTATATCCCCATTTTATTTATTTACTTATTTTGGTACCAGGGATCGAACTCATAACCACACACTCGCCAGGCAGGTGCTTACTCTGCTGAGCTAAATCCCTGGCTATTGTTGCTTAAATGTAATGCTGAAAAAGTAAAGAGTACAATGCTGGAGATCCCAGGGCTTTGCACAGGACAGGGAAGCACCCCACATCTGAGTTACACCCCCTGCCCAGCTGAGCTGGTCTTCAGGTGAAAGGTGTGCTCCAGGCATAAAAGTGAACAGGTAACATTTCCTACTGAAAGGCTTCAGCGGAGCCGACCAACAGTGACTCTGGGCTTCTTGGGAATGAAAGCCCGGGGCTGCTGAGATAATGATAGATGTTCCTCATTTCAGGAAGCTGGCGACAACAACCAGTTCTGCTGGAGGAACCTCTTTTCTTGCATCAACCTCCTGAGGCTGCTGAATAAACTGACCAAATGGAAGCATTCCAGGACCATGGTGAGTTGGGCTCCTGGTCATGGAGGTGTCCCCACTGCACTGAATTCTGCATCCAGTAGTAAATACTTACGAACTGCCTGCTTTGTGAGATCGGTACAGTGTTGTATAAGTTTTAGCATCTCCTAATTCTGGGCACCTATTCTAAATAACATGATTATATACCAGGCCATTTCTATTCAGGGAGCTGAGTGTGGACCCTCTATTAGGGTAGCTCTGGAGAGGTGAAATTAGCCAGGAGTGAATTACAGTCTCACAGCTTAGACCATGATACAGGTCTAAGCTTACTCAGTATGGCATTGTTGATAATGAGAGATCAGAAGCTACCTAAATGCTCATTAATATGAGACCATCTGATTAAAGAAATGATATATCCTTAGAATATTACACAACCATGAAAAACAATGTTCTAGTATGGGATAATTTTCAAAATATGTTATTAAATGTAAAATATGTTAAAAAGCAAGTTAAATGTGCATACATAAAATTATTTCCAGAAGAAGCACAAGATTATTGCTAATAGTGCAAGTGGGATATATGACAGACAAAAATTCTGTCTATACTACATACTTTAACATTAGAAACAATGAAAAGAATAAATTCTTTGTTTTTTATTTGTGTGTGTGTGTGTGTGTGTGTGTTGCCTTTTTAAGACAAGGTCTCACTGTGTAGTTCATCCTGGTCTTAAACTATGTAGCCTGGGCTGGCCTTGAACTCAATGTGATCCTCCTGCCTCAGCCTCTTGAGTGCTAGGATTGCAGGCATGCGCCCGGCCCAAGTCTTTTTTTTTTGTTTTTTGGGGGGTTTTTTGGTACTGGGAATCAAATTCGTGATCTCATACTTGTCAAGCAAGTGCTTACACCGCTGAGCTAAATCCCTGGCACCAAGTCCTTTTTTTTTGAGACAGGGCCTCAGTTGCCAGTCTTCCTGCCTCAGTCTCCCAAATTGCTTGCATTATAGGTATGTGCCACCACACCCAGCTTTATGGTTTTGAGGGTTTTTTGTTTATTTTGTTTTTGGTACCGGGGATTGAATTCACAATCTTGCGCTTGACAGGCAGGCGCTCATGCTGCTGAGCTAAATCCCTGGCCACTTTTATGTATTTTTAAAGACTAAACCCAAGTAGATTCTAGATTTTATATTCCCAAAAGACCCTCAGAGTACATGAGACTAGCCAGGTTTGTGTTTCTGATTACATTCCTCCTGTGGAGGTGATACCTGTACATAACACATCTTAATTCTTTTTCATCCTGTCCCAACTCTTTGCATCTCTTGTGCTCCTCCCATTTGCCAAAGATCTCCTTCCCTATCTCCTGCTATCTGTCTTTTGTTTTGTTCTTTATTATATTTTACACTTCTCATATAGGAGAAACCATGCAATTTTGAAGCTTGTGTGTCTGATTTATTCCACTTAGCATTATAGTTTAAAGGTAGATTCATTTTCCTACAAACGATTCAAATTTATTCTTGTTTACTCCCTTGTGTATAAATACCACACCTTCGTTATCTGTTCACCTGTTGGTGGAAGCATAGGCCGTTTCCTAGATGTAGCTGTTGTGGATGGCACTGCTGTACCCATGGATATACGGGTTGGTCGTAATTCTTGTGTAAGCCGGAAATCCTAGGAAGCTCTGCATCTTTAATGGGCCTTTGTTCACCCTCACCCCTCTTCATTGGACAGATGCTGGTAGTGTTTAAATCAGCGCCAATCTTAAAGCGGGCCCTCAAAGTCAAACAGGCCATGTTGCAACTTTATGTCTTGAAGTTGCTAAAGATACAGACCAAGTACCTGGGGCGCCAGTGGAGGAAAAGCAACATGAAAACTATGTCAGCCATTTACCAGAGGGTGCGCCACCGCATGAACGACGACTGGGCTTACGGGAACGGTGAGTGCTCGTGGGGCTCCTGACTTCCGAGGGGCCTGGAGTCCGAGCAGAACTACACAAACACCTGTCTCTACTCTTTGGATGTAAATTTTTTGGATTGAAAATGTGTGATTATACATTAGATATTGTTACATCAAACTTAATGTAATGCCCCAAATTCTAGCTCATATTTTGTCCTATATATCTACAAAACCCACTTTATAAAACTGCTTTTTTTTTTTTTTAAGACAGGGTCTCACTATGCAGTTCAGGCTGGCCTTGAGCTCACTTTGTAACCCAGGCTGGTCTCAAACTCGCAGCAATCCTCCTGCCTCAGCCTCCTGAGTGCTGAGATTACAGGCCTGTGCCAGCATGCCCAGCTCAATTAACACTTTAAAATAGCTAGAATAAGGATACTGAATATTTTTGGTACAGAGAAATGATGTTTGAGGAGATATGTTTAATTATCAAGTTCACATAGTTGTGCAACCCACAGCTTGCCAATTTAATATCTTATTGTATGGTCTTAAAAATCTTTTGCTACGCATATTTTATTAACATGAAAGGAATTAGTGCATAGTACTTTAGAACCTGCTCTTTTCAGTTAATGTTATTTCTGCCTTTCTATGTCAATACATTTTCTACAGTCGTTGTGTTGTGAAGGTCATGTGTTCTAGCCACATTGGATGCCATTCCCTTTTCCCGTCCATCACAGACTAGGAAGTTTATATTTGTAATCCCATGAAAATGTTATTGGAATTCTAGCTAATTAATTTTAATCCACCACTTCCAGTGTAACCCACAGAGAGAATAAAGACACTAAGATATATTTATAATCATGGGTGGCTGACAGGTCCTGAGTCCAGCCTGGACAAAGGTTTATCAGAACAAAGGACCTAACCCAGATTTTATTAATTTATAAAGAAGGAGTGGCGGGGCTGGGGATTTAGCTCAGCAGCATAAGCACCTGCCTTGCAAGCAGGTGGTCGTGAGTTCGATCCCTGGTACCGATAAAAAAAGAAAAAGACAAAAAAAAAAAAAGATGCTAATAAAGGCCAGCTTAGTGACTGAGGCCCGTAGACCTACCACTCTGGGAGGCTGAGGCAGAAGGATCAGTGCAAGTTCAAAGGCAGCCTGAACTGTACTGGGTTTTGTTTGTTTGTTTGGGGGTTTTTTGGTACCATGGATCGAACTCACTACCTTGCGCTTGCCAGACAGGTGCTTATGCCACTGAGCTAAATCCCCAGCCCCTGAACTGTACTGTTAAGACTGTCTCAAAAAAAAAAAAAAAAAAAAAAAAAAGCTCAAGCCCACTCTGAGTTACTTAGTGATCGTCTTGCTTATTTTCCCTTTGCTAAGACAAAATACCCGATGCCCAAAGTTAAAGGAGGGTACGTTTATTTGGCTCTGGTTTATAGAGGTTTCAGTCCATTGTTAGTTGACTGCAAGGCAGAGGGATATAGCAGGGGGACATTACAGAGGAGAAACAGTTCATGGTGGGCAGAAGGCAGGAAGGCAGCAAAGCAGTGGCTAGAAAGCAAGCAGCAAGTGATGGCAGCAGCCCTCTCTCTGTCCCTGATAGTCTATCCAGGCTGTATCCCCTTAGGGCAGGTCGCTCTCACACCCAGGGAGGGCCTTCCCCTTATCCACACCCAGAACTGTGCCAAACCAATCAGTGGAAAATCTAATAATCACATTCCCTTGATCCAAGCATCACACTCTCTAGAAGCAGCCACCTCTGAAAAGCCCCACTGTGAAGGCATGAGGCTTGAGGGGGGACATCCAGACACAAGCTGAATCCCGTCCCTCATGCCACAAAACAAAAGCAAACATCAAAAACACGGACTTGTGATGTGGTGGTGGAGATTCCAACTAGTTGTTGGGATGCTGTTTACTTTGTACGCTGCTCTTTATAAAGAAGGGTGATTCTGATTGTTGGAATCCCATAGTGTACACTGGTAGCAGGAGAGTGATGCCCTCAGTTCTGTGCATCTCTTTCTTCCTCTGTTTCCAACACAGACATTGATGCCAGGCCGTGGGACTTCCAGGCTGAAGAGTGCACCCTGAGGGCCAACATCGAGGCTTTTAACAGTCGCCGGTATGACAAACCCCAAGACTCTGAATTTTCACCTGTGGATAACTGCTTGCAGAGTGTGCTGGGGCAAAGGTTGGATCTACCTGAAGATTTCCACTATTCCTATGAGCTTTGGCTGGAGAGAGAGGTATTTTCACAGCCCATCTGTTGGGAGGAGCTGCTCCAGAATCACTAACTGAGCTCTTGTCAACAAAGCATCTGATAGATGGAGATTGGCTCCAATAAATGGTGCTCTGCTACCCTACCCATCCAGCCTGTGCTTCCTGCCTGAAGTGCTTGTCAAGGGGAGACCAGGCCCACAGGTCAGGTATTATGGGGGTTGCAGAGCTTGGACCCTGAGTCACAACAAACTGATTACCTTGCCCAGGGTCAGCTGCGTGTCCGTGGGCTGTGGCAAGCTCTTGGTGGATCAGTCGTGGAGAGGAGTCTTCGATGGGGACTGCTTTAGTCTTGTCTACAACCAGCTGCCTTTGCTGGCTCCGAGAATGAGGGGACTTGGCCATGTTTGAGCCATGGTATTCATCCAAGTTGTGAGACAGGTGCAGGTCACACATAGGAAGATTTTCTTGCCCACCCTGAATTCCTACTTACTTATCAGCAGATTGGCAACTATAAAATTAATACTATATTTTAAAATTTTTAAGTTTGACACTTCATTAGCTCTAAGATGATTTTAAAGCACCTGCACCTTCTTTATAAAGGATAGTGATTTACTATTCCCTAAACACTGCATGTTAAAGAAAAGTGTATCGTGTAGAGTAGGTTTTCTTTTCTTTCTTAAAGATCCATGTTGGGCTGGTCCAATGGCAGTGGGTTAACATGAGTATCACTAAAGTTGGTATACCACCCCACCCACTGCTAAATTTGACTGGCTTTAAAAAAAAAAAAAAAGATCCATGTTGGATGTGAAGATTATTCCTACACGTACTCTGTATACAGCATGACGCTCTGCGATTTGTGAAGAGCCACAGCCAGTGTGGAACAACCAGGCCTTTGTGAGGAGCGTTGCATGTTTTTCTGAAATTGCTTCAGTCTTAAGATGCCTGAGTACACTGTAGAAAACTACCCTTTTCATCTACTTCATGTTTTAAATGACAGGTTAACTACAGAGGTCTTATTTATTGAAATAGCATGTCCATTAGTACTGATTAATTTATTTTTTAATTAGAACAGCAAGAGCATCTTAGCTTATGTTTTGGCTTCTCCAAAATTGATTGATTTTTGCTTCTTTAGAATTGATTTTTTTCCCTTTTCCCTGCTAGCAGTTTCAGAGTGTCTAAGGAGATTTAGTAATATGATTCCTAAGCGCTGCACATTTCCTAGAAAACATGAGAGCTGGTGTATCAACCTGTGTACTCCTCTCGGACAGCAGAATCATGTCCTTCCCAAAAGAAACATGTTTCTAGGAAACTTTCTGATTGAGTCACGATCATTTTATTTCTCTTCTTCCCCCAATTATACTACCTATAGTCAGGCTTTTTCACTCTAACTCCTCCTCCTCTCAACATAAACACGGCTGAATCTTGTTATGATGGTACCAGGACACTATGCTTAGGGCTCTTGTCCAGACTGATTTTCTCTATCTGTTGTCAACTACAGTAGTCTCATTTGAAACTTATGATAGAGTATCTGACAAGACCCAAAGAAACTACACAAAAATCTAGTAAGTATTGCTTTAGGGCAGCAGGATTTCTGTCTTTATGGAACAGTCATGAAAAATATAAGCACTGAATGGAAGCACTTTTTAAAATATTTTTTTCATTTTACCGAAGTAGGACAGCTGTCCTCTCTACAATTAAAGATTTTATGAAGTATATCTTCTGTGAATTTTATTAATGTAAGGTCAGACTAGAATGATTTTAATGTGATTTAAATGAAGATAATTTTTAAAGAAATAGCTATCAGTCTACTTATTTTAAAGCTATAATATTCAATTAATATCAAGAACAAATACTTTGACCTTTTAACAACATACGCGTGGATGCTTTCTGAAGTACAAAAGTAGGCTAAGCTTTTAACATTTCATACCTTAGTATTTATAACTCTTCTCTAAGGGCAGGGCAATTCTCAGTGCAGATAAGGAAGCTGAAGTACCAAGGATAAATAGTTTCAAATTATATCATTTTTTCCCAATGACTTGCTGGGAATAGTTTCAGGTATTACCAATGGGCCGACATGCTAAGGTGACCTGGTTGAATCTCCTGATTTGGGAGGACTCGTATGTGTGACTAGGAATTAAATTAACATTAATCAATCTCCACTCGTGATCACTATCTCTTCCATTATGTGAGTGATTTATAACGTAGAGGTGTTTTATTTGTAATTACTTCAGTGAAGCTTGTGTTGATTGTTGATAATACTGTTCATGTCATGAAGCACTTTAATAAAAGGAAAAATACACTGGAATTAGAAATGAGATCTATAAATTCTTCACTACAAGGGAATCTTAAAATGATGTTTGATGGGGCTGGGGATTTAGCTCAGCGGCATAAGCGCCTGCCTTGCAAGCAGGCAGTCGTGAGTTCGATCCCTGGGACTGGTAAAAAGGAAAAAGACAAAAAAAAAAAAAAAAATGATGTTTGAAAGAATATAATAGAAAGTTAATAACACAGCCCTGATCTCACTGTCCTATGACAAATTTTGTTTCTTCATCAGGGTGTCAGGGTCTGCAGGGCGCAGGCTGCAGCTCACGTGACTCAGCTCGGCTTGCGCGACTGGCTCCTCTCCTGCAGTACTCCCACGCTGGCCCTCAGCTGACGGAATGGCCCGGGCCATGCTGCTTTCCTAGTGAAGGGCAGGAGCAAGAAACAAAACATGAGCACATTCAGAGCTCCCGTTTGGATACTGCCTTAATACTCCACTGACCAAGCCCAACGCAGGGTCGGAGAAGCCCACTCTCCCACAGTGTGACAAGTGGGGTGACAGTAATGCTCTCACAGTGACAGTCATAAATAGCTGCTCCATCCTATCCACAAAATATGCACAGCCCCTTCTTGGGAGGACTCCAAAAGTCTTACTCAGTCCTCAAGTAAGACCTAAAGCTTTGCATCTCATCAAGTTTAGATGCAGTGTCTCTGGATCCTGAGACTTGTAAATTTAAAAAAGAAAGAAAGGGGCTGGGGATTTGGCTTAGCAGCGTAAGTGCCTGCCTGGCAAGAGCAAAGTTGTGAGTTTGATCCCTGGTACTGGAAAAGAGCAAAAATAAATAAAATAAAAAGTAAAAGCTATCTGGGTATAGTGGCACACACCTGTAATCCCAGCACTTAGGAGGCTGAGGCAAGAGGATCACTGAGTTCAAGGCTAGTGTGAGCTACATAGTGAGTTCAAGTCCAGCCTGCACTACAGAGACCCTGTCTCAATAAAGTAAATAAAATAAAAGGTAGATAAGTTATCTGCCGCTCCAGACATCCATACATTGAAGCTACAACATAGTTGAGAGGAAAGATAGCTTCCTGTGGAAGGGAAAAAAATGACACAGCAATCCCTGCTCGCTCCATAAGCAGTGCTGCTCCCGTGAAGTCTCCTTCCTCTGGGGATAAAAAGGCCTTTAGTCTTTGCTGTAGAATTAGCCCCTCGCCCCCCACCACTTTCAGCAACTTAGCAAGAGCTTGTCCCAAAAAACTAAAAGGACTCAGGATATAACTCTGCCTGGCCTCCATGAGGCCCTGAGTCACTCCCCAAACACAAAGCAAATAAAAACAGCTGGATGTGGTGACCCATCTGCAATCCCTGAGTGCTCTGGGAGACTGAAGCAGAGGATTACAATGTTCTACCCAGCCTGAGCAATTTAGTGAGGCAGCCCGTCTCAAAAAATATGTATATATATACATAGCCACAATTTTTTTTTTTTTTTTTTAGTCTTACAGAAGATTAAATCCAAGGCCTTCACATTACATCTCCAACATCTTTTTTTTTGAGACATGGTTTCACTAAGTTGCTAAATTGCCCAGATTGGGCTCAGACTTGTGGCCATTCTTGTTTTTACTTTCCAAGTGCTGGGATTATAGGCGTGTGCCACCATGCTTGCCAAGGCAGTTGTGTGTGTGTATAGTCCAGGCTGGTCTTGAATTCACTCTGCGGCCCAGGCTGGTCTTAAACTCATAATCCTGCCTCAACCTCCTGAGTTCTAAGATAACAGGCCTTCAGGCATGCGATGTCCTAAACAGTTTTTTTGGCTCAAACATTTTTAAATTTTCTCAGAAGCTGGATAAAAACTGTTGCAACTGCCAACTTTCTAAGACCTGAAATTTATATCTCTGCCTGAAAAGAGGCCAATTTTCTGAGCCATCCCTTGATTTAACAAAAGTAAGTACATTTTTGTTAAATGCAGGTAATGCTAACCTACTCATGCCACTCACATTCTGTCTTTAAATCTTCTTGCCCACCATACTTTGAGCGTAAGTTATTGCAGGCAATGATTTTACCAAATATTTTGTCATCATATAACATGGGTTGCCAGTTTTCTAGCCTCCCAGTTGTTCACTGGGGCATTGGCCTTTAAACCAGTTTCACATATTTTCAGGCTTTGTTATGGTAATCGCCCACAGCAGGCACCAAAGTCAACATACTTTGCTCTAGCAGCAAATAAGCATAAGATGTCAGTGGCTCACAACAAATATCTCCACCCTGCCTGTTCTACATGTCTTATCCTGAGTGCTGAGGTCTAGACTGAGCTGATGGAGCAGACTATGTTCTTGTAGTGAAAACTCAGTCACACAAATGAATTTACAGGGCTGCTCAGGTGTGCTGTGACTCACAACTCGTGTGATTAACAAAAGCAACTCACATGGACCGACTGGACACTGGTGCAGGACAGGTTTCTCCATCCATGGGAAGGCCAGCCCTTATTATACTGTATTGGCTTGGGTTTTCTAGAGGAGCTACATGTATATATTTATGCAAGAGGTTTTACTGGATAAGCCTATAGGACCAGAGCAAGACAGCCTACAGTGTCTGTCCAAAGCTATAAAGCATGAGAAAGGAAGCTGCAAAACAAGAGGGATGGAGGATGCTGAGTCAATCTAAGACTAAAGGCCTTCGGCCCCCTAACAGCATCCACCTCATAACATTCACTGGGGGCTGGGGATTTAGATCAGTGGTATAAGCACCTGCCTGGCAAGCAGGACCCACACATACACGCACACACACACAAAATAATAATGATCATTCACTGGCATGGATCTGTGCTGATGAGCTGGAAAAGCTGGATGTCCACAGTAGGTAGTAGTAACAAAAGATACCTCTGCTCATGAATCAAGCTTTTCAAATGCAGACCAACTTCCTCTCTTTGGTTTTCACCCTGACTGGCTACAAGTCCGTGGGGTGGACCTTCCAGCCTCACTTTGCTGGCCTGCGCCCCAGTCATCTCTGGAAAAACCACAGACCGCCCTGAAGTGTGCTTTACTAATCTCATGAGTGTTTCTTGTTCCAGCCCAGTTGACAATCACAATTAAAGGTCACATATATTCTTACAGAGGGGAAGTACCTAATTAGGAACAAGCATAACATTTGTCATAGTTGTATAATACAATTTTTATTCAGAGGGTAGATATGAATGAAGAAGTTTAACTGTATGAGCAATTCTGAATCATCAGCATTACCTCAGGGCCACTGCACTGCAAAAGAGAAACCTCCAACCATTTCCCAAAATCCCCTACCCTGTTTGATTAAAATTTATTTGTTTATTGTATTTTTTTTTTTTTTTTTTGTCTTTTTCCTTTTTATCGGTACCAGGGATCGAACTCACGACTGCCTGCTTGCAAGGCAGGTGCTTATGCCGCTGAGCTAAATCCCCAGCCCCCTGTATTTTGTTTTTAAGACATGTCTCACTATGTAGTTCAGGCTGGCCTTGACCTTGGTTATGTAGCCCAGGCTGGCCTAGAATCCACAGCAATCCTCCTGCCTCAGCCTCCTGAATGCTGGGGTTACAGATGTGTGCTACCATGCCTAGCTTTTGGTTAAAATTTATTAACAGAAAGAATTTTTAAAATCTGGAATGGAGGAAAGGAGCCCTTATCTGCTGAAAGCAGTTGCTTCCAGGGATGCAGACATATGAGAATCATAGTGGATTCCCAAGGAGTCTTTTGAGATGGGTGATGGGACTTCCTTAGAGACCATGAAGAATTTTAACAGCTTCTGAGGAGCATCCATGTCAAAGCTTTATACTAAGATCTTCAGCTGTGGCCTTCTTGACCTTCCCAGTCAATGGAATGGAAAGTTCCACCTAGCAATAATCACTAGTATATAAAGAGATACTATGAACAAGTATTTTGATGATTCCCGTTTCTCTCCCAAGGAGCAGTAGTTTAAATGCTTTCCTCTAGTCTCTTGAGAGAGAGAAAGACAGACAAAGAGGCAGAGACAGAGACTGAAGATAGAATCCAAGGCCCTACTCATGGTAGACAAACACTCTGCCACTGAACCACACAATCCAGGCCTTTTCTTCAGTCCTTTTTGAGATGACCCACGCTCACAGTAAGAGATTACAAGCTGAGATTAACAACGCAGCTGTGGTTCTGGAAGGAACACTACACTGGTTCATATAATAATCAAACTTATGACCTTGACCTTTTTTAGTGCTATAGTTAATGAACTAAATGATAACCTTAACATCTCATCTGGGTCAGAAATGAACACCACTCTTTTGATGCTCTGAGCTAGGTGCTAAATCTGTTTTTATGGCATTGTTTGGGGGCAAAGAAAGTCTTGCCATGCTTTCAGAAATTCTGAGCTCTGCTAATGAACATCTACTCTACCTATAACATAGACATTTTTATAACAGTGTAATAAGAGAATGTTTTCCATAGTGAAAGAATATCTTATAATTATATAATTTACTTTTCTGTAGCATTTGTGAAACAGTAGTTTCTACAGCAGCTAGTATTGTTCTTACATGTGGTTAATACATATTTTATTTTATTTTATTTTATTTTATTTTATTTTATTGGTACCGGGGATTGAACTCACAACCTTGTGCTTGCCAGGCAGGCGCTTGTGCCACTGAACTAAATCTCCTGCTGTAATACATATTTTAATGCATACTTTATAGATGCTTTTCAACATGGGAAAGATCAAAAAATAGAGTTAGAGGGGCTGGGGATTTAGCTGGGGCTGAGGATTTAGCTCAGCGGCATAAGCGCCTGCCTTGCAAGCAGGCAGTTGTGAGTTCGATCCCCGGTACCAATAAAAACGAAAGACCAAAAAAAAAAAAAAAAAATAGAGTAGAAAGAGCTACAGCAGGATTATGTATACATTAAATATGGCCTTTGCCTGCTTCTGAGCCTCCACCTGCTTTCTCATTTCTCTCAATCAACAGAACAAAAAACAAAGGGTGAGACAGTAGCTCAGTTCTGTGGTACTGGTGCACAAACTCTGGGTTTGATCTTCAGCATTGAAAATCAACAATTTAGGGGC